GGTGGAAGGGGGGGTTTTAGTTTTGGGGGATATTTGGCGTATTATGGGAAATATTGGGGGGGGGGGGGGGGGGGGGGGGCGTACTTTTATGTTTTGCATGCCTTAGCGGTTAGACCATTGACCACGCGTCCTCGAGAGGACGGAGCATTGTTCCCACAGGACCGATCACCGATGGCCAATCGTTCCTTCCTACTTTGCCAAAGGTGGCTCAAAAATGTCTTCCCTAGTTTGTCTATCCTACCGATGTCCCTTCCCGCCTTTTCAAACCGCTTTCTACTCCCCAGTACCGCTACCGTCCTCTCCTCTCTATTCCATGCCTCAAACATCTCCCTGTACGTCACTTGTATTTTTCCCAGCTCAGTCATGTACACTTCCCTCTCGTTTTCGTACCACGGACATTCCGCGACTACATGAACACTGTCTTCGCATTCGAAGCCGCAATCGCATTTGAACTTATCGTCTTCGTCGTCTACCGTCCTATGTCTTCGTCGACGTTCGCGAAGGCCTATGTCCCCGGTCCTGAATTTGACCTTAAGCTTTGTCCCTGCATCCATTGGTCCATGTAGGTAATCCTTGAACCCTATTCCTTCTTTCAACATTCCGTACACTTCTAGACCCTCCTTATCCTTGGATTCTTTCCTTAGATTCTGTTCTTCTCTGTCGGCACAAGCAACAGATATCTTCTTCTTGAACCCCTGTAGACCCTCCGTTTCCAGCGTTTCATCTTCGTCGATGTCCAATCCCTTCCATACGTCCTCTACAACCTTGACCCATTCCGTGGGTTGTCTACCCCTCTTTTTGTTTGCCCACTTCGCCTCCCATACTATTCTCGGCAACCTCTCCTCTCCCATCCCGCACATGCGATACTGCCATGTCAGCTTCCTTACGTCTCTTCCCGACCGTAGGGATTGGATCCCCAATTCTGCCCTGACTGCTGCATTACTTGTGCGCTTGGAGCATCCTAGGATGATTTTCGCTGCTTTCATCTGCGCCGCCTCGAGTTCTTTCACTACCTTCTTATTTCCTTCCCATACTTCTCCGGCGTACTCTAGCGGCGGTACGATTACGCTCTTCAACACCGTCAATTTGATGCGTGTATCAAGGTGCCGGTTTGCGAGTATTGGGTGCAGCTTCCCTGCTCGTGCTTTGCCCTTTTCCGCTACCTTGGACATGTGTGCATTCCACGAACAATCTTTTGCGATCTCTACTCCGAGGTATGTGTACTGGTCCACTACTGCAATCTCCTCGATCCCCCACTTCCATCTATGTTCTACTGGTTCCTCCCTGCCCTCGTTGCATACCATGACGGCACTCTTCGTAACGTTGGCAGACAATCTCCACTTATCAGTAAACTTCTTCGCCGCGTCAATTTGCAGTTGCAGTCCCTCAGGGGTGTCCGACATACCAACAAAATCATCCGCAAACAGCATTCCTGACACCGAAGTTTCCGTGTCCCCTACTTTTACTCCCTTCCGGACTGCCTCTACGACTTCCAACAGATCGTTGATGAACACCTGGAACAATGTTGGGGACAGCGTGCAACCTTGTGGGACCCCTTGCTCAATGTCGAAGAATTTAGAAAGTTCTCCGTCTAGCATGACCGCGCTTTTCGTACACTCTGTCATCTTCTTCAGCACTCTCCACATTTTCCCCTTGATCCCGTACTTGGATAATTGTTTCCACAGCCCATTTCTCCATACGGTATCGTATGCCTTTTTCACGTCCAGGAAGAAGCAGTACGTCCGCTTTCCCGCCCTCTTTCTACCTTGGATGATTCTCCCTACCGTGAATGCGTGGTCTACGCACCCCCTCTTTTGTCGGAAACCTGCCTGGCCCTCACTAATGCTACGTTTCTTCTCCAATACTCCCACTATCCTATCGTTCAGCAGCTTACAAAACACTTTTCCTACTGTGTTCAACAGTGTGATACCCCTGTAGTTTCCTGGGTCAGTCTTGTCTCCTTTCTTAAACAAGTTCACAACCACTCCTTCCCGCCATCTACTTGGCGCATACTCGTTTTTCCACACCCAGTTGTACAGCAGTACCATCAGCTGGATCATCCCCTTCCCCCCAAACTTCATGAACTCGTTGACTATCCCATCCGCCCCTGCTGCTTTGTGGCACTGCAGCTTGTTCACACACGCCTCAACCTCGTCCTCAGTGAACTCCTTTTCTAGGTCTACGTTCCCAACGTCTGCCTTTGATGTCTCTTCTTCTTTCTGGGCCCATGCGTCCACCTCCTTCTTAAAATATCGAGAGGGGGGGTTCGTAAACCTTCCCCTATCCCAAACCTGTAACCCGTGCTAAAACCAACATAAATAATATCCCAGCCAACGCTATACTGCATCTCTAGGTGTATAGCATTGCCATACGTGTATTTACGGAGAAAAACCGTCGTTCGAGCCCCCTTTTTAACAGTCCGGTGCGGGAGGTGTTTCCTTGTATATGCCTGCTGTCCTCAACGATGTCTCTGGTGGGCTCTTGGTTTGGCTTGCATATTCTCACGAGCAAACGAGACAAGTCGCGCGCCCGGGTCGTCGTCCCCTTTCGCTGATGTACAACTTCAGTCTCGTCCAAGATCGGACGCTGGCCGCCAGCCTCAAAGCACGCATTATTTTTTATTTTGTATCTCTGTGGAATATTTTCCCTCGACGAACCCAGATCATGTGCGCCGAGATGAAGATCAACGGCGGCATCGTCATGCTCGGCGACCACTGTAGCAAGGACGCGAGCAAGACGGAAGCCTCGATGACCGTCTCGTACGAGGTCAGGAAGGACGAAGCGGGACCCCTGGCCAAGTCCTTCAAGGACAACGGCGGGGAGGTCCTCGAGGAGGTGTCGATGCAGTTCTGGGGACAAGGTGGGCGGGCAAAAGACGAACCAATCAGGAGGAGGGGTGCTCTGCTCGATTAATTGTTATTGTTGTGATTTGATCTGTACAGCTCGTCGTTTTGTCTGCACAGCACATGGATGTTGGTGCTCTCTTTCTCTGCCGTCGTCAAGGAGGGTTTGACAATGCGGAAGGAGTAGCTGGCACGGTGTGGCGCCTTTGCTAGAATGCGGCGGTCTGTGTGCTGCATATTTCCAGATACTACCACTTTGTGTTTGTCTCGGTTTCAACCGCGTGTGGCTGCTCGTGTTCTTCTTGCGATGCACGCATGCGCACGGCCGTGAACATCACGATACGATCGTCCGCCCGTAGGGAGATCTACGGAGATACCTCAAGCCAAGACAACAATCCACTACCCTCATGTGCTCTCAACGACGTTGCGCCCTTGTTATACCACGTTTTGGTCTCATGTTTTGATGTCGACGTTCAGTGTGGGGTCGGTGCAAAGACCCCTTCGGCCAACCGTGGGGCTTGTGCGAGGTACAGGAGGGGCCTGCTCCTTCCAACGAAGACATGGCCAAGGACATGGAGATTGGCGCCAAGTACGACTGGCACTACACCTGGGTGGTTGAGGACATGCCTACTGTGTACTGTTACGGAGCGGTGAGAAAGAGTCCAACGCCCATGTTCCTGTTGTCATTTCCGTTGTCGTTGTCGTTGCTGTTGTCCTCATCTACCGCCCTAGCTCGTGTTTCTTTCTCCACTCGCAGATTCTTGCCGTCCTAATAATAATTGACCCCCCGTACCCCCCCGCAGATGTCCACAAGTGCCGCGAACACCCCCGCCATCAGCGAAGAGACCAAGAAGACGCTCCCCGCCGCCTTCGCGGGAGCCGCCGCTGCCGGGCTCGCCATGGCCGGGCCCCCCGCGTCCGCCTTCTACACCTGGGACCCTTCCCCCGGCGGGACCACCAAGTTCACCAGCGGCCCCTCGGTGGCCGGCGGCGGTGCCTCCGCCCTGATGAAGGACGTCGACGGAGACGACAACGGCCTCGGCGTGAGGACCGCCGGTGGCTGCAAGTGCGTGACGACGCTGCACACGGGGCCGTACGACGAGCTCAAGAAGTGCTACGAGGCGACCTTCGAGTGGGTCGAGGCTAAGGGTTACGAGTCGCGCATGCCCGTGTTCGAGCTGTACGAGAACGACCCGAAGGACACCCCGCCCGAGAAGCTCAAGACCAAGGTCTGCATCCCGATCGTGGCCAAGGGCACCCCCAAGGCTTGAGAGACGCCCTGTTAGGTGTGGCAGCGTGGTATGTCGTAAAAGTCGAGAGCGGATGGGCGAACTCCCTAGTCTGCCTTGATCTTGTGGGGTTCGTCGTCGCTCGCTCGTATGTCTTAGGTCTCCGCCAAACCACTCCGAGAACGAGACTTGGGTGTCTGAATCCTAGTGACGGAGCTACTGCGCGTGCTGAGTCCATTGCGAGGCCTGATGGAGATTGAGGCTGCATCTCCTGTCGGTCTCCTAAGCGAACAGCAGTACATACCACTATATATATCGGCGTTTTTCTGCAAGGGCAAGGGTTTTAGTGTCGTTCGTTGGTTGTCGACCCCGAACTCTCTCGCGTTTTTTTTCGTATCGATCGTTCGATGAGTCGTACGAGCGTACGACGGAGTGAGTGTAGAACGGTCCGTTGTCTGTTCTTTTAGACCGTGGCGGGGCGGGATTTACCAATTGGTTCTTCGGAGAATTATTGTGTTGTCACGAGTATTGGAATACGTTGAACGTGTTCGTGGGGAAATGTGGATGAGGAGGTGAAGCACCCAAGCAACAATGTCTGCGAAAATGGGCACGCTGGCTTGCAGCAGTAGTAGTGGGTGCATGAACTATCTTGTTTCATCGAGTGTAGGGCGTTGCTGCCATCGTAAACGGTGCGCTGGAGGAAGTGTCGATTGCTTGTTGGATTTCGTGCTTCTTGTTTGCAACACATGCATCATGCGATGCACGCGTGCGGTGGCGGAGGAACGGGGGGGGGCGGTGGATTAAACTGTTCCTCGCTTGAGTTCCCCTTCCACCCCCTCTCGTGTCTTTTGTCTCGTATGATTTTTCCCCTTGTCTTTGTGCACTCTCTTGTTGTTCGAATTCGTTGTAAGCTATCTCTCGTTCCATGGGCAGGTCGAGTACAAGCAGTGGTGTCATCGTGCATTTTAGATCGCTTGCTGCCGACTCGTGTGTATGGTACTTTTCGCTTGGTTGTCGTCATTTGATGGCCCGAAGTTGTGAGAACTGTCAGGTACACATCGTCTGTCGGAAGTTACGTTGAAAGTCGATTTGGTGTGTTTTTTAAGTAGGAAATCTCCCGGGGTACTAGTTTGACTTGCGTTCTCTACACCTGCGGGCTGTTGCACAAGTGTTACCTTGCTTGTCGCGAGGATGTTTACGTTTCGCTCTTTGACGCGGGAGCGAGAGACGTGTCATTGGCTTTGTTTACTTGTTGCACCGCGCCCGTTGTGATGATCCGGGCACTTCAGCATCAGGCAAGTGCCCTGGGGGGATGACAAGTGTGTCAAGAGTTTGACGTCTCACGGACACAATGGTATAATACAGAAATGATATTTTCCTTAAATCGGCAGCTACCTACAGTAGATCGCTTGCCATCATAGACAAGGGGGGATTGATGCAACACCTGTGGTGAATTCGAAGAATGGCCAAAGACGCCTACCCGTTAATGTTGGCGTGAGCTCCCTCTTGCCTCACGTCGTACCACAAGCTGAGACCTGAGAGGTGGGCACGGGAAATACAAATACTTCATACGATGACTTTCCACCTTGTTCAAACCAATCAGAGGTGCACCTTGAACCAGGATATGCCCGCAACACAAAACGTACGGGCAACAACAGCTCTCTCTCTCTGTGCATCTCTGTGCAGGCAGAGGCTGGTCCGGGTACCTGCCGCCACCTAGAACTGCGCGTACAACCACGGTGCCAGACGCACAACCCAACGTGTTAAGAAGCACGATGACCACTAGACTACCAGTCAGCGTTGACTAGTGGTCTACTGGTCATCGTGCTTCGCAGACAACACCAAGGCAAGGAGCGCCATCGTCTTTGAAGTCACTATCACCTCGTTCTTTGTTTTTTCTAGGCACCCTCGCGCCAACGTGCAAGAACACGACTTGTGTTCTATGAATCCAGGCATTGCAAAATCGAAATGGATGCAGTCGCTTCGGACCTCGCTCCGCCGCCCGAAGCTACCGATTCGTGCATTCTCCGAAGACAAATCAAGGCACTACGCCAGCCACGCAAATGTGTCCGACCCGCCTGCCAGGCGTGGGAGCTACGCACAGGGCCGGCGGCAGAGCGAACACGCTTGAAATCTTCCATCTAATCTGCACACTCAGAGCTTCTGTTTGATCACGATTGCATGGATAGTGCATTGTCGCACCAACAATCTATTGAGGTGAACCTTCCCTGCGGAGTGGCGGGGGAGGGTCGAAAGAAGGATGCTTATGTACCACTTTGGCGAAAATACTGGTTTGACACCGATTCGTCTCGGGTTGGTTTACATAACAGGACCATGTTTCTATTGGCTGGGTCGAAAGGGAAACAAATACACGTCAACACATCATAGTTTTGTTGTAGAATGAGGACCATGGGGTGAATCCATCAACCCTGGGGATCGATGGGGGGGGTCCAGGCCGTGATAGCGCCGTTGGAGCACTTGCAGGGGAGGCAGTGATCCCGTTGTCGTCGTCGTCGTTGTCGTGTTCATCGTCATGTTGTGGCGAGGCTTGCGCCCTAAGCCGCTTCCAGCCCCTGTGGTTGCCGTCAAGTCGGAACATTTCGTGCTGTTAAACCTTGACGGCATAGCTGCGCACTGCATGATTGGTCAAACTTCAGTAGAGAAAAGTACGCTTACACACTGTAGATCTCGACTGTGTAGATGTGTGTGACTACGTAGTCCACCCGCCGTGACAAGAAGATCTGCTTGTTGCCGTAGTGGTCGGTGGTGCGAGAATTCCCGTCGTCAAAAGTGTACACGGAGACAAGAAGAGCCTCACGCGTAATACATTGAAGTACTGTAGTGCTGACGACATGATGAAAGATTTTAACGCGTGATCAAATATCTTAACACGTACCGGTAGTCTGGACTAAGGTATTCGAAGTAGCATTGCCACTTTTCGACCACAACTACTTGTATACATGGATGAATCCACTCTGCCGGCAAGCTAAACAATCGTCAAGGAGAGCAAGCAGTCTCAAAACCCCACCAATAAATGTACTGTTTCTTCGAGGTGACCTGTTGTGCTGGTGCAACAACCAGGCATGTGCGGCACTCACGACAGAACAATAAGTCTCCGATTGTCCGGGATTACAGGCAGCAATAATACAGGTTTCTCCTGGTGTTTGTTGGCAGCGGCAGTCGAATATTTGACTCCACAAGATGATTGAAAGAGTTTGTTGGCGCCGTCTCACCCTTCTAATGGAAGCCGTGTTGACCTCACCTAATACTTCTTCCGTGCTGTCAAGGGAACAAAAGGGATTGTCTCTGAGACGACACAACAAATCACCGCTATTCACACATTCTGTGTGAGTGAGTGTCATCTCGCCTGTAGAGCGACTGCCACGCAATCGAGCGTGTTCGGAGCGAGGGGGTCCAGTCCGACGATTCCTCCGCTCCGCTTCCTGACGCCGAGAGCGAGAAAAAGTCCTCTCATTCCACTGTTCAGCCAGACCTCCGAGTAGAATTTCCTAGTCGTCAATCGTGTGCATTACATTCATGCATGCATGTGGCATGCGTGCTTCAGAACAATGACCCCTTCATTATCGATCTGTTTAGCACACTTCTTGTGGTTGTGTTGGAAGGCGATGCCGCATTTGGTAGAATTCCTGCATGGAACGCAACGATCAGTACGGTCACGGTGGTAGCGCCGCCACAGAACATCACAAACGTCGTTCGATTCAACGTAATTGTAGAAGCTCCTGCATTGAACGCAACGATCAGCAGGGTTACGGTAGTGCCACCACAGAACATCACAAAGGTCGTTTGATTCGACGCAGCCAAGAGCTTAAGCATGTTTTTTTGTTAATCGTTTTACTTGATGAAGACTTCCAAAAATTTCACCTGGTAGTGTGAACATCGGGGCCTCGTTCTTGAGACGTATCACGACTTTAGCACTAACTGATCTACTCGGTGTAGGAATCGACGCTGAGCCCAAAGCATAGCATGGTTGTTAGAATCTCACAGAGAAGTTGAGAACACAGGGCAAACGTCAACAACTATTTTTTCCAGTTTCGTGGTGACGCTACCAATCTATCTGCAACGTGCGAAGAAAACAATCTAAAGGCAAAGGGCAATATTCTATGTTCAGTGTGAACGTGATGGATGGTGACTGGGCAACAGTAGTGAGTTGCGGGCACGTACACGCACGCTCGACGAAGACAAAAGCGCGTGACAAAGATTGTGCACGAACGTCAGCTAACATTGTTCTCGATTATTGTCTTTCCCCGTCTCACGCTCACGATCACTCATGATGAAGGGGATGAGACCTCACTCACTTGTTGGATATCTTGAAGGTGCGGTACTTGACGTCGCCTGGATGGTTGAGGACGTTTCGCAGACACTTGACCCCCACCGTTGAGTCTTCCCCCTGCCGGCGACACCGCGGCGGCTGCAGCCGAAGCCGAGAAGGAGGTTGCCACGATGGCGGCGATTGCGAAGGCTATGCCTAGCGGTGGGGGGGGACGGCACCGCCACGTCGAGGTCGAATCGGAGATGTCGGAGATGACGTCGTCAGCGCAGGCACCTCCGAGCGGTCAACAACGGGGCCGGGGTGGCGGCCTTTGCTGTGAACGCGTTGCTGCAAGACGTTCGGAGCCTGGCGAGGAGGGTGGAGGCGGCCAGGTCAGCAATGAGTCCGGAGCAGCTCGAAGAAGTCGGCGCACTCTGGCAGAAAGCGGTGGAGAGCTGGGAGAAAGGAGGGGAAGGACGAGCACTCAGTCATTTTTTTGTTCGTCCGTCCTTCATCCCACCGCATTCCAACACACCGGCGAAGATGTCTTTTTGGTTCGCTCAACACTGCACGCCTTGTTGTGTGTTCCGTCCGAGTGATGCCCATCGGGAGTTGTCATCAGCGTTCCCCCAAGTTTTTGTCCTCTCTTGTTGAGGTATTAGTCGATTTGACATTCTACTGCTTGGGTGTGTGGGTGCGTCTTGGCTCTTCCGGTGATGTGACTTCTGAACTAGCGATACAACGCCGATATGGAGGTTCGAAGCTAATTCTTCGAGTCCGACTGAGTCTGTATGTGCCATCATGACACCTCTTCTGTGCTGTCCGACTGCACGATTTCGTCCTTCGAGCGTTCGCGTTGTATATACACATGCGTTGGGTATAGGATGATTGAGATTTTGAGCGTTGGAACAAACGTCTGTGCAAGTGTGCATGAAGACCAATACGGTAGGAGGAAGTGATGGGGGGGGGGGGGGGGGTCGTTCTCGTGTGTGACAGAGGCTATATGCCCCGAGAGACTCAATCGAGGAGAGTGACGCGAAAAAGCGTGCACATGACAGAGAGAAAGTCGCAAAGAAAGAAAAAAAATCGATTTTGATTAGAGAGTTATGCTGAGGGCAGAGGTACGTATGCAAGGTAAGAAAGGGAGGAACCTGACCCCTTCTACCGCTGTATTTGTGCCTATACATGTGACGTGCGTGGATAGAAACGACTTGCTGTTTTTACCGTGCTTGGGTGACCTTCGCGGGCGATGTGATCTCAAGAGTTGTGTGGAACAGAAGCAGTACAGATTATTCTAGGAGGGGGCGGGTGCAGTCCACAGTCCACGCACCATCCCCTGGGTAGAAGTCGTGCTTGATTTTGCGTTATATACGCGTCGTGATGGCATATGCTTGTGGATTGTCACTTGTGCCCTCGCAACGATATTCGTGTCTGTCTCAGGAATCCTCGTGAATGTCAAGATTTCGAGAGTCTTGCCTCGGAAAAAGTTCTCCAAAGTTCCCATATTTCTCTAGGAGGATGTGTACTACGGTAGCTGTGTCCGTCAGGTTGTCGACTCGATAACGCTGCCTCGAATTTGTGCTACCCAAAAAAAATTATGAAGGGCGGCCGTCATCCCGCCCTTTCCCCCCCGGTCATCGGGTGTAGCCCCTCAAAGGGAGGTGTGTAGTCAGTGCCTGAGGTGATGACCAAAGTAACATGCCATTTGACGGCTCCGGGTTGATATTGGACCTTCTCAATCGATCAAGTACCAACCCTTCGATCAGAACAAAATCTCAGGTTATCGCCAGAACTTCACCCAGAAAAAATAAGCGTAAGCTCTCGTGACTGCGACGGTTTATTCGGAGGTTAGTCTACGTATATTTTTTGAGTTTTGCAGCCATTTTCTTCGTTGTTGGAGTTTTCTATCGGAGGGGATCGGTATTGCTCTTCTCTTTTTGTTTCGACACTGCACCGTGTGAAGAGCCAGGGAAGATGTGGTGTGATCTATCCAGCAATGACGGTTTCGCATCAGTTGGGAGCACGTGCGGGGTATGTATGTATGTACATATCTGCGGCCTCTGCTGCTGTGTGGAGGTGGCTATTGTCCCTCGCTCTGCCTCTACACTACTACCCGGTTGTACTGATGATAATTCACGATCTAAAGCCATTTACTCGATGACTGCCAAGCGGTCTAGGCTAGACTGCTTGAGGTTACGGACAGAAAGTTCCAAAGATCCAAAGCTTACACATAGACCAACCCAAAAACTGGCTCTAAACGGGCGATGAAACGGTCTCTCCTCCTCTGCGTTACCCACACCCGAGCCGAGATGAAACGCTCCCATGTGGTGGCCACGGTGCAGTGAGTCTGACCACAGCAGGTAGACTATATACAGTCTGCAGATCTCGAAGGCTACTTGTCTCCACACATACTCCCAAGGAGAGACAAACAACGAAGACGAACAAAAAATCTCACGCAACAACGCGCAAAACGTGCCAACTGACTACCGCATTACCAGGTTACCTCGTATTGGCGTATGGGCAGGCTGTCGAAACCCCAACACAAGGAGAGACAGAGAGACAGAGAGATAGAAAGAGATATCACTCTTGCCTTGAAGTATTGCCATCAACCGCCAACCTCTTGATTACCCTGCTGGTATGCAATAGTCGTGGAGGTTGTCACCTCGATTATGCGTGCCTGTGTAGGGAGTTACTCTCATCAAGTCAAAACTCAAATCCAAACTTGCTTCTACTGCTGTAGATCTATCTGCCGTACAGCAGTAAATCGAGGAGGGCCTGCTACACCAGAATTGCAGGGTGGGTTCCAGTAGGCACAAGCCATGGAATCTGGCGCCCACCTTAGTCGCCATGCCGGCGGTTCGCCAGTGGCAACTTCACAAGAGGGACGAGAGGTAAAGAGTCCCGTGATGGCGTGGGTAGACTATGTCGCTCCCTGTGACAGAAAAAAAAAAATGCGGCGCATCTTCCTGTCGACAAATTTGCCAGCTAAACCGCGCGCAAATCCAGCAAATGGCCCTCGCAAATTCGAGAGCAGCTTGCCGCCATCATCCGCGCGCTCTCCCCCACACAGTCCCCCACCTCTGTCACAGTTTTCCTTCCTCTCTTCTCCTCACTTCCTTTCAACCTCGCACTCCCCTCTCTCCTCTACCGTCAACTACAACGGACAGCAGTAAATCATGAGCGCAATGACAGAGTCCGCCACACCGGCTTGCCCTTCTGATGGCCGCAAGGTGAGATTTTGCGATTACATGTGCAAACAAGACATGCCTGTTTGACTTCCTTCCTTTTCTATGCCTTAGTGAGTGCTTGAGGGGGGGGTGAGTCTTGACCAGCATCCTAAGCTCCGACACAAGAGAAAAATTGTGCGCTCCGGAATGTGGTGTACGGCTGTCATTAGAGCCAGCTCGATGAACGGCGTCATGCTCCGAGTTACGTCGTTTCGTCGTTTCGTTGCCCGGACAATCTGGTGTACACCTGTATCTCGAGCAATTCACACACAGCCAGTGGTCGTCCATAAACTCCAAGAAGAAGTGGTTCCCCCTTTTCCTACCGGCTAGTTCCAACCCCCCCACCCCGTTCCTACTGCTGTCTCTCGCGCCAGGCCTAACTCATACAGAATACAGTACGTCGGACGCTCATTGCATACCTCGCTCCTCGATTTCGTTTCGCGTGTTGGTGTAGCGAAAATATTTGGACCCCGCCATCACCGCACACACGAACACACCCGCAGTCGAATACATGAACACAACTACGGTCCTCGCCTCTCGTCGGTCATGCCCCTTCGTGAGCATACTCCCACGGCGGTTCATACTGTAGCTTATGACCGCTCCTTTTCTTCATCCCTCCCCTGGGTGTCGTTTCTCCGGCTGCCCCTCACAGACTACTACTGTCCAAGACATTCGATAACTTGGATTGCTTCGCGAAAATGACAACATCCTCCCGCGCAATCATCCCTTGTCTGTACGTCTGTCTCTCTCGCTCTCTCTCCCCCTCACGAAAACCTTTTGTGCAGCACCCTCCGACTCGCAGGGGCATCATCGTGAATGTCATGGTCGAGAGCGCGGACAAGTTTGTCGACTTCATGGGAAAAACCACCAAAGCCAAGGTAGGTTTGCAAAGCTCGTCCGTACACAAACACTTGGTACGTTTTCGTGGGCTTTGGGCTCACAATTGTCAGTGGACGGTCAAGTTGTCTATTCGCCCCCTTTTTGGCTGGCGTGTGCCAACAAATTTGTTCCCCGATGCAAAGAACATCAACCGACTTGCTGCATCGACAGGCAGTTGCCATCTCAGTCGATGAAAATCACAAATAATCGAGTCGGCCTGCGGTATAGATTTGCGCCTGACAGATGGCGGTGGCGATGCTCTTTCGCGGCCGAGCAGAACCTCGTACTTAGGTGCACTGTATACACACAATCACCGCGGTTTCCCAGTGCAGGTGAGTAGGCCGCATCGCACGTTTTCAGTTGCATCGAAATGATACAAATCGTTAAACCAACATTGCTGCGCGCGCCTGCTGTACATGATCCCTCTGCCGCACGCCGCCGCTCCCAATCCCCCCCTACCCGCCCTCCCGTCCTTCGTCAGGAGTACTTCCGCTTCCCGGACGAGGACGGCAAGATCATGCACCTCGCCATAGACGTCGGCGGCGTAGCGCTGTACGTCGAGGAGCTCGGCAACAAGATGGACACCGGCGCCATCAGCACCCCTCACGCCCGCCTGCACCTCAACACCGACGACCCGATCGGCGTTGGTGCCAAGCTGGTGGAGCACGGTGCCAAGGAGCTCACCAAGATGGCCGAGCAGTTCTGGGGCGCCACGTGAGTTGCTGATGCTCTCATTAGAATGAATTTCGAGAGATGAAAGGCTTTGTGCCACGGTTCTGTTGTTCTCTTTAGCGAAGAAGGCCCAGTTTGATATGTTGTAAAAACCGGGCGGGTGTTGTTGCATCTTCCGACCGCTCCCTGAGGTGAATGATTGGGGCCCATGGCGGTCTTTTGAAATGTCGGTGGCAGTGCTGGCCCCGCACACGGGCATCCTTTGTCATCCCTTGTACCCCGATATAAACACATCAGTTATCTCCGTCAACATGAGTTCGACGACACAGTGCTCAACCATTCCCTTGGTTTGTAGCAAGAACCACGAGAGGTTGCACTCAGCATCAGCGCAAATCTGTAACTCTCCTTCTCCTTACACCTTCGCTACCCCCCATGAAAAGGTTCGGTGTTTACCAGGATCCGTTCGGTCAGATCTGGTCGGTGTCAAACTCCACCAACACCATCGAGGACGTGCCCAAGGAGCTAGCTCGCAAAGTCATCCCCTTCATCCTGGTCCGTGACTGCCCCGCCTACATGACCTTCCTCACGGACGCCCTTGGAGCCGAGGCCGTGTCCCCCCCTGACAAGGCCCCCACCGGCAAGGTTCGTGGACTTGTCAGGTAGTGTGATTCCCTGGACGTCTCTTGGTGTATGAAATCTCAAGCGTGTCTTCGACAGGATTGTCTGCACCTCAGCCTCCGTGACAATCCCGTGCGGGAGGTGTTTCAATGCCCAACTCTGGCCGGTCTTACGAAAGCCACATTTTGGACACCACTGAATGAATGATACTTCTACTTTTTTATCTTCTTGTCTGAGTCCAACCTGTCAAAACGTTGGCTTTTTGGAATGGAACTGAAGTAGAGGCCGAGCTTTCCCTAGTCTGATTTGACATTCCAGCCGCTGGAAGTGTGCCGAGGAGGTGCCCAGATAGAAGTTGGATTTTTTTTTTCGTTGCCCTACCCTGTGCGAGCTTTTCGAGGGTAGAAATGAACGGTTCTCGTCAAAGGCGACCAGCCGGTGACTCACTGCGGGAATTGTTAATGTTGCAGAATGAGACGTTAACGTGAAAGTCATGAATCCGATGAAAAAACGTTAAAAATTGACTTGACCCAGCTAAGTTAGGGAGAAAGACGTACTCTCTTGTTGTTCCCAACGTGGCGTCGAAATCCCCAGGACAATTTCCAGGCGCCCCCTGGTCACCATGGGGGGTTGGTACCGCCCAATTGTATGACAATACCGTGTTGGTATTGCGCCATGGTCTCACTCACCCACTCTTTGCTCTGCTGCATCTATACTTCCTAATTTTCGAAAAGTTGTGATTTGTTTGTTCCGGCCAGAGTGGCATATGGCCGGCTTTCTCAACGTTCATATGCTATTGATTTCCTCGACAACCACAGATCATGTGCGCTCAGATGAAGATCAACGGCGGCATCATCATGGTCGCCGACCAATGCGACGAAGACAGCGCGGAAGCCGCGATGACCATCTCCTACGAGATCGGGAAGGACGAAGCGGCTCCCCTGGCCAAGTCCTTCACGGACAACGGCGGGGAGGTCCTCCAACCAGTGTCGATGCAGTTCTGGGGACAAGGTGGGTGGGAACGAGACGATTCAGGAGGGGGCAGACACGTCTTCGCAGCGTTTCCAGTAGCATCGCTTGGTTTTGCAGTAGTGCGTGTGTCCCTGTTACCGTGAATGCGTCCAGATAACAACCGTTTGTGATTCTCTCAGTTTCAACCGCATGTAATTGCTTCTGCTCTTGTTGCGATGGGCGCATGTAGGCGGCTGTGGAGAGCATGATACGTTCGTCTGCCAGTAGGGAAATCAAAGAAGATACCCCAATTTAAGGCGATTGCCCACTATTCCTACACTTACGTCCTCTCAACGACGTCCGTAATACACACCAAAAAAGGAAAACCGCTATTTAGAATAATTGTACGGGAACCACCCCCGCCCCGCATGCCAAAGCCCACACCCACTGCCAAACGGTCAGGCCTATAGAAGCCGAAATAAACCATTAGACTAGTCAGCGCTGACTAGTCTAATGGTTTGATTTCGGCTTCTATAAAAGTTAGTCGTGGGGTTCGTGAGCCCCGTCACTTTCACTTCCGAGGAGGGTGACTCCCCTTGCCAGCCCTACTATCCGTCCAATCTTTATTTCGCTTCATATCACTCGCCACCCACATCCTGCAGAATGTTCCAGGGTCCACGAGTCCTTCCGTCACCCATACTCTGGACAAGAGTATCCAGGGTCTCAGGGAAAAGAACACTCCAAAGTGCCAGCCTGGGTCTCGAACCCACGACTAACTAACTTCTTTAGAAGCCAAACGCAAACCATTAGACTAGTCAGCGCTGACTAGTCTAATGGTTTGATTTCGGCTTCTATAGGCCTCACCTGTTCTTCACCCGAAACATCACGTTCTTCAGCGCTCCACCCGGGTGCATGCCCATCATCACATGCAACGCCCTTGTTATACCGCGTTTTGGTCTCATGTTTTGATGTCAACGTTCAGTATGGGGTCGGTGCAAAGACCCCTTCGGCCAACCGTGGGGCTTGTGCGAGGTACAGGAGGGGCCTGCTCCTTCCAAGGAAGACATGGCCAAGGACATGGAGATGGGCGCCAAGTACGACTGGCGCTACACCTGGGTGGTTGAGGACATGCCTACCGTGTACTGTTACGGAGCGGTGAGAAAGAGCCTAACGTCCATGTCCCTGTTGTCATTTCCGTGTCGTTGTCATTGTCGTTGTCGTTGTCGTTGTCGTTGTCGTTGCTGTTATCCTCATCTACCTCCGTTGCTCGTGTTTTTTCTTCGTGCCGTCCTAATAATAATTGACCCCCCCTTACCCCCCCGCAGATGTCCACAAGTGCCGCGAACACCCCCGCCATCAGCGAAGAGACCAAGAAGACGCTCCCCGCCGCCTTCGCGGGAGCCGCCGCTGCCGGGCTCGCCATGGCCGCCCCCCCCGCTTCCGCCTACTACACCTGGGACCCTTCCCCCGGCGGGACCACCAAGTTCACCTGCGGACCCTCGGTGGCCGGCGGCGGCGCCTCTGCTTTGATGAAGGACGTAAACGGAGACGACAACGGCCTCGGCGTGAGGACCGCCGGCGGCTGCAAGTGCGTGACGACGCTGCACACGGGGCCGTACGACGAGCTCAAGAAGTGCTACGAGGCGACCTTCGAGTGGGTTGAGGCTAAGGGTTACGAGTCGCGCATGCCCGTGTTCGAGCTGTACGAGAACGACCCGAAGGACACCCCGCCCGAGAAGCTCAAGACCAAGGTCTGCATCCCGATCGTGGCCAAGGGCACCCCCAAGGCTTGAGAGACGCCCTGTTAGGTGTGGCAGCGTGGTATGTCGTAAAAGTCGAGAGCGGATGGGCGAACTCCCTAGTCTGCCTTGATCTTGTGGGGTTCGTCGTCGCTCGCTCGCATGTCTTAGGTCTCCGCCAAACCACTCCGAGAACGAGACTTGGGTGTCTGAATCCTAGTGACGAAGCTACTGCGCGTGCTGAGTCCATTGCGAGGCCTGATGGAGATTGAGGCTGCATCTCCTGTCGGTTTCCTAAGCGAACAGCAGTACATACCACTGTATCCGCGTGTTTTCTGCAAGGGCAAGGGTTTTATTGTCGTTCGTTGGTTGTCGACCCCGAACTCTCTCGCGTTTTTTTTCGTATCGATCGTTCGATGAGTCGTACGAGCGTACGACGGAGTGAGTGTAGAACGGTCCGTTGTCTGTTCTTTTAGACCGTGGCGGGGCGGGATTTACCAATTGGTTCTTCGGAGAATTATTGTGTTGTCACGAGTATTGGAATACGTTGAACGTGTTCGTGGGGAAATGTGGATGAGGAGGTGAAGCACCCAAGCAACAATGTCTGCGAAAATGGGCACGCTGGCTTGCAGCAGTAGTAGTGGATGCATGAACTATCTTGTTTCATCGAGTGTAGGGCGTTGCTGCCATCGTAAACGGTGCGCTGGAGGAAGTGTCGATTGCTTGTTGGATTTTGTGCTTGTGTTTGCAACACGTGCATCATGCGATGCACGCGTGCGTGCGGTGGCGGAGGAACATGGGGGGGCGGTGGATTAAACTGTTCCTCGCTTGAGTTCCCCTTCCACCCCCTCTCGTGTCTTTTGTCTCGTATGATTTTTCCCCTTGTCTTTGTGCACTCTCTTGTTGTTCGAATTCGTTGTAATCTATCTCTCGTTCCATGGGCAGGTCGAACACAAGCAGTGGTGTCATCGTGCACTTTAGATCGCTTGCTGCCGACTCGTGTGTAGGGTACTTTTCGCTTGGTTGTCGTCATTTGATGGCCCGAAGTTGTGAGAACCGTCAGGTACACATCGTCTGTCGAAGTGGGCTTCGTGATTCTGCGTTGATGTCGAGGTGTCTTTTTGACAGAGCGTGCCTCTTTCATGTCCAGTGGTAGTGTACGTTGAAAGTCGATTTGGTGTGTTTTTTAAGTAGGAAATCTCCCGGGGTACTAGTTTGACTTGCGTTCTCTACACCTGCAGGCTGTTGCACAAGTGTTACCTTGCTTGTCGCGAGGATGTTTACGTTTCGCTCTTTGACGCGGGAGCGAGAGACGTGTCGTTGGCTTTGTTTACTTGTTGCACCGCACCCGTTGTGATGATCCGGGCACTTCAGCATCAGGCAAGTGCCCTGGGGGGATGACAAGTGTGTCGAGAGTTTGACGTCTCACGGACACAATGGCAAAATACAGAAATGATATTTTCCCTAAGTCGGCACTGCCTAGATCGCTTGCCATCATAGACAAGGGGGGATTGATGCAACGCCTGTGGTGAATTCGAAGAATGACCAAAGACGCCTACCCGTTAATGTTGGCGTGAGCTCCCTCTTGCCTCACGTCGTACCACAAGCTGAGACCTGAGAGGTGGGCACGGGAAATACAAATACTTCATACGATGACTTTCCACCTTGTTCAAACCAATCAGAGGTGCACCTTGAACCAGGATATGCCCGCAACACAAAACGTACGGGCAACAACAGCTCTCTCTCTCTGTGCATCTCTGTGCAGGCAGAGGCTGGTCCGGGTACCTGCCGCCACCTAGAACTGCGCGTACAACCACGGTGCCAGACGCACAACCCAACGTGTTAAGAAGCACGATGACCACTAGACTACCAGTCAGCGTTGACTAGTGGTCTACTGGTCATTGTGCTTCGCAGACAACACCAAGGCAAGGAGCGCCATCGTCTTTGAAGTCACTATCACCTCGTTCTTTGTTTTTTCTAGGCACCCTCGCGCCAACGTGCAAGTACACGACTTGTGTTCTATGAATCCAGGCATTGCAAAATCGAAATGGATGCAGTCGCTTCGGACCTCGCTCCGCCGCCCGAAGCTACCGATTCTCCGAAGACAAATCAAGGCACTACGCCAGCCACGCAAATGTGTCCGACCCGCCTGCCAGGCGTGGGAGCTACGCACAGGGCCGGCGGCAGAGCGAACACGCTTGAAATCTTCCATCTAATCTGCACACTCAGAGCTTCTGTTTGAACCACGATTGCATGGATAGTGCATTGTCGCACCAACAATCTATTGAGGTGAACCTTCCTTGCGGAGTGGCGGGGGAGGGTCGAAAGAAGGATGCTTATGTACCACTTTGGCGAAAATACTGGTTTGACACCGATTCGTCTCGGGTTGGTTTACATAACAGGACCATGTTTCTATTGGCTGGGTCGAAAGGGAAACAAATACACGTCAACACATCATAGTTTTGTTGTAGAATGAGGACCATGGGGTGAATCCATCAACCCTGGGGATCGATGGGGGGGGTCCAGGCCGTGATAGCGCCGTTGGAGCACTTGCAGGGGAGGCAGTGATCCTGTTGTCGTCGTCGTCGTTGTCGTGTTTATCGTCATGTTGTGGCGAGGCTTGCGCCCTAAGCCGCTTCCAGCCCCTGTGGTTGCCGTCAAGTCGGAACATTTCGTGCTGTTAAACCTTGACGGCATAGCTGCGCACTGCATGATTGGTCAAACTTCAGTAGAGAAAAGTACGCTTACACACTGTAGATCTCGACTGTGTAGATGTGTGTGACTACGTAGTCCACCCGCCGTGACAAGAAGATCTGCTTGTTGCCATAGTGGTCGGTGGTGCGAGAATTCCCGTCGTCAATAGTGTACACGGAGACAAGAAGAGCCTCACGCGTAATACATTGAAGTACTGTAGTGCTGACGACATGATGAAAGATTTTAACGCGTGATCAAATACCTTAACACGTACCGGTAGTCTGGACTAAGGTGTTCTAAGTAGGATGGCCACTGTTGAACCATAACAATACTTGTATACATACATGCATCCAATCTGCCGGAAATTTAAACAATCGTCAAGGAGAGCAAGCAGTCTCAAAACCCCACCAATAAATGTACTGTTTCTTCGAGGTGACCTGTTGTGCTGGTGCAACAACCAGGCATGTGCGGCACTCACGACAGAACAATAAGTCTCCGATTGTCCGGGATTACAGGCAGCTATCGGGTTCAAATACAGGTTTCTCCTCGCGCTTGTTGGCAGCGGCAGTCGAATATTTGACTCCACAAGATGATTGAAAGAGTTTGTTGGCGCCGTCTCACCCTTCTAATGGAAGCCGTGTTGACCTCACCTAATACTTCTTCCGTGCTGTCAAGGGAACAAAAGGGATTTTCTCTGAGACGACACAACAAATCACCGCTATTCACACATTCTGTGTGAGTGAGTGTCATCTCGCCTGTAGAGCGACTGCCACGCAATCGAGCGTGTTCGGAGCGAGGGGGTCCAGTCCGACGATTCCTCCGCTCCGCTTCCTGAAGCCGAGAGCCAGAAAAAGTCCTCTCATGCCGCTGTTCAGCCAGACCTCCGTGTAGAATTTCCTAGGCGTCAATCGTGTGCATTACATTCATGCATGCATGCGGCATGCGTGCTTCAGAACAATGACCCCTTCGTAATCGATCTGTTTAGCACACTTCTTGTGGTTGTGTTGGAAGGCGATGCCGCATTTGGTAGAATTCCTGCGTGGAACGCAACGATCAGTACGGTCACGGTGGTAGCGCCGTCACAGAACACTACAAACGTCGTTCGATTCAACGTAATTGTAGAAGCTCCTGCATTGAACGCAACGATCAGCAGGGTTACGGTAGTGCCACCACAGAACATCACAAAGGTCGTTTGATTCAACGCAATTGTAGAAGCTCCTGCATTTAACGCAACGATCAGCAGGGTTACGGTAGTGCCACCACAGAACACCACAAAGAAAGGTCGTTTGATTCGACGTAGTGGAAGAGCTTCAGCATGGTTTTTTAAATCGCTTTACTTGATGAAGACTTCCAAAAATTTCACCTGGTAGTGCGAACATCGGGGCCTCGTTCTTGAGACGTATGACGACTTTAGCACTAACTGATCTACTCGGTGTAGGAATCGACGCTGAGCCCAAAGCATAGCATGGTCGTTAGAATCTCACAGAGAAGTTGAGAACACAGGGCAAACACCAACAACTATTTTTTCCAGTTTCGTGGTGGCGCTACCGATCTATCTGCAGCGTGCGACGGAAACAATCTAAAGGCAAGGGACAATGTCGCGGAAGTCCAGTAAACGATGATGACTGGGCAACAGTAGTGATTTGCGGGCACGTACACGCACGCTCGACGAAGACAAAAGCGCGTGACAAAGATTGTGCACGAACGTCAGCTAATATTGTTCTCGATTATTGTCTTTCCCCGTCTCACGCTCACGATCACTCATGATGAAGGGGATGATACCTCACTCACTTGTTGGATATCTTGAGGGTGCGGTACTTGACGTCGTCTGGGTGGTTGAGGACGTTTCGCAGATACTTGACCCCTACCGTTGAGTCTTCCCCCTGCCGGCGTGAAAGCGCGACACACCGCTGCACTTCCGCCAGGTCGGCCTCCACCGCGACAAGGCTGCCTTCTTTGCGCCGAAAAGTAACGGAAGGAAGCGCACGACGAACAATGCGCAGAGGGAAACAAAGAAGATTTGGGCATGATCTTGGTTCGGTGTACGACAAGCGGGTGGGGTGGGGGGGGGGGGGGGGGTACTACTCATGTTTTGCATGCCTTAGTTGTTAGGGCATTGACCACGCGTCCTCGAGAGGACGGAGCAGTGTTCCCACAGGAGGACCAATCACCAATGGCCAATCGTTCCTTCCTACTGCTGCCAAAGGTGCCTCAAAATTGTTCCCTATCCTATCTATCTCATTGATGCCACTCCTCGCCTTTTCAGCCCACTTCGACGGGGGGGTTGGTGTGGGGTAGGGTGTTTCGCAAAACACCAAAACATGATGATCTGGACACGGCATCGCTTTCATCAATCGCCTCCATCATTTCTGTCTCCATCACGAAAACACGTGGGGGTGACTATCGTGGCAGTGCAGAAGACGGTCACTCACGGTAAGGGTGATATCGAGCATTGTGGGAGTACTTCGTGTGTTTTGTCTCGACTTCGCGCACGCAAGATGCACACCGGCCTGTGGTTCGAGCTATTGGCGGTACGATAGGCTTGAAAATCGTAGCGGTGAGGTGGGAGGGGTAGCAAACGTTCGCTTCTACAAACCATGCTAGATCGCTTCCACCGCAGTGTGAACATCTCGAACCTTTTACGAAATTGCTCACCGCACGTACCCACATGCAATCAACGCCAGTATTTGTAGGGCTAGACCAAGCGTTTGTGACGAATTAACCCGCACCATCGTTGTGTACATAATAACAGTAACAAACCACTTCAACACATTATTTGTACAAATACAAGTGGCCAAACAAGTGATACAAAACGTGCATACAAACGTATGTTTGGACAAGTGGTATCACGAGCAGTGGCCGTCTCGTGCCACGGCCGCGCGGAATCACACCGCTCTCCCAGCAAACGATTGTCAGCGGTGACTCACGCCTCACGCGGTCGCGCACCTTCTTCTTGTTCCTTTTGGCGACACGAAAGCCAAGATGAAGAAGAACAATCCGCGGTCAACGGGCGGGCGGGGGGGGGGTGCGTAGGCGGGCGCGCAAGGAAGTTGGCATCAAGAAACGCCGTTCAATATCCCCACGAGTCCAGAAATCGATCGTGCAACGGGTCGAGAATTCGTGACATATCGCGCCATATGGCATACTACTTCATCGGGCAACATAATTTGTCGTCGATCGTCTGGATTTGGAGACAGTGCACTCTGTCGGGGAAGAAACAACGCTACAGGCGTAAGGTTTACAAATCAAGCTATTGGAGACGCTTTATGCAGAAACGCACACGAGCACGAGACCCGACAACAAACGTGAGCAGAGCGGGGAGAAAAAAAAAAAAAGGGTACGTGTGTCCCGAGACAACCTTTCGCAGTTTTATTGAAACCGGAAGGGGATAGGGAGAGGTGCGCCTGAGTAACTGTTGCAGTTGTTGACGTTGTTGTTGTCGTCGGTGTCGTCGTTCTTTCAATGAGAAAATACCCTGGTGTATCACGAATCAAATGAGCAGGGGACTAATGTTATTGGGGTATTCAAACCTGACCGTGACCATAAACAAGCAGCTTTATCTTCCCTTCCCGGATCAAAGATAATGAGGCAAGGACTCAAGGATATCCATGCCAACTGCGATTAAAAGGCGTCATGCATGCATGTACCTTGAGATCGTCATATTCTGCTGCAGTGGTGACCCTGTTGCGCATGGACTCAGATGGCACAGTTGTAGCAGTTGTAGCAGCAGCAGCAGTGCCAGCAGTGCCAGCAGGTTTAGTACCTCGTTTCAAGAAAACCTATGGCAGGAGAGCCAAAAGACAACCGCACAAGAAGAGCCACGAGGCGTTATATGGTGGGTGAGTGGGTGGATGGATGGGTGGACAAGCTATTCGCCTGATTGGAATATTATTTCTCTTCACCGAGAGAGCCTTTTGGGGGGGAGGGTCGTACCGACTTGTGCCGCACAGCTGATTACATCTTCTTGTCAAACCACTGCCCTCGAATGTCTTTCTCTAAATAGTGCCAGCTGGTGTACCTGCATCGTGGGTATCCTATTTTCTTTCAACATGGCCTGCTGCCTCTGCATGCTTATGGCTTGAATTATGGTCAAGGTTGAGGATAAAGGGTTAGTTAGTAGGCTCACCCTTGCCGCTTAAGGATAGGATCAGGATCATTAACCCTAAACGCGTTCTAGAAACGATCACCTGTCCGGGCCTCTTGTGCGAAAAGCAGTGCACCCCTCCTTGGCCTTCCGTACCGTACGAGGGGGCCTGCCGTTGGTGGGGCAGTAGGAAGAAAGATGGGAAGAGGCTTTGTTACTACCTGACATTGGGCAAGCTGGAAATCGTTTTTTCGTGCCCATTGAGCTATATGCACAACACGTTGTGTATAGGAGAGAGAGAGATCTACAGGGTTCGCGAACGAAAACAGAATCTTTCGGCGACGAAAGAAGGTGGCAATGTTGTTGTGTTGAAGAATTTTTAACTTACTCTGTCCTACTAACTCTGTCGATGCCAGGGATGAACAGCAGTGACTGGCTCTGTCCTCTTGACGGTTGCTCTTCCAATGATGTGGATGCAATATCAGGATTCCATTTTTTCTCCCACATCATACAGCAAGGCCCCGTCTTCCCAAAAACACGCCATGCTGCGACAGAAACAATTGAAACGCATGCCAGGACTTCGTCCCCCTAGATAGTATCCCGCCCCACCATGCGCAGTCCCATATCGGGCTATCACCTCCTCTCTCTTCCCACTATCATCGCACTAACAACGGAAAGAAAGCGGCGGAAACGGTCGTTTCGTGTTCGCACTGCATTCCAAACCGAACAACGAAAACAAAACGAGAACGGTCAAAGAAAAAGTTGCCTAGTTCCTTTTATCAAATGAAAATAAACGCCACAGGAAGTAGGCTAACCTAATTTAGCTTCATCGAATGCACTGCTTCATCTTAGGTATTCTCCACTTCCGGTGTTGTTCGTGTTCTTTGTAGGGGTCGGAGGCTGACGGAACCCAAAGCAGAGGTTGATACATACGCTTGCGGGGGCCGTTGGCAAATCATCAAGGTGGGAGTTACCCTCATATATTGGCATTTTTTGTTAGTCGCAAGTCTCAGAACATTGGGTGGCCTCGAGGACATCTCAAACCACTGCGGTTGCCAGGCGCCATGTCGCCAGAGAGTGAAAGGGACATGATGTGAGGGGAAGTCTCGAAACGACAAACAAACCGGGCCGCGGAACTACCTTAGTGCAGCCCTTGAAGGCGCAATGGGGGTTGTCGGAGTGCACCACACGATCGCTGTCCATGGTGACTGTTGTGGCGAGTGGGGGGGCACAGACGGTCAAGTTTAGTGGGGGGAAACGTCCAAGAGAGTAAAAGGTGAAATAATTTGACTTATCCCTACAGGTTGCAGGCCAAACAAGAGGTATTGGGCAAGAATCACGAAATGAAGTTTGGTAGAGAGCGCAAATATTGGGTACGTGGAGGGCATGATCGATCGGCTAAAGGAGCTGATTTCTAACATTCCTAGGTAAACAGGTAGATGACGTAGAATCCCTTGCAGCACCCGTCTACGCGATAGGCTTGGTTCAAGCGGGGCATTCAGGCCCTGTGCTTATTGCTGCGTACTGTAGCTCTGGTTTGTGGTCGGGTCGTTCGATAACAGCGTTTTGCTTAACCTGATGGGATGTACTCCAACCCCTTGGGAACATGCCCCTTATCGGCCGTCGGCTTGACACCGGCAGAACCCTTTCCAGAAGAAGACGAGTCAGACGGGTGTCGGAGGTACACCATGGCCGGCCTCTTGTGCTGAACGAGTACAGAACAAAAGCAACCAGTTGAAGCGGAAGAGCGAAAGGATTGCTTGATTTAGTGTATTTCGCGGTGATACAGGCGAGTGATAGTGTTGTTGACGTTTTCGCTGTTGCCAGAGCCAATACCAACAAACCGGAATGTCGCGGCAATCTTGTCGTTTGATCGACTACCCCGTTCTCCGTTTGAATGCTTCCCCGAGCTGGAGTCTCTTTCGCTTGGTTGTGTCCTTGAGGTCGGCAATAACGTGTGCGCTGCCCTGCCTTGAACAATGAAGTGTAACCACCATGCAAGGGGTAGAAGACTTCACAGGGTGAAAAATTGCTCCAGGCCTGTTCTTATCTGTTGGTGCGAATCGACTCCGACGCAAACGCGTACACACCTGTCATCAATTTCCCTCAACCTCACTTACACAGTGTTGGAACACCCGCCGTGCGTGTCTTTCGAAAAACAATCGATCAAACCTCTTGGCGTTGACGACACGCCACCTTTGCTCCTCCTACGGGAAAGAGGTTCTTCAGTTGGTTGATTTCCCGGCAGTCTCGTGTCCGCCGGGTCCCTATTCGGCGCGCTTACAAGCGAGCACACGCTTGCTCCCCTGGCCGTGTACTACCACCACCATGCATTTGGGTGCAAAATCAATGGAATCTCCACACACGAACACACCAGAGCACACATGACGGCTGCGCCCTCCCACCCGTAGCTTGGTGCCTTCATGCAGCCTGTTTCAAGGCAATGCTTGCCGTCGCCAGCGGCCCTCGCCGTGTGATGGGGGTCGTGCTTCCGGTCGGCAGGGTGTCGGTAGTCCAAACCTTTTGGAACGTGCCCCATCGCCTGTGGAATGAAAAGTCAACAGGTTTCGTAAGGGAGCGAAGTCTTTATTTAGCAGCAACACTCACTCTCGACGCTACACGTCACCGTTCTGTAGCGCGAAGGCGTGCGACACCGATACGTTGGACGTGTGCCAGAGGCGCATGTCCGAGAGGAGCAGTGAAGATTAGATAGGCAATGAAGAACGAAGACAGGTATCACTACGCACGGCACGGCATGCATCGTGCCTGGTATTTCGAAGTATTCCCGCGCGACAGCAGTTCTTAAGCCCAGGCAATTCCAGTACAGTGTGCATCATGACAAACATATAAGTCGGAGTAGCTGGTGCTGCTTGGTGCACTTAGAGAGTCCTATGCTTAACAAACGAACGTGTGAGTGGCAGCAACCCGCCAACAACGAACTGAGCCGTGGGTTTCACTCGCTCGCACTGGTTTCTTCGCGCATGTCACAGAGAGAGCTCATCCTTGTGCTACAGAGCTTGGAAATACCAGCGTCAGGGCATCCCCCGCTCCGCCGCGATGGTGCTCCGCCTTCCCTGCCAGGTACTCCTGGCCAGGCCGTTTGTGCGCCGAGCACGACACCCGCTCTTCGTTTGGGAATCCGAAAGACGGCGCCTGTTCACAATCCATCAAAGCGCAGATGCCGTGGAGTGTAGACTACAGCAGCACGGGGCGAGACATTATTGAGGGTAGTCGGTAGGACTAGAGAAGGTTTCTATAAGACCACGCATACACTAATTTTGTCTGACATTGAGGCACGATGAAGACAGAGAGAGACCAGTGGAGGTTGCTGCGTTTTGGGGGCTAGAGTCTAATCTCCGGCAAAGCGTTGTGCCGGCAAAGCGTTGTGGTTCTGCTCGGTCGTCGTTGTTAGTTTAACAGTGATGTTGACATTTTGTCTTCATAACACATCAAGTTGACGATCTCCACTACACTCCGTACCACACGAACTACATAGACGCCCCAAATATTCTACAACAGTGTTGACCCAATCAGGGTCTGAGGGAAGCGACTTCTATGATTCCAGTAGTGCGCGGCACAAACAAATCTTCAACTGGGGCTGCCTGCGCTGGCTCTCTCGCCAGATCTATTTTAGCGTTTTCTCTTGAACTGAAGTTGAGCTCCGGGCAACAATACCTGCGAACGGAATATGGCAGTTGCATAATGTTGGAGGTGAATGACCGGGTCGAGGGGACTTCCCCCTCCTCCATGGTGCGGTCCCGCATCCAAAGTATCAACAAGAACACGGTTCATACAGGTGTGCCTTGGTATGCCTTCAAGTTGCCGCTGGATGGAAATCTCGGTGTAGTCGAGAAACTCCAGACAATTGTTGAACAAGTTTTCGCACCTTAGAGCAACCTTCATGGTAGCACGTTTGACGTGTCATTGCCCTCCCAGATGCACCGCAGCGATATGGGCTACGAACACACAAGCAATAGCTGTGTGAGCACGTGAGCTGGACGGCGTGTGTGGATTGCCAAAACAGAGCCAGTGTGAATATTGGAATCCCCTAGGAAAGCATGCCAACGATATCTGAATGAACTCTTTTCTCACAATTGCGCCGCGTTCGTGGCTATCCTCGGTTGCTCGCTGCTCGCACCACTACGCTACGTGGCTAGCCGTACACAAAGCAGCAGGGCGGAGTCGTTGACGAGAAAGAGAGACGCACTAGCACCTGAAGACTGGCATTGTCAAGCCGGGCGCCAGGTACAACATGGGAGGATCTCTGGGGCCTAACGTTCTCATCACCGGGACGCCTGGGACGGGCAAGACCTGCACTTCGCAGCAGATCGCCGTGAGTCTGGTGTACTTGCGGACTTGTAGCCTGAGCTCCCATCAACCCCGCATGCACACGGAAGCACGGAAGGCTGTAGTGCTGCGTGCTGCAGCACATGTTTGTTCTTATTGTTGTGGATGTCTGCTGGTAGCTTCGGCATTGAAGCATTGAAGCTATCTAGAGTGGCAGGCTAACACCTTGTATAGGCTCTCTCTGTGTCCACAGCAGCAGTCCTGTCACCTGCAGCAACGCGCAGCGTTTGTTGGTCTAACTTCAAGCATGGTGCTGCTGCCACACGCGGAAACTTGCGCTGTCGTACGTAGATCGGCACACCATGCAACCGGGAGCGTCTCCTCGACATGTGTGTCTCTCCCACCCCAGATTCACCGCCCCCGCGGAGTATGCTCCACAAGCACTGCGGTACCGCTTCATCAGCTCTTTCCCCGTGGACCTAAAATAGACGGTGAACCCGCGTGGTTGTAGAGAAGACCTTCAATGGTTATGGCCCAACTCTCACCAGCAAGCTTTCTTTGACGCTTGCGGTTTGCTCTTTGCTGCGGCGCGTTTTTGCCAATGTGACAGGAGCGGACCGGGCTGAGACATATCAACGTGGGCGATGTGGTGAGACGCGTGGGTCACCCACGAAAAGAGCGCATCATGCGGTAGGAGGGGCTGAACTACTGCTGTACATCTTACGCCTAGCTTTAGTGCCAGGCGCACCCTGGGACACCGCGGTACCCGTTTGAGATCCCATCCGTTGAAGCCTTACCACATACTAGTTCGGAATAGATCGCCCAAGGCCGCTGGAGTCTTGGATGTTGTCGTGGTTGCAATCGTGTATTTGCGTGTCCGCATGGTGCTGTAGCTCTTGTGTGCTCCGACAGTGAGCCTGCTTCATTTTCCTCCAGTAGTTCTACAATGCTGTATTCAACCAGAACGACGTCCCGGCATACACAATACCAATCAGCCCTGAACCAAGGCCCAATCCCAAGGTTGCACACCACTTCCTCTCATGGCACCTCCATTTTGTCCCAATATGTGGCTGCGCTTGCACTTGCGTCCGGCCTGCGCAATGTCTGATTTGCGCCGGTGTCACCCCGATGTTTTCGCCTCTGTCCATTGAACGCCTCACGGCCATGTATGTCTAAGCTATCCGTTCCGTCTGCGTGCCACGGCAGGTTCGATTGAAGCAATGCCACGAGGGACGGGATGAGTCGTTTGACACCTTCATCCTCGACGAAGACAAGGTAGGTAGTAGACTGACTGCAGCACTTCCGTTGTTCGGTCGAGGAGGGAAACGGCTGAAACCTTCTCGCGATAAAACGGAGACAAGCACCGCAGGAGGAAATATAGGGCATGCGAACAACAAAATAATCCTTGTATCCTCCCTGCTTTTTACCGCGGCTGATGCGTCAAAACAGCACCGCAAGGTTTGTAGACTACAAGCGCCAGCATATCTAGGTGACAAACACTCACAGAATATTCGCCAAAGACCACCTTTCCAACACCCTTGAGGAATGCGCCACAACTTGTACTATGGCGTGTAGAGTATCTGAGGTGCAGACAAAACGAGGGTGACTTGTCGATGTGCGTGCAGCCGTGTTGGGAGCTTTGAGTGGCGCTTTTCCCTCACGTGGTGTCCGCGCCTCTTCTCGTGAACTTTCGGCAGCTTTGCGACGCGATGGAGACACAGATGGAGGAAGGCGGCAACGTGATCGACTTCCACTCGTGCGATTTCTTCCCGGAACACTGGTACGGTATGCATAGGACGACGGATGCCACCGCTCCCTTGGACCTAAAAAGGCACAGAACGTTTCTTCCAACTTGACACCTCTCTGGGGCTCTGTTCGGAAATTACGGACCATTCGAACTCTCATGTATTTGTCCCAAAGGTCCCTATATTTCCCAACAGAGTGGTTTTATACTGTTAGAGCTTTGCGTTGTCAACGCCCGAACAACGCGCATTCATTCCGATGTATACTGCTAAGTAACTAGCGCTGGTCTCCCAGAGATGCACATATCCTCGTGTTGGGGTTAACGTACGGTTGGTGTCCGCTCGGAATCCAGACCCCGTCAAGTACCGATCAATTCCAGTGTGTCGTGTCCCTAACGGTTGGTACGTATGATGCGCACCTTCCCACGGGGAGGTATTGGTATTATACCTCTTCGTGGGTGAATCTTTTAGCCTAGGGCATCGATGCGCTTGTTTCGCAGGTGGTGGTGCCTTGACGCTAGTGTGTCTCAAGACTCGACTTGTCAACAAACGAAGGGCATAATTGACTCATCTTATGCCCTCGCGAAACTCGTTCCAATGACAGGTTCGATTTAATCCTGGTATTGAGGGCGGAAACGAGCACTCTCTTCGACAGGTTAAAGGCCAGGTATGCGGGTCATGCGGCTGAACTGAGCTGCCTTTCCGCTTACGGCATTGATCGTCACTTCCTGAGGAAGCCGAAGCTTGGATGCGTTCGCCCGTACGGCGTGTACACTCTCTACATCGAATGTCGTAGGCGCAAGGATCAGGGTTTTTCGTTTAGTCCTATTGGAATTGTTGTTCGCTTTAGAGAACCTGCTGACTCTACCATCGTGTGGTGCGTGGTGCTGGGTCCCGAACACGCTTCCATTTTCAGGTTCTACAGATGATAATGCTTTCGCGAATTGTTCTTGCGGATGATGCTTGTCTCACGGCACGCACCCGCAACCTACACGCTAGACTCATGTCGAGAATTCCGACAGACAATCTTGCGAGCGCCTCTCTGCTGCTGCCAAATAATATTTGTGGCTATCTCGCCCTGAGATAGCTGTGGGAACAAAGAAAAGTCGCGTTCAAGTCAACCTGATCATGGTCCCCGAAACCGCTTCTACTTCGTCGCTCTCTCTCTCACAATAAATAAATAAAAATGTGTTGCAGGGGATACAGCGAGAAAAAGGTCGGCGAGAACGTGGAGTGCGAAATCATGCAGGTGGTGCTGGAGGAAGCGAAGGAGGGGTACCCGGAGGAGGCGGTGCACGAGGTGCCGAGCAATACCATAGAGGAGCTGGAGTCCAACGTGTCGAGGGTGGCGCAGTGGTTGGACGCGTGGCGCAGTAATAACGCCGACTGAGCTCGCGAAGTGAAGCGGTGGCGTGTGTGAGCCATCCATGTCGATAGGGATTCCAAGAGGAAATTGATGTTGAGGGGGAAAAGGTCGTGTCAGTAAGTTTTGAGCGGAGGAGAAGTACGTCGCCGTGACTTGAGGACGAAAAGTGTGGAGCTGGGAATCATTGGCGTTCTTCGCCGTGAATGCGCCGCTAAAAACATTGAACGAAAGAGTCGTTTAAAGACGAATTACCTTTAGAGGGCATGAGAGGACACGTGTACGTGAGCAAAAAGGTTAATTAATCCAGTACAGCACGTAACGGAGACGCATTAAGACTGCACGTCGGATCTGAAGCAATACCGTGGTTGACCGGATGCGAAGTGGGTTCGAACGCCACCTAGAGTTTTGATGGGACATGTCCCATCATTGTTCCCGAGTCTTGCATGAGATGTTATCATTGTAACATGAGTCTTGAATGAGATAAAAAGAGTCTTGATTGGAGAAAGTGTTTCCCCGGGGGTTGGCGAGCCGACAGGGAGCTCACAGCAGTATCAGTGCCGTAGCGAGGGACCTACAACAGTGTGTATAGAATCGGTCCCGTGGCTTAATACCCAAGAGATCGCCAGGATAAAGCACTTCGTGCGTCCAGGCCCAAAAAAGAGACCAAAATCGAGTAAATGTGGCGCACCTCGATGTTTCCTTTGTCTACTTCGATGCGGGCCTATCATGGAGACCAAGCCCTCTCAGTGAAAGAAAAAATGCCTGCCCAATTCACCCCGGGGGTCGAAAGAGGTACACAATGTACCTTGATCTGGGTTTTTACCTGTCTAGGGGCTAATATCGATAGGCGGGGGGAAATGTACTGCCGGCCACAGTGGACCAGAGAGACTACCGATATCGAAGGCAGGGGCGGCGTAAACGGCCGTGCTGCATCCCAGAAGGCTGTAAAACCAATGGGAGCCATACTGTTCCGTTCGAGCGAATCCCACCGATCACACCAAGTGAACAAAAAGCACACAAGTAGTGTTGTTGCCACGATGATGGAACAGACTCTAATATCGATTGCAAAATCTCTTTACAAGAGCAATTGCAACTCGATACACAAAACGCCAGTTGACTGCCAAAGCTTATGCTTTCCCCACGCACAAAAATTTGCAAGATGGACAGGTGAACCACGAGAGTAATTCGATGCCTTATACCTGAAATCGATACAGGGCTTCGGTGAACGAACTATTGTAAAACTAGCCATAAAAAGCGACTGCCCCCAAAAACGCATCAATGGGTTTGAAGTGAAGAAGGCCATCACGAAACATACGCCACATAAACGCGAGGCAGCAGCAGCAGTAACCCGACAAGCACACCACCTGTTCCTTGACAAAGAGAATGCCCTCCGAACAACGTTGGCGACACACACTGTTGCCAAATCGTTACATGAGTGGCTCCAGATCAATCTCTACGGCGGAGCTGGGATCCCGCAAGTCGTAGGCCTTGAGCACCTCCGGGTGTAGCATCCCGAAAGACCCCAGCCTGATTTCCCTCCACCCGGCGGAGCCCCCCTCCTCCGTGTCCTTCACCATCAGCAAAACGTCCGCGCACCTGCACGTGAACAGTCGCCAAAAGGTTGATGAGTGCAAGAGCGAAACGTCGCGGTCAGAGAAGCACGGTTTCCGGCTCGAGGCCAGGCGGTCACCACCGTGGCTGCTACCGCGGAAGAAAAACAGCATGCCAACTACCTGGATATAGACTACAATTGTGTTGCCCGTTTCGGGCGACTTGTGGGGTCAAAACCAAGGGCTTTAGCATCAAAGGCGGAGAATGCGGGTCAGTCACTGACTACTGCTGCTCTTTCTTTCTCTTGCGCGAGGAAGTCTCGACAATCCAACCTGTGGCCCGCGAAACGTCTTGAGATAACCGGGGTACGACGCTCGCTGTTGCTGCGGACACATGCCATGCGCCATGCAACCACACACAACAGCAAAACTGCTCAAACCATCTACGACCTACAATAGGTGTCTTAACTATTGAGAAAAGACAACACGTCGTTCGCGGAAAACAGCAGCCAACCATGGTATGTACCGCGTGCGCGTTCCCGCAGAACAACTCAGAAACGGTTTCAGCGATGATCAGGAGGCATGTATGCGTGCATCGTACCTTCCCGGGAAGAAGGTGGGGCGGTCAACCGGGTCGATGCGGTAGCGCATGTTCTCCCTCCACGGACCCCCCACTCGTGCACGCGGATCGTTCCCGGAATATTCTTCCGAAGGCGCCACCTGCAACGAGAGACCAAGCGTAGTGTTTGGCTTTTAAGAAAGGTGACGCACATCATGCGACACTAGGTCACGTTGCCTAAAGATACCAAATATAACGTCGCACCCTCGTCCATACATGAGATGCACGGGGGAATCCGTCCTTTCATACGTGCGTCCTGAAGGTGTCCATAGACGTTTACGTACTAAACACCTGCAACACGCTCGTCCTTCAGAACATACTATAATACAGTACACTATTCCGGTGTTAATATCAATTTCTTCTTGCCACACACCACGCAGGAAGAGAAAGGTGGCGGTGACCACGGGTGATCTCAAAACAACCCCAGTCCGAAATACATACTCCCCAAATATCAAATCACCCATACTTCTTTAGTAGTCCCCCCCTTACCACGTGCATCCAGCCCCGTCCCATTCCATCCCATCCCATCCCATCCCATCCCATCCCATCCCATCCCATCCCATCCCGTCACACCTGAACGAGCGACATAATTCTGTCGACGAGACCGTGGATGATCTCGAACCCCGCGGTGGGCCCCATGTAGGTGGCCACCAGACGGCGGCAGTTTCTGGCCCCGGTGTCGCAGGAATCGTCGCGTACGACCACGTCCGAAATCTCGAACAGGCGCACGCCGTCCTTCACCTTCGGGTTAGGAGCAAGCACCGGGATAGGCGAAACAGAGGAGTGACGTGATAGAAAGGCACGTCTGGACTATATTGCGTAGATCAAGAGGGCACGCGGGTTCAAACAATGGATGCAGTGCCCAAAACGGGACGCCATGAAATCGAGAGAGGGGGGGGGGGGGAGTGATGCAATGCCTACAAGGAAGAGTGATGCAATGTTGCAAAGAAAAAACAAAAATCGGGTAAGTCGGGTGGGGTATTATAAGGGACACAACGATAGAGCCGGAACCAAATTCCGCCGCCACCAACAGCCAAACATCGAAGGGCCGGTAGCGCCAACGTCGACATAACCCCGATATGGACGACGTGTACCGCCACCGCGCAGCACGCGACACAACAGCACCACTGACAACGCCAACACCAACAGCAGCAGCAGCAGCAGCAGCAGGCCAGCAAACAACCCACAGGCATCGCGCGGTTGAACTGCGCCGTCTTCAACGCTCCGGGTAGCAGGCTGGTCCTAACAACCTCGTACTCCACGTGCTTGGGGTTGGACAGGGACACGCACGGCTCCTCTTGGCGCCGAAGCATCTGCCGAACGAAAACGGGGGGGGGGGGGGGGGGGGGAGTCAGAATCCAGCGTTGTCTTGGAAGCTCAGACAGCGTTGAACGTGTTACGCACGCAGGACCATCGAGCATCATGCAGCCTAGATTAAAACACCGATGAAAAAGAACACCCACTCACAATCGCTACACGCTCGACACACCCACATTTCCAACACAGATGACGTCACATTCGCCCTATTTGTGGTCCTTTCAAGAGCTCATGTCGAACGCAAATGGCGTCACCTTGAAGTTCTCCGCCCTTGAGCAGAGGCCGTGCGTCAGCATCTCCGTGTACCCGGCCCTGGAGATCTCTTCCCGCAGGAGGTCTCCGAAGTTGTTCAGCGGCTGGTGCCCCCCGACCGTGAGGGTGGCGGGCAGCGTTGTCGGAATCCTGAACGAACGAGACGGTCGTTACCACCAGCAGCAGCAGCAGCAGCAGCATCGGCATCGGCATCGGCAGCACCAGCCGAAGGTTAAAAAGGCGAGTCCCAAGTGGGAGCCTGACGCGCTTGGTTGCGACTGCTGTGTGTAGGCAGGAATGGTCGTCGTTGCAGCAGCCGCCAGACCTTGTACACAAGCGCTTCCGCTCGAGATCAAAAATATTTCGATTCCAGCTTGTCGGTTTTTAGTGCTTGCAAGCAGCTCCAACACACCCATCTTCTCAAATACAAAAAAAAGTAAACTCAGAGAGATCACTCTGCATGCACAACAGCGAGCACGAAAACAGAAGTTTAAACGACAAGACACCAAGATGAATCCATGTGCCCGTCGTGGTGTTTCTACCCACGCGCTCGTAAAAAAAAAACATAAAAACAAAACAAAATTTGGGAACCCACGTCACAGGAAAGCTAAAGCCTGTCTCACTTGTTGAAACCGTAGGCGATGGCCACGTCCTCTACGACATCGACCGGGTGTAAGATGTCGCTGCGAGTCGGCGGCACCGTGACCTTGATCCCCTTCCCTCCCTCTTCCTCTCCCATCTCCACTACCTCGGCCGGCCCCAGCTGCATCTTGGTGCAAAGCCGACAGATCTCCTCTTCCTCGATCTGACAAGCGACCGGACGTTACCGCGATGGTAGAGTTAGTGGGGTCGGGTCACGTCTACAGCACGTGCCGTTTGTTTAAGGTCGTAGTAAAGCGTAAATAGGTCGCTGCCGGAGTTCGGTGGGGTTTGCGTTGGCCTGGCTGGCGTGCTGGTTTCGCCATCGTGCGCCGCCTTGGTACATGATCTCTCATCACCACCTGCCGCTTTTCTGCCGCCAACTACACTACTTCCCAGACTCGACGTTGCCACCCCGTGATTTCCACCGCTGGGATCTAAATACTCCGGTTTGTTTCGCGGGGGGGGGCAGGCAGCCTCGCAAACCCAACGCGAACCGTAAGCGCGCGCGCCCACCCTCCACAAGCACGCGGCCGATCACGTCTACTGCTGCACATGCAGAAACTTGTTGTCAACATACTACATAACCGCCGGGGACGAAGAGCTAGCGGTGGAACAAGACTCTCACCTCGACGCCGATGATGGAGCAAATCTCCGCGACCGAGGCCTTTTCGGTCCGGGTGGAAAGGAGGGGCGTCGTCTTCACGTCGCCGCTGTTGTCGTCGTACGTAACGTCCACAGGCTCCACCGAAAACTTGTCGCCGCAGTACTGCGATAGTCGGAACAACGCACGAAAATAATAAGTTGCTAGCACGGCCAAAAACAGGTAACCACACGATGAGAGTATTGTACGGTTTGTTTTTTAACGGGCTGCGTGCAGCGATCTGTGTTCGTACGCGAAACGGCTCAGGATACTTTCAATTACTCCTCATCCTTACACATCGCCTGTTTATCATTAGCTCTCCAGAGTCGCTACGCACCAAGATCACTGAAGACAATCTGCCCCCAACATGGTGCTGTCCATCCCAAACGCATGCGAGGGTCTACAAACATCACGCAGAGGGATCCACGTGTACGGCCCCCGTGAACGTCACCCACGTGCGTCTCGCACACACGCACAAAAAAAAAAACTATGAGAAACAAACATACACAAGACGGAGCGCATATACCATTATGTGACTTGCCTCACTGAACCGTTACACATGTGCGTCTCGATGTGCGTCTCGCACACCCAAAATAAAACACGCAAGACGGAACGCTGGTGTTACGGGTGACTTGCCTCACTGAACCCTCGCCCACGTACGTCTCGCACGCACACACAAAAAAAAAAAAGTCCTATGAGGACCATACGCAAGACGGAGCGCTTACATCACAGGTTGCTCACCTCGCTGAACATGGTCACCATGGTGTCGAGGACGATGTTGGCCTTGGTCAGATCGGTGGCGGTGCACTCGATGAACACGTCCGTCGTCTCCAGCCGGATGCGGCTCAGGTGGCCGTTGATGACCGGGGGCAGCGACAAGACGTCCCCGTTGGCGTCCTTGATGACAGGGTACACCTGAATAAAATAAAATAAAAATGACGGCACAAAATATTTGTAGAGGTGTCCGAGACGAGCGCCGGTTCCCCACCTCCCATGCAACGGTAGAATACAATCAAAACCTACATGCGGTGCGGTTTGTTTCATTAAGGTCACCTGTTTCCACAAAGGGTTTCTCCTTGGCGAACGTGCACTCACGCTACATCTCCGCCCGGGTCCCCGTACAGACCAGCTACAGGGATAACTACCACCACCAACAACAACGGCCTAGGGGACCTGCGGACTTGCGGAATAATAGCAGTACAATAGTGGACCCTACATAGCCCACTCCGTACTAAAACCTACATATCCCTGTTCTGAATAGTGCCGCTGGCCCGGTATAGTGCCCGTAAAACCTCTGGACACATCCCGGCACTAAACAGGGCCCACAACTGTAGTTGCATCGCATCGCGTCTACCTCGCTTTCGTAGATGATGGGTGTGTAGGGCTTGAGGTGCTTCACGGAAGGGTCCGTGTTGTATAGGTCCAACAGCGCCTTGGCGTTGAACGTCCCCTGTCAAAAGAGCACGCGCAGGGGGGGGGGGGGGGGGTAGGGGTGCCGAGCCGGTATGTTGTTATCGTGAGAAGCACTCATCGTCCAGATGTTTATTGGCGTAAATGGTCGGACACGGTTGCACTGATTGTGCCGATGCGAGCGAACGCACGGGTGCGTGATGGACTATAAAGGTCGATTTTCTACACAACCAAGAGGTTGTCAATGCCGAAAAGGGCGGTTTTAGAGACATGTCGAGACCTTTCTTTCCATGCGCGTGTCGATTGGGTTTCGATAGCACCCTCTATTGGTTGAGGACCTTCGGCAGTCGATCGCAAGTCCGTGCAACCGCCAAGACTCTTACTCTTACGGTTTTACCATCTTTGTTCAGTCAAAAAGATCGTCAAGGCATACACCTATGATTGGATTTCACGAAAATCTTTCGTCACACCTCGCCTGCCTCAAGCATAGGTACATGGATTGAAAAGACATGTTGTCCATACCCTTGACTGCAGGTTTCGCAAACTTCGACACTACGGTGCGCTCGCTACCGTCAGCAACAATACTCCACCAACCCTAGAGCGCAGTACAGCGTGCAGCCAATACTCTCACCACCACCGAATCACCACAGCTACCACTACCAACAGCACCTGGTCGCTGGGCGTAAGCGGCACGAAGTCGATGTCCGAAGGAGGAACGGCGTCGTAGCGGAAAGGCCCCTTGACCGTGTTGAGGTCGTGCGCCCCGATAGCGACGAGGGTGCGGCGTCGGCAGATGTTCTGGTGCAGCTTGTCCTGCATCCGACACCGATGAAACGACAAAAACGGTATGCCAGAAAAAAAAACAAGTACCAGGAAGAAAATTAACAAAAAGAACAATAGAAGAGGCCGAACGAACTATGCATCACATGAAAGCTGGGTGAGAACGTAGCGCTTTCTATCGAACTCCACACGTAAGATCATGGCAACGAAGCAAACGGAGAGCGCAGGTACCAGGAACCAGGAACCAGGAATATAGACGCCAGCACACGCGCTGGTGAAGGAAACACTCGTCGTGTCCGACTTCGTGGCCTGATTCCGCGGCAGCATACAACAATCAAGGCACAGAAGTTCTTCGATGCACTTACACGGCAAAGAGTTCCCGGCGATGTTATGAATGCAAAACGCAGAAGCCAATCTTTTCAGCTACGAGAGCCAAACAGAGGCACGTTCAACAACCAAACAACGAGCACCACCAGCGACATCGGACCCTCCGGAGGTGAACAAATTACACCGGGGGCACAGGTTACACCGCGTGCACAGGGGGCGGGCGAAAACGTGACACGCCAAACAAAAACGCCATAAAAACAAACCTGCAGATCCATGAAGCTCTTGTAGCTCTTCGAGTTGAAAGTCACCCCTCGAAGCACGGCGCACACAACGTACGGACGGATCTTGGCCGCCCCGGACCCAACGGTCATCTTTTGCCGCGCGCCCGCGCCCCCGGCAGGCTCAACGGTGCGGAAGACGGGCGAGTCCTCCTTGCCTGCGGGATGGGATGAGGGAACGACAGCGTGTTGGTTCGTTTCTTGCAGTCGGTTCATAAACAGGGGCGAGTTGCCAGAGAAATCGATTGCATACGCACGTTGCCGTGATCTCTTGGAAGATTGCCCTCGCGATAAGATGTGATCTTTGTAGGGACCCGGCCCACGATCGCAAGGCGGCAGTGTGTACGCCGACGATCACAGGCACGCCACAATCGAATCCAGGGTCGAGAGAAGGCGTTAAAAAAATGAAACGAACGAGGCCAAACCTCGTGCTTGGGACGAAGCACATTTGTCTGGGATCGGAGGAGTTTGAAAGGGGGAAAAGGAAGAAAAACAAAACAGCCACCAACTCCCGTGCGCCCTCTGTGAACGCACGCGGGGTACCCAGTGTACCCCCGCTCTGTAGGTTGCGCAACCGACGCGAAGTCTCCCATTCGACTGTGGTTCTTTTTGCCAACGGGAACAAACCTGAACACCCTCCTGCTACTGTGCCTTTTCAAGTACAATCACCAACACCAGGCATTGTGCGCTGACAGTGTAGTACATGGTAAACTTCGTCGCGCGGGAAAATTGAAAGGCGGTCTGCCAGTAAGGCGGGTATGACACCACAAACTACGTTGCTTTCCGTGGGCGGAGAGCGCTTACGGCACGCCATTCCACTCCATGCCATTCGCTGCATCATCTCCGCGCACGTTCACTCAACTTCTACCACCTCTTTGAAGAAAGAGAAGCTACCACCTCTTTGAAGAAAGAGAAGCTGAGGGTGGTTTCCATAGTTGTTGCGCAGACTCTAGTACAACCGGCCTGGCGCTCTGTGCCAGTCAGAGAGATGACCGAGCACACGCCTGACGGCAGGGCGGAGAATGCCCAAGCAATATCGCACTCACACCGCTGTACAACACGCACTCACCCAAGAAGACTCTTAGGGCCCTGGCAAGCCCTTCGATGCACAGGAGATCGTACCGGTTGGCCGGGATGTCGATCTTGTACACTACATCGGTCGAGGCTGCTCCCGCCCCTCCTGCTCTACCTCCACCCTATATAGTCAGCAAGAGAAGAATCGCAAGGACGCGGTCACCATATCTTGCGGGCTGTATGCACACAGCAGTAGAGCTCTAAATGTATTGCGGGAAAAACCATTGGCACTACAACTTAGCTCTACTTCTTTGGATTTACGGACCTTCCCCCAAAGCGCGGGTCCCTATACAACGCGGTGAGTTCACTGCTCCTGTACACCGCGACATATTAGGGAAAAAAATACACACGCAGAGAGACTATTGTGCCCGTTCGAGATGTACCTACATTCGAACGGGATGTAGTTTTGAGTCTTTTCAGTGAGAGATTTTGTAGGGACCACTGCTACGGCTGTATGCACGCCATAAAAAATGAGGAAGAATAAACCGCGCGTTCCGCTTCGCATTCGACGGTGAAAATATTAAGAGGACACGGCCAACCAACTACTACACAACTACCAGTAGCCGATATACATGGTGGCAAGGCTAAGTGAAGGGATGAGGCATGTGCGGGGCGGGTGAGGACGGCAACAGGAGCGAAATCCTCCGCGATTATACTATCTACAGCATCACCGGTACGTAGCTGAGGTCCAGAGTGCCTAAGGAACGGCAATGCAGCCAATCGGCCGTCCATAAAGCTCTTTGCACATCATCCCCCACGGCAAACACGATGCCTTGCGTCTTCTCCGTGCACAAACACATTGTTGTTCATCCACAGGAGTAGTCTATGCAACATACCTGCGACTGCTTCTCCAATTCGATTGCTTCCGAGGTCACTTCGTCCAGCTCGATGCCGAACTCGAAGCAAAGCTCGTCGAACTCTTTCTCCGTGTAGACGTGACCAAGGGCCTCGAAGAGGTCATCTCTGTTCACTCCCAGCGTAGGCATGCTGGCGGCTAGCGACCCCCACGATCAGCCTGTCTCCGCCTGGCAAAGCGCGGCCCACAGCCCCTTCTTGCACTACAAATGGCATGCAACACAGCGCAGGTCCGTAGTGCTTGGGTTTTACAGACATGATATGTTATTCGGGAAGAGCGTCCTGTTGTGCAAGAAGCTATACAGAGGAATAAGCAAAGCACGACCTAGGAACAAGCAGAGCACGCTGCTGGCTGTGGAGTCAAGCCTACCTGCCGCGGCCATGAAGAAGGCGTGCTGTGCTGCAACGGCGTCAAACACAGCTGCACCACACAGAACGTTCTTCGAGCGAATAAAGCACTGACGTCCTTCGTTTTGCACAATTTCTACACTACAGGTGACCAACAACACCCTATCGTATCGTCACGCGAGAACTCACCGTATCGGGTACGTGCAGGCTTTGCTGCTCGTCTGTGTTTTGCAAACGTGAACCAGAGGGCTTAGCGTGGGGGGCGTCCGCAGATGAAATATGCGGGAAAGTACACACTCCCCGTGCGGTAGTCGGTCGATATTTTTGTGCCCCACGTTGCACGACAGCAGGTTTGCACAGCAGCAGGTGCCGTGCTTAGAGGCAGGGGGGCCAACCGGGCGACAGTGGGCAACATACGCTTGCACCATGGCCGACTTCAGTGAAGGGAGGGAGGTGGGCGAAAATCGACTGAAGTTCTCGTGCTTTTCCGAAATGAAAACAGAGGGGGAGGACAGCCGCCGTATTCTTCCCTAGAAACAGCAGCGTGCAGCAGAGGGTAGAGCGTGACCAAGTAGTGATGACTGATGCAGCATGAAAATAAGCCGAACCTTACAGAACCCAACAAGTTAGTAACACCATGATTGCCATGGACTGCTTTTCTGTCCGCTGTGGCAGTTCGATTGTGTGCAAGAGCAACGAAACATAGACATTCGTACATAGAATAGCCGTGCCTTGCCAACATCTCTCCGCTTCTTTTTGAATTGCAATCGACCCGTCCACCGCCGTAAGTAACGCAAGATACCACGCCCCCTTGACCGGTTTTCAAAGCTCGATTACTCCACAGCAGAAAAAGTGGCGGTGCCGAAAGTGGCGGCGTTGGAACCATCTCGTCGAGATCTTTCCTCCGACAACACATGAAAATTGAGTTTGTGGGCACCCTCTTTCGTCGAGCTTTGAAAATCGGTCAAGGGGGCGTGGTATCTTGTGTCATGTCACCCACAGTGAAACGTGCGGTGATCCAGCAGCAGCAGCAACAGCAGCAGCAACAGCAGCATGACACCCCGAAACCATGGTGCGTACGGATGGTGCTTCGTGCTGTGATCCGCCGATCCAATGAATCGTTCCGATCGAGGGCGCAGGTGTCTCGGAGTCCCACGACGGTTAACAAGCTCGACGAGGCAATCGAGCGTGAGGTGCGCCCTTGGCTGGACCTTGTGGACTCGCTCAGGGCTCAGGGCATCCAGGATGAGCTCAGTCTGCCTCAGGTATTTTGCCTATTACAATGGTGTTCGCTATTGTAGCGCAGGCAGGAGTGTCATGCAAAGACGGAGTCACCTTTTTGTTGCACCAGGCCGAGGATTGTTCTTTCCCCCGACCTTAGCGGCACATCACGTCCGTAAACCTTCAACTTAACGTTGCAGTTCACCCTTATGTGCGTGGACTGCTGCAGTCGCCTTCATAGCAGGCACAGCTATTTTTGCAAAATGTGTTTGGGATTTTTCTCAGCATACGTCCAAAAAATGCAACAACGACGAAAGACCGTGCCAGGGATTTAGCACACCTGGTAACAACACAGTGTCTTGAGCATCGGCGCCCAAACATCAAGCAGCTTCTGCTGTATTGACCGGATCATCCTCCGTTTCCACGGTCAATGCTGCTGCCCCTTAGAGTCAACTGAAATGCGATAAGGAACATACCTGGAAGGAACTATATTTTAATAACAGTCTGCAATGGAACTTGCGCGACAACCTACGGTAGCGCGTGTAGTTGGTGCGCCCTGCCAGCGCTGACACACGAAATACATGGTTTTCTGCAATAGGCGAATGAGGACGGTAGTGTGTGGATGCTGCGTGCTACGGCTGTGTGCGTATGCACATGTATGTAGCCTCACATATCGCTGAGGTCTGTGCGTAACGATCGGTCTGTCGTCCTTGTGAAGGGTGTCACCTCAGCTCCCCCCCACAAAGAATTGCAAGGGTTGGCACGTGGAAATCAATAATATGCTTGTAAACTTCAAAGTAGTCTTGGTGACTCACTGCTTCTGCTGTTCGTGTGTTTTCCACTATTTCCAACAGATCGCTGTGATGGGCGACCAATCTTGCGGGAAGAGCTCCGTTCTGGAGGCGTTGTCCGGCGTCCAGTTTCCCAGGGGATCGGGGCTGGTGACGCGATGTCCCGTACAGCTCATCATGAAACGCACCAAGCCCGGGGATGGATGGCACGGTGAGCACCTCTCCTGTGCTGTAGCACCGTTGCGTTGATACGCACAGGCCATTAGACCGCGCCAAGTATAAGATTATTGCCACCACGAGAGATTCAGGTTCATCAGTTTCGAAAGTCATGAAGGGGAACAGACGATGGTAGCAAACGAGGAAATGCGAAGATGCTTTGATAGGCATACCGTAGGTGACATGATGTAAGATATCACACCCTCTGGGCCGACTTTCACAGCTCGACTTCTCCACACCAGAGGAGTGTGGCGGAGCCGAAAATGGCGGGAGGCGTTGGGACCGTCTCGTCGAGATCTTATCGAAAGCGGATCGTTTGATTCTGATATCCTCTTCGTCGTGGCGTAATCGAGTTTTGAAAATCGTCCAGGAGGTCTCTCATGTCACCTACGGTAGGCCACTAGACCGCGCCAAATATTCGCATATACAGCTACAGCATGCGATTCAGGTATACGCACGTCGAAATTTGGGGAAAGCGGAATGGACGGCGGCGGGAAGCGATGATGCCACGAAAAGCAGTCGACGCTCACGTGCTCCACCAATTCCAATCGCGTCACCTTTCTACAGCACTAGTAGTGGGTTGCGTTCCCCCGAAGTATGTCGTCGCACCGAACGTAAATTCTGTACGACAACATGAAAAAACGTCGTTGGTGCACCCTTGCCCTCTCGCACGTGAAGTCATGCGGTGTCTGTCTGTCGAAGGAAGGGCGCCGTTGGGCCGCGGCTGCATACCATCGTTTTTTTGTTGTCTTGTGTTTGTCGTTCCCATTGATCCCATCGAGGTATAACCTCCTCTTCCACGCCTGGAGAGGAAACTTCACTTTACCGGATCAATCGAAATCGGAGACTTTCTACCTGTGCCCTCGGAGTGACTCGATTTGTTCACGTAAAAGCACTTAGCATTTCTTCTGTCACCGATTTTTTCATGTTATTACTACTTGCTCCATCCTTCTGGCAGTCTCGCTACCTACCCGTCTTGCTCTCGTCTTGTCTGACCTCTCGTGTTTTGTGCCGTTTGGCGCCGCAGGTAAGACTAGCGTGGAGTGGAAGCGGGGTCCTCAGCCCCCCGCGGCGGGGCACGTGGCGTCGCCGGAGGCGCTGGTCGGGGTGATCGAGGAGCTCATGAATGCGGTCAGTGTGTGTGTGTGTGCTGTTATAACACTACAGTAAGCCTCTCCTGCTGGCGTATGAGCACCGTTTCAGTCGCTTCGTGTGGGTGTTTTTCGTCTTGGGGCATGCCTTCGTTCGTGCCTGTCTGCGAGTTAGCACAACGCGCGTGCTTGAACTTGGCAATGCCGCGCGTAGTTTACTCGAGAGAGCCTTGTACCAGAATCCCGCAACAAGTTTGGTGTGGTACGAGCTTGAGAACTCGGTGAAGTTTTTCGCGACATACTGTAGGACCACGCATACCACCGGTGCCGACGAAATTTCCACCATCGTCTACGTGTGGCGAAAATAGTTTTTCACGCAGCAGTATTTCCAACTACTTGGCAATACTCAACAGTCGGCGGTCCTCTATAAGCAGCACCCTGAATAACGGCACCAACACCTCTTGTCACTACCTACCGCTATTGAGGACCGCAGACTGTAATTTTGAGTGGTTCGTGGGATGTGTGCAGTTTACTCTCTCGCACAACTGCTCAAGCCAACGAGAGCGAACTCGATGTGGCCTAATCGCATTCGCTTGGAATCCAGGTGTGCGAGGGTCAGAAGAATGGCTTCAGCAGCGACTTTATTGCCATCGAGATCAAGTCTCCCGACTGCCCAGACCTAACGCTCATCGATCTTCCAGGGATTGTTCGAACGGCCGTGTCAGGCCAGAGCCAGGGGGTCATCACGGAGGTGAATAGTGGGGGGGGGGGGGGGTAGGACGGTGCTGTGCCTGTTTTGATTTCGCGAGGCGTGAACATAAGGCATTATTGTTTGTATTCGACACGAGCATAAGGCGCTTGCTTGTGAATATCCGTAAGTTCTTGAAAGCACCTCTTCACGTAGCTGTAGCTGTTGCACAGCGTGAGCCTGTCTTGTATTCTTTGCACTACTCGTGACCGCTGCATCTAGACTGCGATTGATTCCCTTTGCTGTCTTTTTGGATATAATGTTTTTTTTAGGCCAAGCGGGTGACATAGTTTTCGTGCGGTTGGTGTAGATAAATCGCTCCGGCTGAAGCGGCTGCACGACATCCGATGACAACGGACTCGGCACTGGTGACAACGGACAAACAAATAAAAACATTGACCTAAGGACGCAGGCTGCCCTCTTGAGAATGTGGCTTTGGCAGGATCGAATTCGTAGTGGGGGTCGTTCCTGTCCAATTGTCAACAAGATTCGATCGCATCTTCCTTTTTTGTCGGCATAGTGGTAAACGTCCTGTCTACACCTGCATCTCACGAGTTTGGTGATCGAAACGCCAGCCAGCCCTTTGTGTTTTGTTTGGAGACTCCGTGCTATAGTTCCTGAGTCTAAATAGGATGTTCCCATGATTTGACGCACGCGGGAAATATCTCCAGGTGAACGGACTGATCGAGAACTATCTCCGGTCAGAGCGGACCATCATTCTAGCCATCGTGCCAGCCAATCAGGACGTGGCTACGGTGGACATCTTGGAGAGGGCCAAGAAGGTATCTACGTACGCAAATCCTAGCGCAAGGAATCGTTGCTCTTTTGTGTAACCCCCGTTACACAAGTGTCTGTCGCTGTGGTGTTGGCTATTGTTGACCCCGACCGAGTTGGGGCATCCAAATCATGGAGTTGTCGTCACCGAGCGTTTTGTCCGCCACGTGACGGCAGCTCGTCTGTTGCTTCTTTCAAGCCAGCGCTTTTAAGTCCCGAGGCAACATGTTTTGCCGATATTGGCGTTGAAGTTGTGGTATGATTCCGGTGTTAACTTTCGAGGTGTTTTTTCCGCTGCCAGCCTTTGAGAGGGCTGCAGTCGACTCGCACCGTACACCGCAGCTATGCGTATGACCTTGCTGTGGTGGTTACTTCTGTATCGCAGCTGCGACCCACGATGCTGTCGTGGTGGCAACGGCTCGATTTTGCGCGTGGGCACGATCACCCCAACAGGTTGAGGCTCTGAGAGAGAGCAGATAAGCCTAGTAGCACTACTACTCCTTGTTGAAATACTGAGTATCCCTATATCCCTTTGCGTGCGTGTTTTTTTTTGTAGGTTGTCGTCACACGTGTTGGCGTGTTGCTATTCAATGCCATGACCGTACGTTATTCAACGTCATGAAGGTGTGTTATTTAACGTCATGACGGTGTGTCATTCAGCGTTATCACGATGTGTTATCCAACGTCATGACGGTGTTGTGTGGTGTTGGCGAACGGAAATGAACAGGTGGACCCGTCGGGAAAGCGTACGATCGGCGTGTTGACGAAGCCGGACCTCATTAACCCGGGTGGAGAGGCGGAGGTGCTGGAGGTGCTCAGCAACAACAGAAAACCGCTCAAGCTGGGATACGTGATGGTCAAGGTGAGATGATGCCACCCTGTCGCCGCGAAGTGAAATCTCTCTCTCTCTCTCTCCCTCTCTCTCTCTCTCTCTCTCTCTCTCCCTCTCTCTTTCTCTCTAAAGAGTGAGTTGTTTGACGGGGGTTAGCCAAGCGATTGGCGCGCTTCGTTGCCTCGTCTTCTGCTGAGGACACAATTGTGCACACATACTTGGCCGAGAAGTACCCAAACTGCTGTCGTTAGGCTTGTTAGGTTTGCGTGGACATGGGGACACGTCATGTCCGCGAAGGCAATGCAGCGGGCGGTGGACGCTGGCTAGCTCTTGTATTGTCGCACTGAGACGGTCCTGATGTGGTTCCTGGGGAGCACAGGGTTGACGGCGAGTTGGGACTCCGCTCTCGGCTGCTACCGTAGATGGCGTTGCGGAGGCCTACTCAAGGAAAATGCCCAGGGGTCTCGGGCTGTGAAAACTCCTAAATACCAGCAGAATGCATGGCACCTACGTACGAGCAACGACTAAATGAGTTAGACGGAAGATACGAAAACCGTTACCCGACAACATCAACTCAAAGGTTGACTTTTGTTTTTTCATTCCTCGAAGAAGAAACAGGCATCATACTTCGTACCTCCTTCCTGACTGCTGTGCCTGGGACATTTTGTTTTTATGTTGACGCGAAAATTGGTCTGTTTTCTTCCTCCCGGTCGTGCCTGCGCATCGCAGAATCGCAACCAGCTGCAGCTGCGGGAGGGGGTGTCTCTCAAGGAGGCCCACGACGCGGAGATGGACTTCTTCAAATCACACGCTGTCTTCAAAACCGTGAGTCCTTGTCTGTACCACGAGTGGCCTTGTACTCCGCGTGCGTAAGAGCACAGGCGTTGGTATGCTCTGAAATCGGCAAGCCTTCAGAAGGGCGAGTCCTTAGTTGCCATAAGATTGGCCTTGCACTCCGCCTGAATGGCCAAGCCTTGCTTCGGACACAGGAGGAAGTTTGGAGTGCACTAAAACAAGGCTATCGCTGTAGTGCTGCATCTGTTGTGTTGAGTAATGTGTATATGTGTGTTATGTCTACCCGGGCGCTAAGAAGACGGTCAACGATCAGCCTGCTTTTAAAGCCTCTCGTGTGGATCGAGGTCGAGACGTTGTGTATAAGGCCCACACGTCAACGTCCCACACTCGCGTTATCGGTCTGCTACAAATAATTAAAAAAGCTAAAACTACGTTCATCTGTCGACAAAGAATTTAAACAATGACGGTTTCATCATGCGGTAAGTCGTGCCACAATCGTCGTAACCCCAAGCGCTGCGTGTTTGTGTCTGGTGGCGGAAGGTGGACAGTACCTGTCTCGGAGTGGAGTCGTTGACGAAGCGGCTCGTGAGCCTGCTGACGGTCAGGATCAAGGACGCTCTGCCCAACATGAAGTGGGAGCTGCAGGAAAGCTTGTGTAAGTACGTGTAGATGTGCCTATTAATAGCTCTTTCAAGGGTTTGCGGCATGATGCCACGCTCGTCGTGTGTTTTTTTTTTCTCGCGTGCGCGAAGAAGACATGAGAGAGGGGTTATTGCTCGTTCTATGTAAGAGGGCTGATCAGTTTGTCCTCCCAAACACCAACCCAAAGCAGTTAAATTGCCACACCCATTTATTCGGCCTTCTAAAGACCAACAGACTCGAAACAAAGGAAGACAATCACCCTTACAGGGAGAGAGGTCAACCGCCTCAGGAGCCCCAACTATTGATATTTCCACGACTGGCTTGCATGATTCCTGTTTTTGGAGGAACAAACGTTGCACTGGAACGTAGACAGCAGACGAGCGTATCACGTCTCGGGAAGTGATAATATTCACACTAGCACTGCTGAACGACGACTCTTGCTTACGGAAGACAAGCCATCCACTACAAGCGCTCTTTTGTTGCGTCTTTCCCGCTACACGTTAGCCCCCAGCGTCATGGGTTGGATCCAGCTTCGAATGATCGCGGCGACGCCCGTTGGTCACTCGTTTGGCTGTCTGTGCGTGTGTGTGTCAAGTGTTCTTTGAGTTTAATTTTGGTTGTTACATGTACGTTTTTGTATTTTGTGTGATTCCAGCGGAGGTGGAGCGGGACCTGATACCGCTGGCGCAGCACGCCCCCCAGAAGTTCGGCGACAAGCTCAAGACGCTGGTACAGCTGATCGGGGTGTTCTGCCGGTTACTGAGGAGCAGCATCAAGGTGTGCGTGTATACCTATGTCCCATTTTTTCTGGCGCCAGTTTACACACACCTCTCGGTGTCCATGTTTGACGTATCAGCGAGGGTCACACAGAGGAGCAAGGTCACATTTTATTTTATTTTTGCACCGCCACAGCCCGCCGCCGCGGTGTAGATTCCCTTGTAACGTTTCCCCGTTCCTGCGTATGCCGGGTTCTTGTTTGTTTTTTTATCGCGACAGGGGGAGTACCGGGATCCTGCTCTCAACACGCACCCCGAACTGCGAGTCAGGTGAGTTACGATATTTTTCGACATATCTTCCCCCAAAAGACGACAATGTTCAATATGACCATTGACTGCTGTGTGCTCCTTGTGTAAATAAATAGCACACGCACATGCCACGCGCATCATCTCGTGGTCCGTTTTGCGGTGCTTGGGTCATTGTGCGTGTACGGGTACGCAAGCGTTCGGTCGACGATGGTGTTTCTTGGTATGTGCTGGTGCTAGAAAGGTGCGTGTCGAGATAACCTTGTGTGGTACATGTAGTCGTTGCCTCCGTATACATTTTATCGCCTCAGAGGTTGCGTGTCGGCGTGACGCAAGGTTGTTCGTGATCTTCTTTCTGGCCATACACGTGGGTCTGCGTCATGACGCCGTGACCGTTAGCTCGTCTGCCGGTGCGGTGCATTTTGGTGTGTGTCCCCCTCGACTATTTTGTCTTGGTCTTGTGCCGTACCGTACCTTATGGTACCGTACCGTATCGCCCTGGTGCGTCTCATCTCCGTAGATCTGTGGCGGACCGAGCTTTCCGAGACCTGCAGAGCGGCGTAGCTTCTCTGAACCCGGGGTTCGAGCACCCGGATTTCCCGAAAGTTCTGCAGGATCAGCTCAAGGCCCACAGGTGTGATGTCGCGTATCCTTTTGACTTAAAAGGCGAGATGGTAAACGAAAAAAAGACAGTGGGAATACCCTCAGAGTTGTTCGGCCTTGGCATACTGCTGGACAGTAAAACCACTACCGCAAGAAAAGGGCATACACGTTTTTTTTGTTTTGTGGCGACGACGATGCAGTGGTCTCCTTTTTGTACAAGAGACTGCAGCAGCGACGAAACGTCTGCTTGCGTGCAACCGACAGCAACATGGACACAAACACATAATCAGAAACGAAACAACAACAACAACAACAGCGACGACGATGACAACAGCAGCAGCAGCAGCAGCAGCAGCAGCAACAACAACTGCTAACAAGTGACAGTCGTAATTTTCGAGATGCCAGTTGTCATCCTTTGTACTGGTGTGGGATAAGCACATATATTTCCGAATCCACGCGTCCGTCTCAGTCGACCCTTATGATACCGCGGTCACTCACTGCTGTGAACGTGTTGGTTGTGATGGCGTTGAGTACACTGCTAGATTACGCCGTAGTGCCCTAATGTACGCTTCGCGGCGCTTGGGATTCGCTCTCACGCCTGCTTGCCGCTTTGCGCGGTGCGACAGGGGGCGAGAGCTGTGCGGGATCGTCAACAGCCAGTTTTTCTTCATCTTCATGCTTCAGCAGGTGACGCACTACGATTTGTGGTGATGCTACTGTAGAAAAATAATTTTGTTGTTTTTCGTCTTGACACTAACATCTTTTCATTCCTCTATACCCAGTATGTACAACTCCTCTTTCAAACTTGTAGAGACGAAATTCCGCAGTCGTAACCCAAACCAAAGATCCAGGGCAGTCCCAAATGCGTACATCTCGATAGAAATACTGGGAGATGTTTCCTTTGTATGCGATGATGCCATGTACATGTATTTCTTTTTGGCGAGTACAGTATTGGTGTTCTCTTCCTACACAGCCGCTAGTGCGCCCGTGCTCCCAAGCAGACGTCGTTGATTTCTCTGGGTGGTTCATGGTCATGCGCCGATGGTCTCATACGATCTTGCGGCAACCTCTGTATCAGTAATCAGTGTGGAATGCTTCATGTGTTTGCACGTTTAGGATTGAGCCCTTGTCTTGCGAACGATGGTTGATAGACGTCGCCCTAGGCACCGTTCGTCCCCTTAAATCAGACCACGATTGTCTGTGTCGATCATACAAGCACGAGAGTTCGTCTAACGAATATGTTTTATGTACAAACGGTGAACTAATTCTATATAACGCCCGTATCTTGTTTCCTGCTTTTTTGTGTGGACTCTCTCGTGCTGCAGGTCGAAAAGTTCCGTCCCGTTGTAGAAACGTGTCGAAATCTTTGCTGCAACAGCCTCCTCAACATCGCGGTCAGCCTCGTCAGCGAGGTATGCGGTTGTGCTTGCGGTATGACCCGTACTTTCACGGCAATACCGGTACCTTCCGTGTCGTCTCGTACCGTTACACATCGCGTTTCATCCCGTTTCAAGAACCTCCGTGTCGTTTCGTGTCGTTTCATCGTACCGGTATGGGTTGTACCGCACATCTGTCTACTGTGGCGAGATCTGACTTGTCGCGCTGGTTGCTGTTGGCAGGTGGCCCCCCAGTACCCCCGACTGCAACAAGCCTTCCAGGGCATCATCGAGAGCACAGTGCCGAACATGGCGGAGGAGCTGCAGCCCGAGCTCGACCAGCTTTTCGACAAAGAGAAGAACCCCTTCACGGAGAACCAGGTACATACCGTACCGTACCGTATTCCACGCAAACAACTTAGGGAATTCGTCGTCAATGTGTGTGTATTATGTTGCGTTCTGCAACAGGGCCAGAAGAGATACACGTCATGCGCTTGTCGATGATGGAGGACTACCTATAGCAGAACTGATAGAAAATGCGCTTGTCTTGTTTTTATCCGATCTCCCGGAAGACAAGTTGAAGCCGAAAGGCGTGTGTCGTTGATTACTTGTCGACCACGTAGCTTCGCCTGAAACCGCTGGAGTTGAAACTGTGTGTTACCGCCAAAACTTTGTGTACGTTTGTCTTGTTTTCTTTTGTTCAGGATCTGGTTGAGGCGATCAATCAAGTCAGGTTCGAGCGGTTTGACAGGGTGCTGCATCAGGTAAACCTCTTTGACTTGTTTAGCTAGTGTCCTGTTGAGTTGGCGTGGTGTTGATTTGTTGTTTCTCTTTTCTGGTTCGGCTAGAGTCGGAAGCATGCACGACGTGTTGGGAAGATAATGTAGTTCGTAGCTCGAAACGACCATACGACTCGTCAACGATACAAGCGCGCTCTGCTGTTGTGACGTCGATCGATACACCGCTCCCTAACGAGTTATGTTATCTAAAACTCCATGTATTCATTTCTAATATCATCCCCGTCGTGAACAATTGCCCTTGTGTTGTTACTAGGTTCTTGTAGAGGCCGGAGACGGCCCTCCCAACGGCGGGGATGCATCTGACGTAACCCCTCTCAAGGAGTGGGTCACCTATAACCTCGGGCAGGTAAGCATTGTTGCACTACGGTACTTGTCACGAACGCGTGTTAAAGGTGACAAAAAAAAATTGTTGCAGAGATTATCAATTAGGTTTTTGACGTCGTTGTTGCTCCTGCCATTTGTCCCGAATACCTTGCTGCGAATACTTGCTGCGAATACATACGCATGCAACGTGCGTACATACATCACGGGGTCGTTGATCCAGTTTCGATTTGGTTCCTTTCGTTTCCACCATCGCAGTGGTTCCGGTTCGCCCACGGAGCGAATCCTACCTCCAAGGTGGAAGACATGAGCACCATCCTGCAGGCCTACTGGCGCGTGACGTCCAAGCGCGTCGTGGACAACGCCTGCATGCTCCTGGAAACCTCCTTCTTCGGGCAAGTGGTGGACAGGCTGGAGACCCAGCTCCTCGCGCTAACCCAGGCGATCACCCAAGAGGAGGGGCAGGACAAGGCGGAGGCGAAGGCGGCGGCGGGGCAGGAGGGGATGGGATGGCAGCAGCCCCGGTTGGGCATCTTCAACGTGAGAAGTCGTGTGTGTGTGTGTGTTGGTTATCAGCATCAACTGCGCTGACCAAGGAAAATACGCCAGTGTTGTTGAAAGTTGTAGAAGACCATTGGTAGAGAATGTGAAAGGGGGATGGAGGCGCGTAGACGTCGAGGAGGGAAAGAGGAAGGAAAAGAGGGGGGAGAGAGCAGGTCCCCGTGCAGGAAACGGTGAGAGGAAAGAGCGCATTCACACTCAAGGTGGCGAGCAGAGACGTGGAGGTTTGTCTATCAACGCTGCGGCAGAGGAGGCCGTGCTTGCCCTTAGCGATGCCTTGGCAGCCTAACCCTAGCCATCTCCTTCCTAAGCACCCTCACCGTCCGTTGCTCGCCGCAAGACTCCTGGGGAAACCTGGATAACCGCCTGTTGGAAAACCTCTGTAAATGCCTCATGGGGAACCTTTGTCAGCGCCTCTTCGGAAGCCTCTGCAAACGCCTCTTGGAAACCTTTGTAACCGTCTCTTCGGAAACTTCTGTAAACGCCTCTTCGGAAAACCTTTGTGAATACCTCTTCGGAACCTCTCAAATAAATGCCGCTTGGAAAACCCGTCTGCGCAGGAGGACGCCGTCCTTGTGGAGAAGCGGTCGTTCCTGCTGATGCGGCAGCAACGGTTGAAGGCGGCGCTGGGAAAGATCGAAAACTTCGCGCCCGATGTCTTGGCCGTCTCCAAGTAAGTGGGTGGGACACGTGTGCCTTAAACCGCTGCTCACACGCGTGTGTGTTTGAAGTCGAATTCGTGTACGTATGCGTTAAATAGAAGAGCCACAGCGCCGACTTTTAAGAGCATCATGGCCGCGATGGCACCGGCTGAAGCTCACAAACACCGTCGACAGGGCTGGACATGCGCCCACACGCGATGCCGGCTGTAGCAACCGGAATGGCACCTTGCACCACATGAAGCACACAATGATGGATGGAAGCTAGCAAACAATGCGGAATGGAGCAGGTTTTGGACAATCTGACCTCCTGTGTACGGGGTAGGTTTCATCCATGTTGCAGAGACAGGGAAGCTCGGACCGGAATAGATGGCCTTTTACCATGTAGTGTGTGCTCAACACTCCTCCGGAAGGCGGTCGGCCCTCTTAGTCCGTTTCGCGCCCGTCCGTTACACCCCTACCGGGTGTGGGAGGTACTCTAGCCTTCCGGAGAACGTTGAGCACAGAACATCGAGGGCGATGACCTCGTAGCTGTCTCAGCGATACTTTATTTCCGGTCCGACCCTCCCGGTCTCTCGCAATTTTGACGAGAACGCATGTACCCTGTACAGCCGACCATTTGCTGACGCCTTTCGTATCGCGGATGTCATTGCTGCGCCGGCGAAATTGTGCACGCTCGTGCGAGGGGGAAAGTCTCCGTTACACCGAAGTGTCACAAGCACTTCATGCACGCATCGTCAACGATTGTACCGGCATTCTCACCGGCACACGCAATCAAACAATCTCCTCTGTTCTCGTTGGCAGTCGACCATGCGTGCAGTCAAGCCACCCGTTTGACGTCCCTTGGTTGTTTTCGGGGGTGGAACGTTCGGCACATGGGAGGAATGCGGGGAACACATTGTTGTTCCGGGGGACAGAATGGTCGGTTACGGGGACAGGCGGGCGGGCAACAATTGATTGCACAAGCAATACCAACGACAGCAGCACAAGCAATACCAACGAGCAGCAACAACGACAACGACAAAAACAATGAACAACCACCGCCACAATTAGGGCATTTGAACAACAAAAAATGCATTTTTCAACGACCGTCGAAGGCATATTGTAGAACCGAAGAGGACCCCCACTCAAGACCCAAGACGGGCGTTAAGGGGGCGTTTTTGAATCCTTGTAATGAAGGTTTGTTGAGCGGCACCTGCTGGAGAAGACAGTTGGAGGTGGGGCGATTCTTTCTCGGGCTCATGTCATGGGGGCGCGTACGTGACAGTCCAGCCCGTGGACGCGCACACGAACCACTCTCTCGGCTCACTGAGTCGACGCTTCTGGCACTACGTAACAATTCCTTGCGCGGACGCACGTCCAGCTCGCACGCGCTGCCTCGACATCTCTCGCACACTGTGTTCCCCGCGGAGTGCAATGTTTCTCCGCTCTTCGTTTTTGTCCACCGCCGAAAACAACCGAGGGGAGTCAAACTGGTGGGTGACATGATTGCACGCATGGTGGACTGCGAACGAGAACAGAGGAGGTTGTTTGATTGTTGCTGGGACAAGGAACATGGTGAACGCACCGATAGTTCCGCCGTGCGCATTACGTAACGCTTTCGCGCGGCCCAACCCCCCAACACTTGGCGACCCTGTATTGCTGCAGGCGTCTGCACGAGAACGAGCGGATGCCAGCAGCGCGTGGCGGCAGAAGCGGTACAGGGCCAAGCCGAACGGAAGACACCCCTCCTCAAGGTGTGCCAAGCAGATAAGGAGAGCTTCGGTTAGGTTTTGGTCTGGCTAGTTACAGAGTATAGTAGGCCAAGGACGTGCGCCTCGTAGCCAAGGAAATACTGCGCAAACAATGCCATCGTTGTTGTTGTTGTTGTTGTTGTTGTTTTCGTCGTTGTTGTTGATGGTGTTCCTTGCCTCGTCTTGTCTTTGGGCTACCAGGGGGCGATCACGTGCGGTCCTTCAAGATGGACCCTCAGGTGTTCGCGGGATCTAAGCCGGAGAGGCGCGCTACGGAAGCGAGGGACGGCAGCCTGGCGCACTTCGTCTACACCAAGGACGGCGACAACGGGGGGCTCATCTACTGGCTCGGGACTCGAAGGTAAGGGGAGGGGTGGGTGCTTCTTGTCTGTGGGTCCCCCGGGACGTTCCTGCGACCCGAAAGAGTGTCGGTGTGTGTGTCCGTGAGATGTGAGATGATGATTCTCGAAAGATTACTCTGGTTCAGAACGTTTGTTGTAGTCAAGAAACAAGAGGGGGAAGAAGTTTTTCAACCTTGAAGAACCATTTCCCGTATTTTTCCAAGGTTGTGTTTCCTGTTTTGGGGTTGCCGGTGTGCAGATGCTATGCAAGGCCTGCTGCTGCTACTGCTGCTGCTGCAATGTGTTACCGGGGTGCCTATGTTTAGCGCTGATGTAGTGTGTCCCCACAGCAAGTTTAAGCTCTTCCCAACAATGTGAAAACCCTAACCCTTTCGTGTCGATTGACTCGATTGCGCAAGATAGAATGCTGTAAAACGGACGGCCACCGAGTTTGCAAAAGTTCCATGAATGAATCACCTACTTTCCTCTAGGCAGTTACACAGTGCTTCTAACTGTCTCTGGAAGTGAAAGCACCATAAATTAAAACTACGTCATACGCAGCTGTCATTCGTACGCAAGGAAGTATGCACAAGATGCCGAACACCCTTAGCAGGATGCAGCGCACCCTTCATGCGACTCGCCGAATACCTCACGGCGCTTCGCGCTTGGTGATGTGAGAGCCTGGCCCGGTGCGAACCCGGCGTGCTCCGTCCCGGCTTTGTAGGGATGCGAGGTCAATGGTCTAACGACTACGGCATGCACGACTATGAGTACACCCCCCCCCCCCCTCCCCTTCCGCCCGTAACCCCCCAACCGCAGACACACGCGTAAAAAGTTCGAAAATCCGCACGACGCGGGGCTGGTGTTCGTGAGCACCTCGGGCTTCAAGGATGGTGGGCCGTCAACGCTCGTGTCTCGGAGAAGAGTGCCTTGCTCCACGACCGATGAGGACGGGAGCTGGTACTGCGTCGACGTGGGACAGAACCAGTGAGTCTTCGGGGTGGGTGGGGATGGGGGATGAGTTGGAGGAGTGGTGGTTTTGGCCGCTAACGTTGTTGTTGTTGCTGCTGTTGTTGTTGTTGGGTTTGTTGTTGTTGTGTTGTTGTTGTCGTTGTTGTTGTTGTTGTTGTTGTTGTTGGTTTTTGCAAGCGTTTTGTTGGGCATGGTAAAAGTTGCTTGTGTGCAGCATGCAAGACCTGCGTTGTCGCGGCATGCACTTCTTCTCTCCGCCAGTGTGCTGGATACAGTATTATAGTCGAAAGCAAGGGAAAAACGAAGCTTCCATCGAACCAACTCTTGCACCATAAGCACGATGACGTCCTACGTACTTCGTAGATACGACTTCCGAACCTATGGGCGCGTTATTTGATATACTTTTCTTCTTACCTCTCGTCATATATGGCCTCTGTTTTCGACGGATTTTCTGTGCCTTCTTGGAAACTTCCATCTCTGGATTCTTGGTTCTCCTTAGCCGTAATCAGCCGGGTTTTTATTGTTTCTTTTTCCCGTTGTGTGTACAGAAAAATGCAGGTGAGCCATTATTCGCTCTGCCACGGTTCCGCTACGGGTGAGTGCGACCTGGTGAACTGGGTCTGCGAGGGCTATGACTCGACAATCAAAATGTGAGAAAAAAGCGCGTTCTCTGTATGCCTGTTATCCAAAAACACAAGCACAATACTTCTCAAGTGACACACACACCACACCACACCTCTGTTTTTGTTCTTTTCGGTGTGTGGTTTTTCATTTTGTGGTATGTACCGCCATAGTTTCGGGGGTGGTCCCATGACCCTCGGAGATTCGTTTTTTCTGGAAGTACATTGAAAGACAACGGGTGAGGAGGTACGGGATACAAGTCACAGAAAACAAAGTCAGTGCGAAGGCAAGAAGTCCCCAACAAAAACGCTTCTGTAGGAAGCCTGTCATGGCCAACTATGCTAGGCTCGGTCATCCCCGTCGGGTGTCGTACATTCCGCCTCTACATGTCGCATGGCACGTGCGACTGCGTCCTGAAACGGCGTGTTCCCTGCAGTGATTCGCGTCATACCCGCTTTCGTCCCTTCCTGCTGAACGAAACTTGTTCCGGGGCCATATTGTACAAAAACAGCCATCCCTCTCCCTAACCCCTCCCCCCTCCCCCCATCGGATCACTAGTCATACCATGAGCAGTGCGCGGCTGCACTAGGTTTAGCTTGCGGACCCTTCGAGTCAATGTTATTTGAGTACACCTCTTTGAGGTACGTACGCCTGTGACTCCAAGCCGGGAATCAACCGCCCCAAGTTGTAGATCAGTACTATTTAACAGCTGGAGGTACTGGATGTAGAGAGATCGGGACGGTTTTTGATGTGCAGACGACAACAACTGCGATATGTTGTCGGCTTGATGTTTTTTTTCGTGTGGCCAGGTGGGTCATCGTGACGCAGGACGTGAGGAACTCTCCTCCGTTCTTGAAGTCGCCGTACGGGGTGGGTACGTGGAAGGTGGACACGATGGACAAGGCCTTCCGGTTCATAAGGCTAAGGAGCACCGGAGTCAACGGAAGGTGTGTGGTGCACTACACATGCCTCTGTGTGTGTGTGTCGCTCTCTCTCTTCTCGCTCTCCGTCTCTGTTCTCTCTCTGCCTCTCTCTTCCCCCCCCCCCCCCCCTCTCTCTCTTTCTCTCTTGCTCTCTCCGTCTCTTCTTCTCTTGCACTTGCGATAGTGCCCGTAGACCATGTAGACCATGGTGGTCAGAATCCGCAGCAGTTGTTTATATCGTTCGGTGTAGGCAGGAGCTCGTACGGCGGTAGACGATACTCAACACATCAACACACACGACCGCCCTTACAGGACTCTGTTTGGCGGGGAAACTTGTTCCCTCCCCCCATGACATCTTGAGAGCAAAACGAGAGCCCCAACCTTGTCTGATCCCCGTTCGCTCATGCTCGATCCATCCACCCCCCACAAACACGTTGCGTGCGTGTGCGGTGTCAATCAGGTTGGGAAACGCGATGGCCCTCTGCGCGATCGAGCTCTACGGGAAGCTGTACGCAGACGAGGCGTAGTAGTAAAACTTTGGCGGAAGAAAGAGACACACGAACGGCTATAGCTGGACCGGGGGGCCTATTTGGCGGCGAATGCTTGGCAGGATACTACCCTCCTCGGACAGATTTGGATGCCTTCCTTGCTGTTTCTGTCTTGTATACCCTCTGTAGCCGCCACCAGACCCACTCATCGCAGTAGTAGGGGTATTTCCGACACTGCTGTGCTGGAGTTTTTCTCCTTCGATAAAAACGGCGCCTGGGGGTTGGTTGACGGGGGCCCCGCCGTTTAAGAATTTTGTTCGCCACGCGGGCGTACCAAGACATATCGGTGGTCCACGCCGCACGACGAAATACTGTCCGCAGCACAAGCGGTTTTGTGTGTGCCACTTGGGTTATCTTACGTCCGTCATCATGTTGACGCTGCGTGTATCCCTGCCGCTTGGACTGCTCCCTGATTTATTGATGGCGTTTTGTTGGTCGTTCGGCTTGCTGGTGGTGTTGCGAGAGCACGTCTTGGGGCGCCGTTGTAGGGGACTTGGGGGGCTCGCGGGCGCGTTTTGCTGCGGCGACTCTACCGGTCTGAAAGCTGTCCGTTTGACCAGTGAAGGCGGTCATCGCGAAAACGCTGCTATATCTACCGATTCGAGGCGCCGGCTGAGTGCTTCCTTCCCTGTTTGTTCCCCAAGGGTGGCTCTACGCGAACCGCTGCTGTGATCCGGCACACGCACGTGCCAGCATGCAGGGAGGGGGGGGGAGGGAGAGTGCCGTCAAGGTGAACGGAGCGTTGCTTGTGCGGTACTGGCAGGGAGAGAGGAAAGGTCGATTGCCCGAACGTCGACTCTAGTACCGGTAACCGCCATGGTTTCATTACAAGAGTGAGCTTTTGACAGAAATTCTCTTGGTGTGGAGGTTCGGTATATTTCAGCAGGGCGTGTTGGAAACCAAGCGAACACTCGGCGTCGGCGGTGTTGTGGTGATGAGTCCACCCCGTGTGTGCGGACAAATACGAACAACGGTTTGGAGGTTTCGTTTGAAGGGGTGAAAATGCCTTTATGACCGAACCCCAGTGTTTGGAGCAGCGTTGAGAGAGAGAGAGATGGAACCCCCGATGCGACGACTGAGTCACCGACAAAGACTTTGCTATCGCGGAAAATACAGCCCTTTATGGCGCGGTTGTTCCAGCAGCCGAGAGGATAAAAATTGTTCATGTTCCCTCCTTTTTTGTTTTGAGGAGATACGTCCATGTTATTCAGTAGCAGTCCTGAGCAAGACGCAACGGGGTGACAGTTAAGCACGAAAATGTCTTGACGATTCACGGTGTTGCTTGGTACATCGTGCGCCCTTCCGCAAGCACGCCCAGTGAGAAGAGAGAGACATGTGTTGGAGAAAACGCGCTGCAAGTGGCGTTTGCTCTGGGCGTCCTCTCCAACCGAGGCACACTACGCGGCACATAAGCGCGGCTCTTGCTGTCATGTTAGCCCTTCCCGCCGAGAATGGCATCGAAACGTCTGATACACAACTGCTCCAAGCATGTCCCAAATTGGGCTTTCTTCTGCGGCTAAAAAAAGCGAAGTAAAAATTCTTGGTAACAGGAATCCTGTGACATAAACGGAACAGTAGCGATACTGTCGTGGTACGGGCCAAGACACTTCGAACGAACACAACACGCGCATCAGGAATGATATGCCTGACTAAAGTACACGACACAGACGAACATACACACCGCTGGCTACTCTTGGACTCGGGCGTACGGCGTGTTTCGTCGGCCGCGGCTCCCGGAGTGTACTTCTCCGTTTCTCTAGCCGCGGCGTCATTACAACACGCCGAGCTCTCCAGACCCAGTGTATCCTACTTTACTGCACCACGTGCAAAGCCCAGTCGCGCTTGCCCCCCCCCCGGTTGGAGAGCTGAGAGCAAGATCAACTACATGCTTCTCTTGCCTATCTCCCAAAATTCACGTCTTATAAAGTGACGCAAATGGACCGGGATACGGCCCTGGGGGGGGGCGCTACACAACACAAGACATGCTTGGAGCTTGGTAAGGAAACAGCAGGAAAATGGCATGGCGAAACCATCCAGCATACACCTAACAACTACAACCTATCCTATGGGGGGGAAAGAGATGGAAAGATGGAATAGCAGTGTGACAAGAAGACCACCCGTCTATGCTATCCCCAGATCCGACTCTCTTTTGGTACTTGCGGTTGTTGACATAGACTATCGCCACAACTGACTAAACACCAACCGTTACACTTTGCCATTGTCCCAACGAATCACAGCATGCGGCCTTGAGAGCGTGACATAGGCACACGAGCCGCTGTTTGAACACGCCACGCCAAGTTGTCACTGGGATGTAGACCTCACAGCATACTCACTATTCGGGGCCTACGGCCACCCACCCCCTCCCCCTGCTTTTGCCCCCGCCCTGCACGCGCATAAACGAAAAAACTCCGCCCTCCATTACATTGCGCACTTCGTCGATACCGACTGTTTCGCAAAACGTAGCGTTGTTTTTCGCACAACAAGGAGAAAACGTCCATCTCCTCGTCTGGGCGTGCTTGATAGGGCGGGAGCACTAGCCTCAGCAGGCACTTTTCTCGATGGGCTCCCCAGACCTGCCCCCCGCCGCGTCATCAGAATCAGTCAAATGGAGAAACATGTTGGTGTTTTAGGTTTTCACCACGGAGGTTTGAACGGAAGCATTGAATTGCCTGCATAACGGGAAGAATAGCGTAACACCAGGTACCTCTGAGTGAGATAGCAATCCTAAGCTATCTGCCGTGAAAAATTGGTTCGTTTTTTATTTACTCTTGGCGGCGTTGTATTCACAAACTTGTTTAATGTATTGCTCAACAAGTCTCGGTCAGACGGTTTCCGACAGCATGTGCCGCTGGAAGAACTATTGTAGGGCAGGACAAACAGGGTTCGTTGCTCCGGATTGCACGGTCTTACAACCGACCGGCCGGGCGCCATGTGTTCATGTGTTCATGTGTTCATGTGTTCATGTGTTCATGTGTTCATGTGTTCATGTGTTCATGTGTTCATGTGTTCATGTGTTCATGTGTTCATGTGTTCATGTGTTCATGTGTTCATGTGTTCATGTGTTCATGTGTTCATGTGTTCATGTGTTCATGTGTTCATGTGTTCATGTGTTCATGTGTTCATGTGTTCATGTGTTCATGTGTTCATGTGTTCATGTGTTCATGTGTTCATGTGTTCATGTGTTCATGTGTCCATGTGTTCATGTGTTCATGTGTTCATGTGTTCATGTGTTCATGTGTTCATGTGTTCATGTGTTCATGTGTTCATGTGTTCATGTGTTCATGTGTTCATGTGTTCATGTGTTCATGTGTTCATGTGTTCATGTGTTCATGTGTTCATGTGTTCATGTGTTCATGTGTTCATGTGTTCATGTGTTCATGTGTTCATGTGTTCATGTGTTCATGTGTTCATGTGTCCATGTGTTCATGTGTTCATGTGTTCATGTGTTCATGTGTTCATGTGTTCATGTGTTCATGTGTTCATGTGTTCATGTGTTCATGTGTTCATGTGTTCATGTGTTCATGTGTTCATGTGTTCATGTGTTCATGTGTTCATGTGTTCATGTGTTCATGTGTTCATGTGTTCATGTGTTCATGTGTTCATGTGTTCATGTGTTCATGTGTTCATGTGTTCATGTGTTCATGTGTTCATGTGTTCATGTGTTCATGTGTTCATGTGTTCATGTGTTCATGTGTTCATGTGTTCATGTGTTCATGTGTTCATGTGTTCATGTGTTCATGTGTTCATGTGTTCATGTGTTCATGTGTTCATGTGTTCATGTGTTCATGTGTTCATGTGTTCATGTGTTCATGTGTTCATGTGTTCATGTGACTCCATGTTTTTCATGTGAAGAAGAAGTCTATAAACCAACTCACTTGGCATGCAGTCGGGGAGTCAAACAGAGGCCAGAAAAACAAGATAACCTTTCAGCCTGCGCGTAACGTCTGACTTTGTCAATCTACGCACATGTCAACAGCGTCTCGTACGGGTGCAGGTAGTCCTTCTGTGATGGTATGCACAATGTCCAACAGCAGTGTTCAATTTTTTTTTCACTCATACCAGATAAGAAAAGTCTTGCCTGTGTGACCCCGTTCGGAGCCCTCTAGTTACAAGGGAGGCAAGATCTAGGTTACGTAGACATGCGACCGATGCTTGAGCAGCAACAATTTTGGCAAGATGACAAGACGAAAACACCGCCACATCATCAAAGGCGGCGTTATTTCCACCACCACACAAGCTAAGGTGGTGTCAATGGTAAAATAATGTACGGAGAAGTTATGGACGTGCGATCCGAAAAATGGAAAGGGGGTTGTTACAATACGGTTAGCGCTACTAAGCACTTGAGAACTTGGAAGCTAAGAAGTTGAGCATCGAACAACTCAATATCTAGGAGCTTGACCTGTTCTTGCGTGGGAGAAGATAGGTCGGAAGTAGACGTTTCGTAGGACGCAGTTGGGATGTTACTGGAGGGTATGTGGTGAGCTTGGGCGTTTCCAACATGAGCACCATTTATGAGCCCGAGCCTAAGAATCCTTACACCGAGCCTAAGAATCCTTACACTAGTAGCACGTACCATATATCTACTTGTAGCAGAACTTTAGGAAATATTGTAAGAACCCCAGCCTCGGTCACAAATAGAGGTTCTCAACTGCTGCTGCTAGCTGTACCGAGACCACCCGCACACACACCACCCACCTCTTGGTTGTCTGAAGGAGGGTTAGTTCTTCTGCGACGGTCGGATGAATTCCCACCAGCTGTCGCAAGTCGTCCATCGTCATGCCCAGGCGGATTCCTACGCCGAAGCCTTGCATCACCTTAAGTTTAGCACCGTGCAGTTGTGTGTCAGCAAGCACCACAGCGCGGGCGTTCGCACTCGAGGTACAAGAAGAGCAAAAATAAACATTTTTCGCGATCGAGATGAACCTGTGTAACCTCGTCGTTGCTTTCGCCCAAGAGAGTTGACACAGGTACGATTTTCCCTCCTTCAGAAGATATTTTTTATTTCTTGTGCCTACATGTAGATATGGAAAAATTGCGATTCGGCACTGTCTGACGGTGTCCGCCCAAGCGAAAAACAATGCGCGATGCATACAAGTACACCTGGGAAGGATTATCGGTGCTTTCTTTGCCGCATCTGGTCGTGCTTACCTCGCCCGCGTTAGGCCCCAAGAAGTGCAGACCCACCACCCGCTGACTGTCCGTCAAATCACACACGGCCTGAACCAAAGCAAGCGAGAAACAAAAGCGGAATGAAAGGCACGGTAGCGCGAGGACGAGGTAAACGACACATGAATAAGGTCATGATAAAGTGTTGGATTCAAGCACCAACGAAACACGCACCAAGCGACGTATTTTAGGCGAGGGAAAGGTAAAAAAGACACCTAAATGAGTTCACGAATACACCGAATTTTTGTGAAATTTTGGCGCCTGCGGTGGTACCGTAGGCCGTTTTTCTCTTCGTGCGTCATCGCTGGACAGGGCAGCATCGGTACGGTCGCAGGCATCTGTCACATCGCTGAACAGGACATTATGGTCCAAGGGACCTACCTGCCCAGAATGCGGACACTGAGGGGCTTCACGGAAAAACGGTGCTCGAAATGAAACGTCTGGCTTCTTCGGCCATGTTTGAGAAGTAAGACTACAGAACGGGCCCGCAGTCAAGAAATATAAATATTTCGTAAAAAAAGTTGAGGCTCACATACTTTTACGAACTACATGTATGCGGTTTGGACGGACGACAGATTCTATCGCAGGGTGTGACACACTCACCACCTGAGTATCGTCACGAGCCACCGGCGCGCTTGACTGCATCTCGGCGCAATTGTCACACATCTCGCCACACTTGACATCTCGGCGCAGTTTGTCACACATCCCGTCACTCATATCCCAAGCGTAGCGGGATGTGTGACAACAGCACCGAGATGCGAAGTGTGGCGACATGTACGACAATTGCGCCGAGATGCAGTCAAGCGCGCCGGTGGCGCACGACAAGGCCCAGGTGTTGAGTGTCACATCTGGCGGTAGATTCTGTCGCCTGTCCAAACCGCATATGTATCACATAGCCACGTGCTCTGGAACTCAGTGACGTAAGCGCAAGATCGACCCAGTCTGTGTTGCTGTTTGTTGTGTTACGGACCTAGGCGAGGGTCCTTGCTCCGGGTGACCCACCGGTTGTCCTCGGCACAACAACGACACACATGCAACCAGCTGATTTCGATCGCGCGTGGAGAATCCGGAAGCGGGTGAACACCCCAAGGCATACATGTGTGTTCACGGTAACACCAGTAGCGTGCCCTGACCGGCGTGGGAATTTCCGTGCCACGAGTCTATGTACCGTATGAGGCGAAGAGATGGCACCCCCCCTAGACCGGCTTTCAAAGCTCGATTGCTCCACAACCAAGATTGTGCCAGCACCAAAAACGGCGGTTTTGGAAACATCTCATCGAGGCCCTTTCCGTCAACGTATTGGACTCTGTCTGTACCCCCTTGGTTGTGGGGCAATCGAGCTTTACAGATCGGTCTACGCGGGGTGCCTTCTCTCCGCCCCTTACGGTATCCATGGCGAATTTCTTGACTGCACGTGGCATGTGTGTCTATGTTGGAATGTCGCAGCACCCGGGTACTGTAGATAAATAGTTTCTGGTTTGTTGAGTACGGGCATTGCTTCGTTAAGGAGGCATGTTAGGATATTGGTACCACCGCAGGTTCAGCACTAGATGGTCAGCAAGATTGCTGCAAATGTTGGCCATGTCGCCATGTCGGTTATCATACACGAACGGAATAAGAAACACTTGGAAAGAATGTTGATGATTTCCAGAAGAAAGTACATCGTACAATTGCAAGGAGTTCAGAGTTGTGTGCGTGGAAGGATATGTACCGTCGCAAGTCAGTCAGACTTGCGTGCATAAATGAATGATCGTATGCGCTCAGCAGCCGAATTTGCAAGTAGTTCAGGTGTTGAAGCTGTATTTTGCGTCACGCCAGTGCAAGCAATCAGCACTTTATGTGCATACGTGGCAATTTCGAGAGCATGATGTTGAAGCAATCTTTGCCAGCAACGTGTACTATCTTTTACCAGTCCCGTCTTCGGAACACGTGTGATTGGTCGAAGTTGTGGATGGTTGTGATTTCATTATTTCGAGGATGGTCGCGCACCCGCGCACACTGGGGATCTCTGCCTCTCTCTTCAGCCTTCTCTCCCGTGCTTTTTCTCTCTATCTTCTTTCTGGTCCGCGCTGATCAAGTAACTACAATTTCCACCAACCATATTCTTCTCCTTTAGACTTCCTGCGTACGCAGAGCCGAGCCTCTCGCGCTCAAGAGTCCTGCGGCACAACAAGTGATTTCGTTCTCCGCGCTGCAGCTGTACAGGATACGTTCAGTTTCACACGCAGCCCATGAGTTTTACCTTTAACCTGTGCCTTTAAGATTGCACAATCGAGGTGCTCTGCTTTTGTACATCAGTGGGGCCATTGCTGCATACATACGCACGTTGTGCTCGCGCGACACACTGCGGAGAGAGCACTCACCAACTCAAGAACAATAACGACACATATTTTCGACAACAGTCAGCAACGCCTCTTTCGAGAACAGGTACGAGACTATCGTCAACATCCACAAGCCTACATACATCTCAAGACAGCAATGGGGGGCGACGTGGAATCAGGCCGTGCTGGGTACATACTAATTTTGTAAGTGTATTCTCCAGTTGAGGTGGGTGTTGCTGTTACTAAGGAGGGAGAAGAATCACCTTCACGTAGCAGGCGTTTTGCGGTCGCTCCGAGTTCATCTGCCACTCGAGAGGCGTGAAAGCCGAGTGGAAAACCTCCACGTTCTCCTCCCCTGTTCATCCATGGCAGCAGCAGACAATACAAATCATTACGGCCTCGTGGGGTGTTCACCATGACCGTTATGATGCCTCGCAACACAGCAGTCAAAGTTTTACTGTTCGTCAATTCAGCCTTCAGCGCAAATGCTTCAATCGCGGAATGATTGTTGCCCTTTGCCCCCCCCCCCCCCCCCCCCTCCAAAACCCCCCCCCCCCATTGTTTTTATCGCGTCCCCTTCCGAAAAGCCCCAGCCCCCCTACCCCAGGGGGGTGAACACGGTGGTACACACGTTGCTGTAGTCCATCGCCGAAGCTGAACCTGGAACAAAAAAATTATGAAACGGACAGCAGTACACATCAAGCACACGTACAGCTACCGGGGTGGGGGAGGGGGGTGTCCAAAAAGCAACGTCCTTCACACCCCGGAAACAAGAAATAAGAAGAAGGCAACTATCACCAAGCACACGTACAGGGGGGAAGGGGGGGTCAAAAAGGAAGTCCGCCACATCCGTGGGCAGAGCAAGCAAGGGTGGCACGACAGAGAGGACACCAGCGGAGGGGTGGGGGTGCAGGTGGCGGACCAAGAGAAACATGGTCCGTGTGGTTCTCGTCTCTCTTCTCCTTTCCATGGCTTGTAGTGTTCACACGGACAGGCCACAAAACATACAACACGCGGCGCAAATACGTAAACAAGCACAACGTCCACACACACGTCTCGCACCACAATGCGCCCCCCCGTTCCTGCTTGTACCTCGATCCTGGATGAAAGAAAGCGCTCCTGGAAACAAACATCCAAACTACCGTAACCCCACAAAAGAGCACCCCAACAAACCCCATCAACCTCCACAATGGATAATCACACCCGGTGATAATATGTCTGCCGCTCAATATGAGCTCAAACGTAAACAGTCTCTCAGACCAAGTAATAGGGTCACCTTAGATATCCAAAACCACCTCCCCACAGAATAGCACCCCCGGTGGTTGTATTATTCAACGCCAACAACGTTATCTCAAGGGGGTGTTGCCTTGTGTGGAATACGCTTGTCATGCCTCAACAAACTGAACCCGAGCCCGAAATCCAGGTATTGGCAAAACAGAGGCCCATGTTTTGGGATCAATCTTTCGCACTCTCACCGCCGAAGAGCCTCATCGCAAGGAGTCGGCCGGCCTGAACGGCCGACGGGGTCAGCTCGGGCACGCCCTCAACGGCATCCCCTATGCCGAACACGCCTGCCACGGTGGTCTCCTCGTTGCGGCACACCATCTGCTCTCGTACACCACGCACCCAACCACCCAGCACGAACAAATATCACGATTGAACAACAGGTCAGCGTTTGCTTATTTCAACTGATTTTGCAGCGGCGGTTATAGAAACGCCTCGCTAGGTTTTCCTCAGGGTGTGGGGAATGTTCGGTCTGCTGACGGGCACAACGCGGCAACGAACAGCCCGGCAAGGAAACTCAACAAACGTGGGTGATCTGCGGCAAAAATGGCTCACGGAGCCCCCGACGCAGCAAGCGTCGACTCTGTCCCGCCAAGCAATAGTAGCCTCCCCGTTTCTGCCGGTAACGACAACGTCCTCGCGGTCGACTTTATGTAGCAGTTTGTTCTTCTCGCTTGACATTGTCGCCTCTATCGCCCTCTGGGGACCCTCGGGAGCTGTGCTCTCTACCTCTTTGCTCGCCCCATCACCGAACGGTGCAAGTCGCAGCATCACCTTGCCGTTGTTGCTGAGAGTGACCCCTAGCCTCTCCAACCCCAAGCCTTGCGTGTCCGCCCTTCTGCCCGTAGCAGCCAGCACAGTGTCGAACTCCTGAAACCGTCGGTTTGTAAAATTTTGCAACTCATTTGGTGGACAGAAACGAGCTGATAATAGCGTTCACCATGAGGATCACATGCGAAAAAAATGCAAGGATATTTCAAATGGAATAAATCGCGTTCTGAGTGTTGCTCCGTCGAGATATGTGCCTGAAACTGACCAACGAACACATGCCCCGAAAAAAGCACCCATTCCCGACAGCGCACCAACGTTGCCACAATCATTTCAAAACTATTCTCTCCCAATACAAATATATTGCGGAGAAGTTCACAACAAACCTTGAACAACGCAAATGTGATGCATGAAAAAACGAAGGTACTGCCTCAATTGAACCTGGAAAGTGCACAGGCTCAGCGGGCCTACATTCCGGGGCGCGATTGTCAGAAAAAATCGCGAAAATCGGCTAGACTGACAAGAGTCTAGACCGACGGCAAACTCGCTCGCCGCCAAGAAGCTACAGTAGCACGTAAAACAACCTTGCCTCTAAGTCGAGAAGCAAAATGAAAAGCGTGTAAATATCGCCTTGACATGCGCATCGCACCAGGAGGGGGGGGGGTTCAGTTGCTCATTTCACCAGTTTTGAACACGCACCTCCTCCTTGGTGGTCTGATCATCTCCTTCTCCCTCTCTCCACCTCACGAGAAGCCTCCCCTGTTCCGTCTTGGAAATCCTGAAACAACGAACGCACACACGCGAATACGAGGGAAACAAACACACGTAAATTCGATCATGTGTACAGCAGCGGACCCCCCCCCCCCTCTGCGTGGAAATCGCCCGTCAGACAGGCATGGACCGGCTCGGCCAGTCTTTGTTCCATTCTGCATGGCGGCGTGAACACCGATTCCATCGGCATGCAGATGTAAATATTCAGCGGTAGGTGTTGGCTTAGCACAGGCGTTGATTATCGAGCTCTCGCCCAGGTTCTGCTCGTTGCATTTTCACGGCTGACCGTGGATGTGTTGTTGTGTTTTACCATGAGTACATACCCGTACTTTGTCGCACCTCACCCTTTTGAGACTCGCTGCTGCACCGTTTGTCTGAGGAAGTGAGTCAGTGCAGCCAGACAAAATCTGCCTTATGCGTTCATGTGATGAACAGTAAGACATTCTTTGTGGCCAGGCTAGGCACTCCTCTTACTCTGTGGAGAATTCTTCGTGGCCAGGTCAGACACTCCTCGTACTCTGTTAAGCATTGCTTGTGGCCAGGTCAAGCACTCCTCGTACTCTGCAAAGACCAATACCACCACAAGCACAACCACCACCACCAACACGACAGCAGCGACGAGAGCCAAAAAGATTTTATCTTGGAAAGACGTGTACACCGCGGTGACGGCACCACTTGTTTCACCTCTGCGGGACGGCAGGCCTAAGGAACCGAGTGCCCTCAGCCTCCATGAAGCTCCCGATCCGTTCCGCGATGCCTTGGTCGAAGCCCCTCAGCAGGATCGACCGCACCATCACCGTCGTATCCACGCCCAGACCGGTCAGGAAACCTGCTCATTTTGCGACGAAGGGTTGTAGGCGAAACGGCCGTGGCTTGTCTGTCAAACTCCTCGTCGGAAAGACCCATCACGATCGAACTTGCTTCACCTGCAAGACCTCTCACCGACCCAGCAGGTAGCTGTACGCAACGACTAGAATAGCGTCAAAACGAGCGAAGGAACGATGTTTTGTTCCACGTCCCGTCACCATCGATAAAAGGTCGAACGTCAGAACGCTCCTGGGCTTGCTGCCGGCCAAAGTTGGATTTGCACAGAGATCCACCGGGTAAAATACTCCCCCCAAGCGCCGCAAACGTAACGCGCACCTGCTGCACACCGACATTCAGCGACAAAGGCAGCACACAGAACACCCTTTGGACCGAACGCGAGGACATAGGAACGGACATCCCTTGAATCGCACACGAGAAGATAGAAGGCAAAACCTACCCTACCCCTTGGGAACCCACGCCCGCCGCACCTGCACACTCAAGCGCGACGTAGCTAGCCCCCACCACCAGCGTCTTCCCGGGAGGAGTCCTCAGGGCAAAAATGTCGTCGGACGTCATGGCCAGCTCGCCACCCTCGCAGGGCAGCTGGTTAGGCCTCCCGCCCACCGCAACGACCACGGAGCCGCAGCTCAGAACGCGCTCCTGAGGGGTCCGGTCGAGTCACCCCACAAACCACAGGCACGCGCGAGAGTAGTGGTGAATTTGCAAGAGCGCCGGTTGTAAATCACAGCAACCGGTCGGCGGCCCGACAAGACACAAACGAACGCACTCCAGCAACACACACCATTCCCACAGGTGGCAGAGCGTGTGGCGGAGGACTTGACAAGAAGAGGTGTAGGACGGAAGCACCGCACTACCGCACACCCCAGGACCATGGTATGGCGTGGGTGGACGACGAAAAGGAACCTAAGGTAGGGGGGGGGGGGGCGAGCAACGAGCGCCGATTCTGGCGCTTGAGCGGCCCAAAAATGAGGTCAAGGACAGCCACTATTCCGCTATTCGGGAATGACGAGTGAGGTGAGACGCCACGTCCCCCGGCAAAGAGTGTAACTCTTCTCCATGGAGGCTTTGCTTCAAAACCAACTATACTACCATGTTCTTTTCGGCTTCAAGGGGAGGTGGCCCGTGTGGCGCGTTGCTGCTGCAGTACAGGGTGTGCCGTCCCAATAATTCCGGGCGCCAGTCTAGGTACACGTTTAGGTATGTGTTTGACGCAAAAGCCGGGGTCACACAGGAGGAAATCCAATGCTTCAACATGTTACGCGACAGTGTACAGCAGATCCTTTCCTCTTCTTATGGTTACTCGCGACTATGCGCTCTCCAACCATAGATCACCATTTTTTCACTTTACTGAGACTCGAACCCTCACCTTACAGAGTCAGAAGGTTACGAGTTTACCAAGTGGACCACCAGGGCGCCAGTAACGCACTTAAACCACCACCTACAAAGCAATCCCCTGCGTCAGGTAGTTTGTTACCTTGTTGTTCTTGTCCGTCGCGACCACGGTGTGGGCATCTTGCAGCCTACCCAGCGCGTTGATGTACTCCACCTGCTCGAGAGTGCCAACAGCGCGGGTGCACGCGGGTTGGCGACATGCAACACTTGGTGAACATGTGGCACCAAGTGCGTCCGCATGCCGTGCTCCGTCCAGCGAGCCACCAACGTTTCTAGATGCACCCGCCGAACGTGAGCGTTGCAACCAGGCGGGGGATCTAGTCTTGTGCGTGGCAGGCTTTCTGCTGTGCAAATCACACGAGCAAAGCCAACAACGCAACGGAAATACCACAACACCAACACCGGCAAGACATCCGCCACCGCAGCCACCGCCGTAGCAGGTGCAGCAGCATCAGCACCAGCCGCAACAACAGCGGCAGCACTAACAACAGTAGCAGCGGCAACAACAACAACAACAGCAGCAGCAGCAACAACAACAACAACAACAACAACAACAACAACAACAACAACAGCGGCAACAATAGCAGCGGCGGCGGTGGCTCACCCCCTTCGAGCGAAGGTCGGTCCGGTACTTGAAGTTGAGCCCCTTGATGTAGTTCTGCACCCCTTGAACCATAACCTCCCAGTCGTGTGTAACCGACCGCTTCCCCTCTCCCCCCGCCACGCCTCCCGCCTCCTCCAATCGAGAACCGTCTTCGCCCTCTGGCCCCGCCGGCCACCCGAAGAAGGGAGCGTCTTTGGCGTGTCCCGCTAGGAGCGCCGCCTGGTTTTTGTCGGCGTTAAGTGTTTGCGTACATGTGCATACATCAGCAACACACACGCGTCGAAGCGCAAACGACAACCATAAGGCGTGCGTGCGTTCATGCTAATGAAACGCAACATAGCAGCACGAGCTACCAAACACCACCCTGTCCGAGGATACAAGGACCACTCCTGATACAAACGTAAATACCCGAATGACGTGTAACCCCCGTACAAACAGGGTGGTTGGTACCACAAGTCAAGTTAAGCGTGCACCTGGTGCATGAGCTTCTTCGGGATGCAGCCCACGTTCACGCAGGTGCCGCCCAAACCCCACTTGCTGCCCATCACCGAGGGCTTTACGAAGTCCAGGCAGGCCACCTTCTTCCCCAGCCTAGCCGCCTCCTTCGCGCACGCTAACCCACCCGATCCGCCCCCGATCACGACTAAGTCGTAGTCGTACTCCGAGGGGGAGACGCCGGATGCGCCGCCGCCGCCGCCGCCGGGGGGGGGGGCACCTGCACTGCCTGAGGGGGAGGGAGCACCCCCGGGGGCTCCGTGTTTGAGGCTGCTGGTGCTTCTTCTTCTGCGACGGCCACTGCCGAGCCGAAGAAGTTTCCGACGACGGGGTGGTGCTGCTACCGCAGCGGCTAGAGCGGACGATTCGTCTCTTTGTTTCCTTCGATGCGCCGCTTGTATCCTACACGTTGGGGGCGGTTGCCGGGGGAGCAGAACGGACGGTGTTGAGATGGTCTTCCTGTCGGTATTTTCTCCCCGAAAAGCCATCAACGGCACTCGCGACAACAAGCCGTATCGTACCAAACCTTCGTCCAAACTTGGCACTAGTCACGTCTTAAGGCGAGAGTCGCCAGAGCAAGGCGTCGTATCCACCACAACGACCCAACATTTGCAGATCACAAAACAAGGGCGACGCGTCGAGAAAAAAATATCTCCGCAAAAGAAAGGGGGGGAGGGGGGGCGGCCTCAACCATGTACCATATACTACGTATGAAGCGCATCGTTCTTTCCGAACGCGGGTGGAACTACCACGTGCTCTTGCAAGCGTTCCCCACGATGGGGGTGACCAAAGCGGTGCAAGGCATTGCGAGCGTAGATTGGAAAACATGCCATCATCAATCAACCACGAGGTCAGCCAAGACAAGCCACCAACAGGGCCAACTGCACACAACAGCCGAGCGTCGCTGGTACACTGCGCACGGCCACCACCATTTCATTCAACTCGCAAATACACACACGGCCCAGAACGTCCCAACGGCATATGCATGGCCACAAAGAGCCAATTCCAAATAAGACGGCAGTCACACAGACGTCAGCCACATCCTCTATACGGCTGTACGGGGATCGTCGACACCTCACCCCCCCCCCAAAAAAGCTTTTGCCGAGTCCCCTTACCCGAGCGACTGCTCGTGAAACGCGAAAGAAAACGGCCGCGGCCCGGCCAGGACGCTGGTCCGCACGAACTCCAGCAGCTCATCCACGCCCCCTATGGCAACTCTCGTGTTCGCAACAGCAGCCGGCGACTCTTCCGCCGCCGACAGATGCCCTCCGGCGGCTGGACCCTGAGCCTGTGTCTTATCGTCTGCTGGGGCACGGTCGATACTGCACAGCACTGCTGATCGTGGAGCCGTCTCTCCCGCCGGACCCCCTTGGGGGGATTGCTTCCGTCTTCCTGCGGAACCCCCGAACCAACGTGGGATCCATGGCCTCCGTCGTCGAGGGGAGGCTCGCCGTTGTTCTTGGTCATGGGAGGAGCCACCGTCCTCTACCGGTACCTGGAGAAGGGAAGGTCGCCGGACACGGCACGCTTTGTCACCACCCTTTGGGAGCGCGAGGTTTCATGCGCTGCAGACATGCCATTCGGGCAACTAGGTTCCGGACAAAACAGAGATTATATCTGTCGGTAGAGCAGTCTCTACCGCCACACTGGCGTCCCGTGAAAACTCAAAACCAAGGAGAGTCCAGGACAAGAAACACGACTGTATTCGTGGTTAGATGGACTTGTACCTGCACGCGTGCTTTCTTACGGTTTGGATGGAAACATCTGATTTTTTATGGAAACATCTGATATCATGACATGAATGCGCCCTCATTATAGTCTGACCCGGTGGCTGGTGTACAGAAAGGGGTCCCATGGTGCCAGAGATTTGTAGTTTTGCCCACCACAATGCGTGGTATACGGGCAGCACACTCTTCCCGCAAGAATATCGCTCAACTTCTATGTTCTTTTCGCCCAAGAGTCACGAGTCCAAGTTCAGCCCTGGACCAGCGGGCGAATCCCAAGGACAGCAGTTGGGTCTATGTGCCTAATTTCCTCACCGGTTGCAACAGATACCGTTCCTTCCCGTAGAGGTCCTCCAGACCCCTGACCACCCCACACGCCCGCGCGAACTCGGGATCGTCCGGCCTCCCTTCCACCCGGAAAACCAACGCCCCCCCCCGCCGTGCTCCCGCCGGCCCTGTCGCGGTAGCACCCGCCAGCAGCAGCCATCGCGTGCTTGCAGCGGTTGCGAAGACCGCCGTCGTTGCTATTGCTCGGAGAAAGGCGACTCGGGGAGCGGCCTGCCGTGGTCGGCGATTGGGCCTTGGCCTTGGCGGTGGTGGCGGCATTGGTGGGACGAGTCCCGCTGCTGGCGGAGGGCAATACACGGCGGCAGGGGAGCTTGGGATAAATGATTGGGTTGTGCAACTATACATGTGCCATGCGCACTCCCAACCGGCATGAATGCACCACAGCAGCGACGCGATAGGCTAGAAGAGGAACAACGGATCGACTACGGTCCTGTACGCTCCACGTGGACCTCGCATAGGACCCCCCGCCAGTCGCGCAAGGACTAGAACGCTGCTGGCACGTGCCTGGATTTGGCAAGGAGCGCAGAGGACTCTGTTTAATCTACTCTATATTGGACGCTACGGCTAATAGCGGAAGGCCGATGTGTGTAGTCCTGACACTCGCGTGCTGTGCACCGCACACATGTTCTTGCCGACGGTGCAACAAGCGTCGCGGACGAGACTGGACATACGGAAACGACGAGACATCCGTGTTGTTCGTACACCCTTCCAATCACTTTCCCCTTCGAAGAAAGGGAACAATGGCAAGCCCTCGGCCGCTGTTCGTCGGCAGCTGGTGCAGGGTGCATGGCACCCGCGCAACCATCCTGCTGCGGTAAGTACTTGCATGACGCCCATGGATGCAATATCATGTAAGAGAAATAAAGGAGTCGATTTGAATTTCATCCTGCATCAAATCATCGTGTAGCAGGTGAACAACCCCATGAATGCAACCTCACCAGTCAATGTTGTTTTGATCCCTCCCCGCGCGCTCTCCAGCGCCGTGAGAGGTGAAAGGTGAGAGTTGGGAGGCAAAGGGGGGGGGACACAAGACTAACCCCCCCGGGTTTTACAGTTCATTTTTGGTTCAACGCCGAACCGGGTTCAGTTGACCGAGGAACCTCTCCAGCTCTCCAAATCTCCAAACTCCGCGCTTCACGAGCTGGGCAAGAGGCGAGGAGCGTCACAGCGCCACAGCGGGAGAGTTAAGAGAGAAGCCGGATCGCAGCGCGTGCCCTGCTCTTGCAGTCCATGTCGTTGTATCGATAGTATGATCGCTACCCTCGCCTTCGTTGCCTGGAACCTGCTTTCGGGAGCGCCAGCGGCCGACGCTCTTGTTCTGCCGCCCTACAAGATGTACCACCGCCGTTGTGTAGCAAACTTCCAAAGGGGCAGGTTGAAAACCGCGGCTTTCCGACGATCTACCAGCCGCCAAAGACCGAGGACAATTGTTGCCATGACCAAAGCCAGGGGCATAGCAACAGACGAGATGACTGAGGCTACCGACGGGGCATGCAAGGCAATATTTCTTGAGCATGACGGCAAGTGGGTTAGCTGCGACAAGACATTGGGCATGACCGAGCAGCAACAAAACCTCACCAAGCTGCAACTCGAGGGGCTAACAGTGCCAGAGCTGAGGCACGAAGCCCGCCGACGAGGGCAGACTGCCACAGGGTCGAAGAAGGATTTGATACAGCGTTTGTTCTCCCAAGAAGCACCCGGTGAGTCAAAACACCGCTACATCATTGGCAGAGTGCCCTTTCCAGCTACAATCCCAGCCCAAGGCTAAGACATACACCAATAATATCGCGGCTCTCCTTTACCATGGTACAATGTGCTATCGAGCACAACCAGCGTGCGGGATTGATGGTATCACTACAGCAGCTTGTTGTAGCCTGTTCCGACTGATCTTAGTCAACCCCGTCATCGTAGCCACTCTGTTGCGATCCGCCGCCCTGTTCAACCAATCGAAATGCAGCTGCAAAGGTTGAAGAGCAATGGCTGATTACGAGGCAGTTGTTGTTTGGGTTCAGTGTCCCCTGCCAATGGCCAGCGGGCAACACACATATCCTTCCCTGCCGTGGGCATGCCCCCATTATTCACAAACGATGGTGTCCTACCCGGTACTACGTGTTGATGTTGGCCATCGTTATCCCCGTCTGGTGCGCGCTCTGTTCACGACCTATCGCATACACCCGTGTATTCATGCGGAGAACGTTACACAGCAGCTTACAAGGCGTAAAATCGTGATATCGTCCGTCCGTCTATTGTATTTGGCAGTGCCGAAAAGACCAAGGAGGAGGAATCATGGTAAGCCGGTGGACACCCCGGAAGGCTATGTGGAGAGGCAGACCACAACAAGACCGCGCCCACTGCACCCCTACACGCCTCAGCTTCGCGTCCTCTCCTGGAACGTGAACGGAATCAGAGCTCAGATGGACAAGGAAGAGGGGAGAAAGGTATGTCGAGGACATGTGACGGTGACAAAAGAGGCAGCGTTGGGAGTTGGCGCCTGAGTTTTCCGACGCATGTACCGTGCTGCCTGCGATGTTGCTCATGGAAGAAACAGCGCCAACCACCGTTCCGGGTGTAGGTCAAAATCGTTCAGGTTGAGTCTCTCGCACGCGCAACTTGTCGTTGTGATACCTGTGCCTCGTGAGTCCTTCGAATGGCACGGCGCTTTTCCCTTTGTTACGTACTCTCTACACAAGGCCCATGGTATACTTACCTCGGCACACGATTCTCTTTTTCCAGGTGATGCAGAAAACCGGGGGAGGGGAGGGGGGGCATCCTGCAGAATACAACACGTTTCTACTGTCCTGCCATCGTGATTACTGTCGTTTAGATTTCATCGTGTATCGCTGGCTGTTGTACAGTGTTTACAAGGGCGTCTCGCCGACGTCTTGTTGTTCGGATGGTGTGGGTCGTGAATGGGTAGTAGGTGCGATACCTCGTACCTCCGAGACATCTAAGGTGCATCTTTGCTCGACACATCTTTGCTCAACACACCCCGTTGTTGCATTCAGGCTCTCCAGGGCATTATCGCACAGGAACGGCCGCACGTACTCGGACTGCAGGAAATTCGCACGTCGGCTACCACCAGCACGCCGCCGGGCAAGACGAGACGCAAGAAAACACCTCCCCAAACCTCGAACTTCGCGGACATCGTCAAGACGATCCTTCCGGACTACGACACCATTTGTGAGTTTTGCCCGGCCTGTCTGCACCGTCACACATTCTACTACTTCGGCATGCGAAGACGTTTTTGCCGGGCTGTCGTAGATGACATCTCGACTGGAAGCACTAGAAAATGCGAGCGAATAGGAAGACTCGATCATATCCGTGACGTATTGCTCTCTGCGACAACCTTCCAGGAGATTTCTTTCTCAAGGCCATTCTCCGGTTCACGTGGTTTTTGAGTAGGAAATGCGTCTCATCCTAATGTCGAACGATGGGTTAGCTACCACAGAAAAGGTTCCTTCGCCCGGGAAAACGGATGAGAGTATCTCATGGAGGTCCGCCGTATGCTACACACAAGAGTAGCAACGGAAAGGTGCACCTCCTGGAAAGCATGTTTCACCATTCTCCGCTCGTCTTCTGGGCACACGCAGGGCTGTCCAGCGTTCCACCGGCGAGGCAAGGGTACGCAGGAACAGCGTTGTTCGTGCGAAAGAAGCGTTCGTGGGACATGTGAGTGGCCTAATGACAGACCCAGTGCTTCACCCTGCACTACCAAGAGATACCGTCCACCTTTTTTTCTGGCTCCGATGGTTACCACCAATTGGAAGTATCTCGTGTAGCACACGGAATAGTTGTGACTGCCACCAACGTGCTGCAACTTGCGGGTGAGGGCAGGTGAGTTTCCGATGCCTTCGACCGATGACGCCACATCTTGCTATCTATCTCAACAAAGGTACAACCCTTGCCACCGCGTGTTGCTTGCGGTCTCCGTATCCAAATCGGCAACACGCGGACTTTCCCGGAATGCGCGTCGTACACGATCTCCATGGCATTGGTTTCGTTGCTCTGATCTCACCAGCCCAAAGCAGAGGCAGGCCACACGTTTTTGTCCGTGCCTCACGTGAGGTTAGGCGAAACCGTGCCTTATCTAATGTAACACGTGCTGCCAACCGAAAAGCACCCGCTTCGTCTCAACCTTCCATGTCCTATCACAGAGGCTGCCCGAAGCTGCTAGGGGTCCGGGGAGGCATCGGACACCCGGAGGGTGATTTGGAGGGCAGGGTGACAACCGCCGAGCTCGACGTCGCCTTCGTGGTTAACGTGTACACGCCGAACGCGGGTGCTGGACTGAAGAGGCTCGATTTCCGAACCAAAGATTGGGACCAGGCGTTCGCTGCGTACGTACGCGATCTGGAGAAGATCAAGCCGGTGGTCGTTGTCGGTAAGTTGTGTTAGGATACGCCAACGAATGATGTTTCTGTGAGATACGATATCGTACTACTTCTGTGTTTTTTTCCAAGTGCTTGTCTCAACGACCCGTTTTGCAGTCGCTCTAAGAGCTCGACACACAGAACATCTCTGTTCACCTTATATTCTGCCGTCTAGGGATTTTCAGATCGGAGACCGCGATCTACACGGTACTGCTACCGACTCCATTGTTCTCGGCCCAGTCTTCTGCTGCAACTGCCTACGGAGCTTGCATAGGCCACAGGGGCATCCAAGTCTCAAAAACAGCAGTGATTGGTAGTGACGGCTTCAGAGTTTCGAAACCAACGACTTGTTTTGCGTCTCTGTCGTCCAGGAGACATGAACGTCGCCCACGAGGACGTGGACTTCTACAACCCGGAGCAAAAACGCACGAGGAAGGCCGCCGGCACCACCCCCGAGGAGCGCAGCTCCTTCGCCGTCAACCTGCTCGGCTGCCACCCCCCGCCTTCATGCGCGGCCGCCCTCGCCGTGGACACTACGTCTGCGGCGGACGACTCGTTCCGTTCTTCGGCTGCTTCGAGCGGAGGGGGGGGGGAGGCAGGCGGCGGCGGCGATGACAACAAGGCAGAGGGCAGCGGCTGTTCCTTGGTGGACACGTTCCGAGAGAAGCACCCGAAAGTCACGGGCGTGTTCAGCTACTGGTCGGTCAGGGCAAGGAACCGGCCGGTTAACCGAGGGATGCGGCTGGACTACTGCCTGGCGTCGCGGGGGCTTGTCGGTGGGGACGGCGTGCACGATGCGTTCGTGCTGGACAGGGACACGGTGGGCGTGAGCGATCACTGCCCTGTCGGGGTTGTGCTGCGATTGGGCGACCACTACCCGGAGTAAAGTGGACGGGCGTGTCGACTTTGATGCACCACCAGTGGGGTGCAACTGTCGAGGGTGTAGTGAAGAGCGAGGGTGGCTTGAGACGAAACAACAGGTGGAGCCTATTCACAGCACCAGACCGAGCTATTGTGCGCAAAGTTTACCGTGACCTCGGTTCACACGGTAAAACCTTCTCCGAGGCATCCCTTGGAGCATTGTGCCTCTTAGCTTCCTCCCAGCCGTCCGGCCATACCTAGACGTGTGCTTGTTATTTAGAAGAAAGTCGAGATCAGCCATATTCTGGGTTGTGTTCCAGCGGTACAAAGTTATTCAGCGAGAGGGGAAAGCGGGCCGCCGCCACTTGTTTCTTCCTTTCTTGCCAATTTGGCGTCAAGAATCAGATGCATTTCGCCCCCGTGCGACGCCCGCAGGAAACTGAGCCCCTTGACACCGGCAGGTGCGGTGCGGTTTTGAGCCCTTTCGACACTCCAGCGTCGTGCCTCATCCACAGCTTAACCTAACCTCAGCATGGGCGTGGTTGGTCAGCTGTTGGCATAGTGGGGATGCGTGCGCATTTTGTTCGAGGATAGTATTCCGGGGCTTGTGTGCTTTGAACTAATTAAATTAAGTTGTTCCCTCTCGCCCAGAAGTGCTGCACGTTGCCATCTACGCGATGACACGCCACATTCCACGCCTTGAGTCAAATAGCCGCGGTAACATCACGATGGTGCTATCCAACGCCTTAACACCGGGCCCCGTTCAACTTCTCGGGATGGCACTACACCCACCCTGGAACGCTATGGCTACACTGCGAGATTCGCCCCAACGAGAGAGAATCATGAAAACGACTTGCAACAGCCGCTGCACCGTGGACTCCTCTCTCCGCGCAGCTTACTGTTGCCCAAAACTAAAAAAACTATTTTCGTCTTGGTTTGCCTTCGGCAATGACCAAAAATTATGGTGGCGCAGCTGGTTTCACAAAAACAAGCCCCATTCCAAAAACGGCATCCGCTTGGTTTCGCACGCCGACTCTCGTCGCCACCCCTGATCTCGCACACATGTGAAACGCGCGCTCGAAATTTGCCGAAAAAACCAACCGATCCCGTCTCGTCGAGGTCTTTAGCTTCGCGCGCAAGGATAAATATCCACGCTGCAGCATCATCGGCCGAGACATCCCTGTACCACAACCAGTGTCCTCCTAACCCCACGATGTATCTAATGAAAACAATCTCACAGCAGTAAATGGTGAATGAGTGCGTTCGAGTTTTACCCCCTACTAAGCCCTACAACGTACTACTAGATAAAAAAAATCCTGGTTTGCGGTGAGCGCAAAAAAGGATAAATGGTACAGGCTAGGGCACTTTTCACCAAACGCGTCACTGTACGCGACAAAACTCCATCTGCTACAAAAGATAGCACTAATTAAACGTTAACATAACAAAAACATGCCCCGCTCCAAAATATCCACTGTGGTCCCCCCTGTAAGGAGAGCCCGCTTGAACAAGAAGCCGTTTCTTGCCCTTAATTTCCCGTAAAGACTGAGTAACAACTAGCACACAATTTTTTGTTTAGGCCTTGCAAATACGCACCCTCGTGCCTGCCCCCACCCACTTCTCTCGCGAGTCCCTAGTCCCTCTTGATAGGGTTGGCCCTTCCATCGCTGACGCACAAAGGCAGCAAACCGACATGGATCAAAGGCACCTCGGTTGGTCTCATATCAGGAAGAGCAGAGGGGTTTCGCTGCCTCAAAATCTCGACGCCAGGAGTCCCATCCCCCATCTCGCACACCCTAGACTTGGTAGGGGTTGGAAGACGACCTTCCAAATCTCTCGCCCAAAGAGCGTACGCACTCCGAAGCACCACCCCTTGCAAAGCCGTAGTTGCCCTATCGCCTCTTGATCTACAAACACCACAATCATAATTCCATCGCACGTTCACCTCAACACTACATCGGACAATCAAAACAAACGCATCACTTCCGTCAAAATCTGGATCCTTGGCGACGCAGCCGCCCTGGTTATACCCATCCATACCCATAAACTTTAATCCCGCACGAACGGCAAGAGCAAGGCCAACGGACCGGCCTCGAAAAGACACAAGTCCCCCAATCAGAGACGAGAACCAACACCATGAAACGGACAACATGCGCATGAACGGACAAGACAATTTCCCAAAAACACGTTCTATGATGCACTCAGTATAAATTGACTTAACGCCTGTCGTTGCTGGCGATGATGCTCGAGAACGTCTTCCTCGCCCTGAACTTGCGTCACATTTTTTAAGGTGGGAGGGTCAGGAAACAGGGCCAACGAAAGAAAGAGGTGTGGAGGGAAGTGAAAAAAACGGGACGGTTCGGTGACCAAGAGAACCTCCTCAACCCCGGCTGTGGTTGTTTTCGGGTGCGGCTGCGGCATTGCATTTGAGAGCCGTCCCCGAACCCCTTGAGCCGGGGGGTGTACTCATAGTCGTGCATGGCGTAGTCGTTAGACCGTTGACCTCGCATCCCTACAAAGCCGGGACGGAGCACGCCGGGTTCTCACCGGACCAGGCTCTCACATCACCAAGCGCGAAGCGCCGTGAAGTATTCGGCGAGTCGCATGAAGGGTGAGCTGCATCCTGCTAAGGGTGTTCGGCATCTTGTGCTTACTTCCTTGCATACGAATGACAGCTGCGTATGACTTAATTTATTTTCTGGTGCTTTCACTTCCAGAGACAGTTGTAAGCACTGTGTAACTGCCTCGAGGATGCTTGACCATTTTAACACAACGTGGTGCGATCATCCCCCATGCTCGGAGTGAGGCTTCTCGACCCCGCACAACATAATCTACTCGACCACCATTATGGTTACCGCCAAAAAAAAAACAGAGGTAAAAAAAAAAACGGTAACCTGGTTGCCGAGTTCACGAAGTGACTTGGCTTGTTTTACAACGTCGTTGCCAAGCGACGAAAACCCAATCCCGATGGCAAAACACCGGGGGGGGCGGAGGGGGGGGGATGTTGCTCAAGGTATCCTCCTTCGTGGGTAATCGATAAAGAACAATATTGATTGTTGTCTTGTGATTGGTGGCCCAGGACCGATGCCACGTAGAAACTACGGGGTGGAACAATGCAGCAGACATAGGTTTGGGGAGGGCGTTCGACAGAAGGGGAGCAAGCTAGGGCGAAGGCGCGGCGCAACGGGAAAGGAAAAAACGAAAAGCTCGAACAGCTGTTGGGATGCATCTGCGGCATCTTCGACAGGCATGCTGTTGGTTTCGTCACAATCGCAGCAGCCCACAGCAGTGGAATTCTGTTCTCACAGATAGTACGGTGCACTGCTCTCTAAATTTCGAGACGTCATCTTAGCCCATGAACGAATGAAGGGCCTCTTGGGAAACGGCCCCGCCGAAGTCGCATCAAGGTTGCAATTCGGTCACAGGAGGATGGTGTTAAGCATGGCACGCATCGCGGCCCTCCCTTTCCTTCTCCTTCCTCACTCCCAAAATAATTACCCTCAATACCATCACCATCATTTTCACCCGTGTGACTGAAATCCGTTTTTGTGTGTGAATGTCATCTGGGCTTGGAGACGCCCATACGAACAAAAACATTAACAGGAGCGGCGGCGGCGGCGGCAGCAATTGCAGCTGTTATAGGTGTGTTTGCTGCATGACACATGTCCACCACGCCGTCCCAATGATGCGGCTGCAGAGATGTCAGCAACACCATCGATGTAAGCTGAAAGAAACCCTACCCGGCTCAAACACTCCTCCAAGAGGAGAGGGGGGGGGAAAGATAGGGGGGGGTGTACTCACGTAAACGCCGAAGTCGATAGACCATTGACCCCACGAGGGGGAGGAAAGGGGTTTTAAAAAAAACTCCAACCACGCGAAGGAGAGCTACAACAAACACGTAGAAAATTCCGCATTTCACCGTGCGCCCAAAACTTGCGCTTGCTCGCACCCACCTCGTCTGTTCGCCTTTTCTCCTCTCGTCGTCTTGGCTTGCCAGCTCCCGTTGTTTCCACCGCAAGTACCGCCGAAAGTCTCTCCGGCAGAAGAGCGTCACCGTGCTCCCCGGGTGCGAAGATTCTTCTGTTGTTTCGAGAATAACGAAAAAAGAATGCACAAAAAAAAAAAATCAAAAGCCGGCGTTTTTTGTCGCGTTGTGAGGTTTACACGCGAGATAGTCCTTGAAGACCCTGATGAAGACTCACTTGCTCATTACTCCTCTTGGAACAGCAGCTTGTTGCTGCTTTACTCTCTTTGTTGCCGTGCTCTCTTTGGCAGCGAGGATTGCTAGCTCTGATCTGACACGGCACGGCATGCTAGGTCTGTGGGCAAGAAAGGGCTACAGCAAGAAACCGCACACCAGAAAACCTCACGTTCCACCACCGAGGATGGGAACCCGTTGCTTAGCCCTGGTGTCGCACCAGACGAGATCGCGGCTTCCGTTTCACCCACCGCCGTCGCAGCAGTGGAAATCTTCCTCCCTCCCTTCCCGCTAGGAACCGCAGCAGGTCGGCCCGCCGTGCTACCGTTTGAAAGAACAACCACATCACCGCCTCCCTTGGAGGCTTTACTTGAGCTCGAGGCGTTTACGTCGACTTCGGCCGCTCCGTTCGCCGCTGGAAAACCCGAAGGCGTCTTTTTCCCGGCCCGGCCTATCGAGCCGTTGGATTGTCTTCGGCTTCTCGACGGGTACTGGCGACGCGAGCTCTCGCTGCAGGTCGGGCACAACCACTGGTGTTATGGGGCGTGTGTCGAGCAGAGCGACAGGCATGGGGAGCGGGTGGGTGAGGCGGGGTAGGTAGGGCCGTGCAGCACGAGCAGCAAACGGCCTTGCTGGCGACAAATCCCCGAAAAGAGTCGTACCGTCAAGCTGCCGTGGCTCATGAGGACGGGAACAGAAACCTTGCACAGGAACAACGAAAGGTGCAGCACGTGAAATTTTGTGCTTCGAACATACCGCAGCAACTCAGGATCTTACGTCCGCATCAAAGGCAAGCTTTCTGACTTGCTTCAGAGTGCACTAAGCGCGGTCAAAGTACGCCGAGAGGCGGGAACCACAGCTGACCAGCAGCATAAGAGAAAAGCTACCGTCCTTACGCTCCTGTGCCCTGTGTGCTCTGAGGCACATTCACAGCCTCCCGCTGCTGCTGAACTGCTACGTTTTGTTAGTGCCGAACCCGTGTCCTGCTATGTGCACGTGAACACCGATGTACGCATGCAAGGCTGGCACCCAAGACACCGCAACGAAGAGCCGCTCAAGACGGGTTCAACAATGCAGGGGTGTGGCAGCGGGCAAGTCCTACAACCGTCGCGCACGGCAGCAACCAACCATGCACAACGTTCGCGTTGTCCGGCGTCGTGCTTTCTCTCGCGCCTCGCCCCCCGTCTGTTTGCTTCAACCATGCGTACAAATGGCGCCCATAGCGCTAACTGCCACAAGAGCGCGCGCAATATCGGATCATGTGCGCTGCTTCGCCCGCCACCAACTACCCGGCGATAGATATGGTACCTCTTGCCACACCGCTGGTGCACATATTCACGTTGTGCCACCCAAGCACCATCCCCACATCGCGCGCCACCCCCTTACCCGTCGATCAGGCAGGTCCACCAAAGGGTTGGGCAAACAGAAGGTGTGCTGCACCGTGATGCATCGGTGGCACGACAAGATGCTCTCGGTGAAGCTGCGCGTGCCGCAGATGTCGCACCTTGGCTGCTGGGTCGGAATGGCGAACAGCAAATCCAGAGGGCATTTATTGCATCGACCGGCCAGGAGTTCGTTAATCGAAAGGATCCTCCCGTTGTTGTTGGTTCTGCTGTCTGTTGGTGGCGATGGGGATGGTATGGGTGTCCTCTTCGTCATCATCTGCGACCTCTAAGGTACATCGCGCAGAGCGGAATATTCTGCCCTTTGAAGTCGCAGTCTATGGTTGAGGGGTGCGTGCTATGCTTGGTTCTGTCCTGTTTTTTGGTTTAACCATTGCGTGTGTCACAGTCGCTCGGGGGGATCTCTTCCTACCGTAAGCAAGCAATAGTCTTGGCTCTCTCCTAACGGTTCAACGGCGAATAAGCCACGCTTCAGACTGTATCCGATTACTCCGATATCCGATATCCGGGGCAAAAATGTGTTTGTATTCGGTGCCTTCCACTTCATCGCGACAAGGGTCCGGCAATCCTCTCGCCCTTGTTACCCGTCCAGCACTTCGTGAATAGATGCAGATAGAAGGGCAATACTGCGGTAGCTTGGCCGTGACATGCCGAGATCTGAAACCAGGACAACATGCGCGTGTACTCTCTCGACGGAATCATTTTCACCCAAGGTCCTGTACGGACCTGTACACGAGGTGCTGGACCACAACGGCAACACTGCCCAACCCACAACGTGGTTGAGGGAGAATAGCAGCCGCGTCGGGTTGCATCATCCATCCTTCAGAACAACACCTGTCCCTAATCACTAATCCCATTGGCTCGTACATAATCTAACACACGCCACCGCGCCTGCAGGTACATGCATAGCTCATCGTATGCATACGGGTATGTACAGCAAGCAGTCCCTTTCACCGTATACTGTTGCGCAGGGGAAGCATCCAACCAATGCAGCTCTCGGTTCACCTACGCCTGATTCCAATTCACAATCACACCTTTAATCACACCTTCGATTCCGAACGCGTCCTATCCTGGCCCATTTTGTCCCGAAACCACGCCACTGCTGCTGCTGCTGTGCTTCCCTAGGAACACACAACAAGCGGCGGGCGTGGCTGCCTTGATCATACACATATGTAACATTTGAAAATAGAGAGGGGTGCTGGAAAACACATGCTAAGGGGGGGGGGGAGGGGGTGCCGTGGTATATCTCGAAAAACGGCACAACGACAACCAAGCTCTGGAACTGCAGCGACACTCCGCGAGAGCTGGGCGCACTACATACACGCCGGCGTGGTCAGGCGCGCCGACACACAGGGGTGGCACATCCCTCGCCGACTGCCTACCGCATCTGGGGACGTTGCCGGAGCGTCTGCAGAGTGCGTGCGCGGCGAGAGAGCCCAGATTCGGGTTCTTCAGCAGCAGCAGCAACAGCAGCGGAAGAAAAAAAAGATGAACCAGCAAGCAGACATGTCACCCTCTGCAGGCACCACGCCTTCTCTCGGGTCCCAGTACTCGTACAGTGAGCAGAACCCGCTGACCTCGGACGACCCTTCGGTCTACTACACGGACGCCGGGGAGCCGAAGAAGCCGCAAGCGGTCGCGCTTCACGGTTGGCAGAGGACCGTTGGCGTCGATGATGACTTTGATGCCACCATACCCGTGCGCCTCGGCGCACCGGGGACCGGGCTTGCGACAGCTAAGGTTCCCGCGAACGGGGGCGCAATGCTCGGGCCCAGCATGGGCAGAGGGAAGCCGTTTCGCCCGCAGCAGCAGCAGCAGCAGCAGCAGCAGGAGGAGAACTCAGCCGCGGCGGGGCAGCCGACGTCGGCGCCGGGCCTGGGCCTGGGCGCCGTGGTGGACCTCGGTAACGTGAAGGTTACCAAGGAGGACAAGAGAGAAGCTAAATCGCTAAGGGTGCAGCCGGCGGCGGAAGGCGCGGCGCCGTTGCCCTACCCCCGCGTGGCCGACGTTGCCTCGGAGACCTCCTCCTCCTCCTCCTCCTCGTCCTCCGCGGGGACGGACGACGACGACCCTACCGGCCGACAAAAGGAACGGCAGGAGAGTCAGTTCGAGACGAGCTCGGCCGCTTCCTCGGACATGAGCTTCTTGGTCAACACCGCCTCGGGGGCTTTCTTCGGCGGCAGGCAGACCTTCGGGCGAGCCATAGAGCCGCGGATTCCGGCCACGGTGGGCGAGGAGCGCCTCCACAACAGCCTTGCGCAGTATATGGGGGGCCGCCGAAACCTCGCGTCCAGAGGCGGTGCAATGTCCACCGGGGGTGAGAGTCACACATCTATCAGTGTCACTGCTGCTACCGCTGACGGAGCCGCCACGGTAGGAGGAGCGGACAGATTGGTCGGCGAGGTGACGGCCCCTGCGACTACGAACGGCGGCACTGCGGCGGTGGCGGCGGCGGCGGTCGGTAACAGCAGCGCGAACACCACGGCCTTGTCCCTGAGCGGCGACAGCGGCAGCACGATGAACACGGGCGACAGCCAGGAGAGCGCCAAGGGCGTGGCCGCCGCCGCCGCCGCCGCGGCCGCTCCGGAAGAACTTGATCGTAAGAAGAGTAAATTTCGTCGAGGGAGCAAAGGGGGCAGCAGCAGCGGCGGAGGAGGAGAGGAAGAGACCAAAGGAGGTTCCGCTACTAGAAGAGATGGCCCCGCGGAACGAATAGCCAAGCGGTCCAGCTTCGGGGGCGAGGATGACGAGCCCGTGGAGCCCGGGGAGAGAGCGATACAGTGCAGCTGCCTGCGAAGATCTTGGCCTTGGGGGAAGGTGGGAAGCATTTGCCATTTCATGCCAAACCCACGGCTTTTTTGTTCTCGTGTTCTGGCCCCTTTGTGCAACAGGTTTGAAAAATGATTCTCTCGGAAAGATTTTTGTCAGATCACGCAGATCGGCAGTAGTACTACGCTCCTACTACCCCGCGGGAGCGCTAGTAGTTGCAGCTTTCGCCCCATGGACTCAAACAAGCGTCAGTGCGTTGAAAGAAAGGGCGTTGAACTGCTGACTGCTGTAGTCACGCACAGAACAAAAACATGCGATCGACCAGGGCCGTGGGCTACAGCAGTACTATTCCAAGCACTAGCTCTCCGTTGGTGTATGTGCGTACCGTCGCGAATGTGTTCAAGTTTAGCAGCGGTATGCAGCTGAATTGTGTGGGCCCCCACTTCTCTCTCTCTCTCCGCTGGTGCAGTTTGTGTGCGATGTGTGATGACTTATGCTATGCATATCCGTGGAATAGCTGTGACACAAAGCACTAACGACGAACTCGTGACGTCAGTGGCATGACTGCTGCTGCGCACCATTAGACGGAGTGCTTGTAAATTGTGCAGCACACGACTTCCGTGCATAATTACTGGTTTTTGCTACTACTGCTGCACTACAAAACTCTTCTCTCATTTGCTTCCTTATTATATATAAACAGAGCATTTAGCAACTGACCAGATTTACAATTCCGCCGGGACTCTAGTCTTGAGTGCCGAGCTGAAATAACGAAAGTTTTCTGTACGTCAGTAGCTGCGTTTTTAGTTTTACGACCACCGCTCGCTGCTCATTGCTTCGATGCCTCTGTGACAAGCAGACTTATTACGAAACTTGTTTTGTTTTTTCGTTTTGGTTTGTAAGGAACACGCTTGTTTTCATGTTCCACGGACGGTATGTCCTTAACCTTGTCGGGCGGGGTACAAAAATCAACTGATGGACAAGTTAGAGCAGTTGTCAAACGCATTAGTTGCACTTGTGTCTACAACGTTCAATTTTTTTTTTTTGGGGAAGACAAACAAACCGCACCTACCTACCTCTCTCTTGTTCCCTAACATCAGCATTTTTGTAACTATTGCGAGTGTGTATATGCGTTCGTCCCAGTTTGTGGAAATATGCGAATGCGGTTGCTCAGCGCATGTATGTTTGGGAAGTTGCCCCTTGCCCCGGTACGAAGTCGTGTGGTGACTCCCGCGTGGTTGGTTGCCTCTATCCTGGCGCACTTGTTTGGCGTGTGTTAAGACTCTGGTACATGAGGTTAATCAGGGAAAAAAGTTGTCCTACAAGTAAGCAGATGAAGCCCTTCCTCAAGGTCGCTGCTCTTCCTTCTCCTCGTGGGTGTTTTCCGTAGCCGTGTGTATGTGGATAGCCGGTGGCCCCAAGCGGGTTTTAATGCGCGGCCCGGGAGGGCGCTTGATGGTTCTGTTTATCTCCCCCTGTTCAACATGGTTCATACATGTGTGTCAGTACATATCAATGTTTATATATGTGTGTCACTGTATGACTGCCACGCTCCTCGAGAGCTTTCACCACGGGTAGTTTGTTTTAGCTTGCTCGGGCCCACGGCGGCACAGCTGATGGTTGATTGTGGTTCGTCCTTGACGGTGATGCGGCTCTAGTGCTACGCACTCGCCGCCTTGAGCGAGGTATCCCGGAGAAACAGCTTCTTGAAAGATGACCTTCGTAGGGAGCCCTTCGTGTGAAAGAAGAACTGCCGTAGGCTGGAAAAAAAAAAAAACGGAAACCCGTATCGTATTGTTGTCGTTCCGCTCCCGGTGAGAGCGTAGTGTTCTTCCGCCAAGCAAGTCTCGTTGATGTCTTGTAGACGTTACACCACAACCCGGTTGGTCACAGCACCTACAATCGATCCGAGACGCTTCAATCTGCGTGTCCAGGCTTGTCTTTGTTTTATGCTTGGCCCGTTGCATTGTAAATAAGTTGAGGAGCTGTCATACCCCAGCCCGGCTTTGATTCTCTTACACCTCCGCTCCCAACACCTGGTAAAGCGGAAACGCTCGCCCCTTTTTGCCATGCCCCTGCATGTGGGGTTTACCTTTCTTCCACCTTTTTGCGCACCCACACGCTCACACACCTTTTTTCGTCCTTGCGCGTCCGCCCGCCTGGCTCAGATATTTTCGGGTGTGGTGACGTTAGGTGGAGTGGTGGTGCTGGTGGTGTTGGTGGCCGCGGCGGGGGACTCATCGGGTAGCGGCAGGCGCTTGTTTTCGCCGCAGCTGCTGTCGTCAAGCGGTGGCGGGCCCCCCTCTTCTCGCTGGCCGGCGCGGGGGCGGCCTGCTGTCGGCGCCGGCGGTCACGACATGAAGGTCTTGCGCTATTCTCACTCGAGGCGGAGACTTTCAGCGTCGAGAGCCGGTCTCGCTGGCGGTGGGAGTGCTGCTCGCCTTCGAGGAGTACGTCCGATGAGTTTCGACAGCAGTACCCAGGCAGTCAGCGGCTGTGGAGATGCCACGGCTAGTGGTGATGTTGCGGGTGCTGGTGTCGGGGGTAGTGGCGCCGAGCCGCCAGGGGGGGGCGGGGATGGGGCAGGCGGGATGGATAGCAGAGGGCGGGGACCACCAAGAGGGAGGGATGGTCGGTTGCGGGGGAGAAGAAAAATGTCGGAGCCGGAGCGACGAAAGGAGGAGGACGCCCGTGCCACCAGCAGCGGGAGTACAGAAGAAGGTGTCACTACCTAACGAAACTTGTTGCGCAACCCTCCTCGACGCTTGGTCGATGAGTGGGTAAACACGAACAGGGAGTGGCTGCTACTAGGCTCTCTAGTGTGGGTAGGGTTCAAAGCTCTTGTTTGGCGCGAGAACAGAGTCCCCCCTTTTCAACTCCTGAAGTGGAGCGTGCTGTAGTTGGGAGATGATGAGAGAGGCGAGGAGGAAATGGGCGGGTGCGTCGCTTGGGTATTTCGCATTGTCGGTCGACACGTTCTACGGACAATTTTTAGAACATTTTTTTTCGCCCCACGAGCGGAGCGGCAGCCACCACAGAGCTGCTATTTGATGCGTTGTTCTGGAATTGATGAACGTTTGATGAGCGTTTTTGTATTATCTTCCAACCTGAAGGACCACTTCTTGTTCAGGCGGCTGGTGTACTGATTTAACGCGCCGGGGGCGCCACCAAGCAAGGTTGGCGAGACCGGGCTATATTTCAACCTTGTAAAGTATTTTTAAGCCTCCCGTTGGGCTGTGCGATCCCCTCGACGCCTGGGTTGAGGTTGTTTCTGTGACGAATTTGTGTTTGTTTCTCTTCCGTTTTAGTTGTGATGATCGTATGTAGCAGAAGCCGTCTGCGGTGGCATCACACGAGGTAAAAGCATCTGCTGCTGCTAACTGCCGAAGACTGCTTCTTGTCTTTGAGTCCTTTCTCGAACCATTTCCTCTTGTTGTTCTATTTCGCAGTGTGGCAGTGTACGGCAGGAGAGACGTGGAAAACATGCCTCTTGTGCAAGTGTTTTTTTTTAACGTGGAAGTGGGCAAAAAAATGCCGGCGCCGAGCATATTGGCTGACGTGCGGAGGAGCGTGTGGACCTGTTCACGGTGTGATTTACTCGGTACACATAAACATATGGCGTACCTACAGTATTCGTTTTTTTCGCAGGGCAGACGAAACAGGTGGTTTTGTATCAGGACAAATGGCTTTTTGTGTGTCACCGTTAGTGCACCACGCTGATGCAATTATCTGGCCCCTTTCCCTAGATGTAAGCCTGTCTCCGTTTGTGTCGCGTGGGACTAGATCTTGCTTTCTGAAAAGGTGCGCGCATGTGCGTGCACTCGGTGTACTTTTGTTTCTTTCGCTGTTGGGATTGTGTTAGCTGTCGTTTTTGGGCCTCGAGTCGTCAGCATGCCTCGATGTACTTGTTGTGAGCGAGGTGGAAGAGGGTATTCAAATCACGCTTCTAGGATCTTGCCCGAAGTTGAAACCGGTGGCCGCCGGCATTCCTGTTACTTCCTATCCTACCAAAAATGCCACAATAGGGTACGGAGTGAAGCGGCCGGCCACCGGCACAAGCCGTGATCCAGCATCAGTCGCAGCAATGACCCTCCAGCGTCTGTAGCCGTGCACAGCAGCACCAGTGACTTGAGAGTATATCCCCCCAACACAGCGAACGTAGACTCTCCCATTGTACAGCCAGTCGGGGGTCAGGATAAGGATGAAAGGTTAGTGTTCGCGGTAGAGTTTCTAAAGGGGACATGCCTTGGACCAACAAGAGCCGGGTTTTGGCCGCGGGATGCGGGGTCGTGCCGAAGAATCCCGAGCTTTTTCCCAAAGAGGGTGGCATGAACAGGAAAGGGCGGGTGGCAATCTTTTTTATGTTAGTGGGCGGGAATCGGATCGCCACAAGGCGGTACACATGATGAAAATTTGGCCAAAGGAGGGCACTCAGAAGAAGGAGCTTGTGGTTCAATGGTGGAAAGGGGTACCCTGTTCTGCCGGAGAAGGGAATGTGACGGATATTGTGCCCCTCTTTGCCTGGTAAACCTTAATTCCGTGCTAATCGAAGCTACTGCTACCTGTGTCATGTATATATTTTGCAGATAGATGATTGATTGTCCTTGCCTGTTGTGCCAGTAGGGGAGAGGACAGGGGTATTGAATGGAGGTCTGAATGTTTTTAGTATGAAGGCAGCAGCAAAGCCATAACAATTGGGATGGACACCGAGCCACGACCATCGTACACGTCGATGCAGAAAGTACGCTTGCACGTCTACGTTGGTGAGAGGTGCTGGTGTCTGTATCTTTCTGTTCATGTTTTCGCTGTTTTTCTTTACGTTTCTGCTGCTCCTGCAGGGGAGAGGTTCCAAGGAAGTATGATAACGACGATGGCGCGGCTGCTGCCGCTTCCTCTGCTGTACGCAATAAGTAGTGCTCGCACGATAATCAAGCTGTGTGCCTTATGTATGCATACATGTAGCTGTGTGTTTTTTTTCTTGCCAAGACAACAAATGACCAGGTCGTTTCGAGTTCTTGATTTGTTTTTGACTTTCTGAAGCCCCTTTGAAATTGGGGTTTCAGTTTCTGTTCCGTCTTAAACAAGTCGTGTCGTGCCGATGACGGTGATGCCTCACGTAAACAGTGCCCACGACTGCAACCTCCCAGCGGCAGGCATGCATCAAGTACCCGCAACGATCATTGGTACACCTCTCCCGGATAAAATGGCGTAACACCAGGTCGTCGTCGCGCACATGGGCCGACGCCGGAAGCAGTGAGTGGAAGCTCCACGTTTGTTTGTCCTTGGCCTGCTGACTGCTGTTGCAACTGCTGTGATGGTGGTTTTCACAGAGAGCCGCATCCCGCTGTGGCGTCAGCGGCCTCGCTCGTCATTGGCCATCGTCTGGCGCGAGGTGTCACACGCAAAAAAAGTAGTAAGGGTGCGAGCATCACAACTCACTTCGGCAGGAATTGCGATGGTATCCTTTTCCGCGGATTGTGACCATTTATTTCGGGACCGCCTTCCGCGAGAAAGTACGTATGTATTAGTTAAGTTTACGCATATATATGTGGAGATAGAACAGGGGGGGAGGGGGACGCAGACCTCATCCCTAACCCTTACCCAACTTCCCCCGATTGCATGATTCATCCAACATGTTAAAATAAACAAAAAAACTGCGAACGTCCAATACACTGATAGTCTATTTTGGCCACAGGCACGCCGGGAGGTTCTCGAAGGGCCAGCCGGAGAGCTAAATAGCTGCCTCTTGGGTATGTGTACTCAAAACGGTTGAACCAGAGAGAAGGCTACCTGTTTTGTTTACGCCCTTTTAGCTTGCGGGGAGAAAGCAAGGCAGGCTTCAGCGCCTCACCGGGGATACCCCCGGCCAGTCAAAGTGCCCTTTTTCCACAGAAGAAGAGTGGCGAGAGGCGGAGGAGCGACCTCACTGATCCTGGTGGTGGAGGGAGACACGCTACTTACCTTCCCCGCACTACTGTTCGTGCTTATGATGTTCAACGAGCTGGGCCACGATGTTTCGCACAGCAAATAGTGATGCTTTATCGCTTGGGAGGCACCTTGCTCGAATTTACCGAAAGTCATGCACATCCTGGATGTAACAACAGACCAGATGAGAAGGTGGCGGGTAGGGGCTGGTCGTGGTTCCCTTTCCATTGGTTTGACACCGCGAGACGCTGTCACAGCACTTACGTAAATCGACCCCCAACATCATATCACCCGGGGCCCCCAACCCCTCACCCCCGATACCATTCCCTTCTACCCGCCCACGTACCCACCCAGGTTGCCCCAGCAACAACGAAAGCTAACAGCAGGTCATCTGTAACACATTGAAGAAAAAGTCTCGAAAATCGTACGCAGAACGACGACGGGGGCTCCCTTTCGCCGTGAACACACCACGCAGGAGTAACACTTTTGCTTCAAAAAAAAAACTACACAACACGCACGCATGCGGCCATGCCCATGACGGAATAGTGGCACTCGCCACGCTAACAACAAACAAACAAGGGACATTCCTCTCCTCTCCAAGAGCAGTTATGCCTATACAGAATCACACAATCAACCAAGGTTTAATAATCGCGCAAAGTACATTGCGCGAGACGTACACAGGAATCGAGTACACCACAAACACACATGACACACGGGCGCGTACATGCGGCACACGCATGTGCATGCACTACTTCCATCACACCTATTCTGCCCCCCCCCACCCAGGTTATCCCCGCTCCCCTATCCCTCCCCCGGCCTAGGGTACCCCCCCAACCAACCCGCCCACCCGCCCGCCCGCCCGCCCGCCCGCCCAGGCTACCCTCCCGCCCCCATGCTACAAATCGCACAATTCGCCTTCTCGACCATGCAATCCACTACGTTTATCACTTCCGGCGCTAGCTCGACAAACAGCAGAGTTGGCACTTTTTTCCCGCTCAAACTACCCGCGACTTGTGGATAGGTCGCCGCCACAGCTCAGTCGGTGGTGGCAAGAGCGAAGGGTTGCCGTAAGCACACAGGCGTCTCCGAGGCTCTCGATTGGTGTGAGGAAAAACAAAGCAGTGCACCAGAGTTGGTACGAATTGACGGCATCGTCCATTTGTGTCTTTTGTAGCAGCATGGCCTAAGTACTATTACCTGCGTAGTGGCCACAACTCCTCCGACCCACGCAACCAGACACAGGCTTGGCTACGATCATTTCATAAACACACCCCATCTTACCTACTGTGAAGGATGACATCGCGCAGTGGCACGTAGGCCGCAACATCATACAGCCGGCTACTATCATTCTGGCACCGGCTACACTCCTTGGAGACAGCGCGTGGGACAACATAGAGCTATGCATACAGCACCCCACTACAAACCAAACATTTTGCCACTCTAGGGAAGGCGCACTCTACCCTTGCAGAGTTCTTGAAAGCCCATGGGGTACAAGCGTACTCACGTGTTCCACAAAATCGGAAATCGTCACCGGGTGTGCCGGGTTCGCGTCAAAATATGTAAAGATGAAAAGCACGGGCTGTTTAGGAACCGGCCACGGCGCAAAACCAACGCACGCTATATAGACTAATAAATATGGTGTATAATGAACGCGGCCTCCTCTTGGAAACAGGGTACTTCGGTGTATCATCCAGAGCTTGACCCTGAGATTACCACCGAATACCACTTTCCGTGGCTTCATCCAGTCCCCCATGTGCAGCAGACAACGCGGCCGACGTCCAGCCAATACAACATAATACTCTATCCCTTTTGAGTCTATATTAGCAGTTACAATCAGAAACAAACTTGACACTTGAATGCCGCAAGACCGCTAACCTTACGCCACACACCACCACCGATCCCCAATGCTGTGGTCTCTTTAAACGTGTTCGTCGCGAGCGAAGCCCACTGCCCCCAAATAAATACACCGCCAGGATGCCACGGCTCCCATCGAGATCCACCTAACAGAGGTCACCTCCACAAACACGCGCCATCTTTCCATTCAACCCGCCTTCCCACGGGCAAACCGCGCCTAGAGGTCAAACGAAGCGTTGCCTGCACACACAACACCTTTGTTCCGGTTTAACAAAAATTTTCAAGTTGTTATAGGGGGACACATCCCCCCCCCGATTACGCCTGCTTCACTTGCCTTCCCCTACCGTTCTTCGTACCGCAAAACGGCCCTCAGCAGAATCTACCCCCTCGCCCCCTCCGTCGCCGCCGCTAGCGGCGGCGACGGAGGGGGAGCGTGAGCGTATCGATAGCTCCCGCGAAGCGTCGCGAGAGTGACCGCCACCACGAGCGGACATCTCCACCTCGTCCACCCGACGGTAACCCAGCACCGCAGCCGCCGCCGCCGCCGCCGCCCCAGACGGCCTCCCCTCCCCCTCCCCCGGCACTCTCAAGTGCTTCACCCGAAGCACGAGCGCGGCGAGAACCGCAACCACCACGCCCGCGAGCGTGAGCATCAGCCTGGCACCCTGCGGGCCGGAGCCGGACCTGCCGGGTCTCGCGCTCTGGAGGCGGTTGCTTTCCTGGGGGTGGTAGGCCTCCCCGTTGCTGGCAATGAACACCGAGACGGGCCCGGCGGACCCCGCCGCCACGGTTACGCCCGACAGGAGCCAGTGCTGCCGCTTAGCCCACTGGAGGGCGGCGGACAGGGATGCCGAGAACGAGGAGGAGGAGCCCGTGCCGTTGTTGAACACCTGGGCGACCTTGTCCGCGGCAACGCTGTCAACCTTAGGGGTCAGGTGCATCTCCACCTGTTTGGGAAGAGGGGGGGGGGGGGGGGGGGTTCGGTAACGACGCTCGTGCGCGTGCACGCTACAAGCGGACTCTTCCTTGTGGTCGAACAGTCTTTGTGTACCAACAATTTCACGGTAGGCGAGGAAGGGGACGGCTGAGTCCTCCTCGCAAGACTCCCGGTGTGGCCTAAACTGTGTGACCCCGGCTGGTGTGTCCAAAAGGCGCATTTTTGGACGCCCAAAACAAATGTATTGTAAAGACCACACGATGCAAAACAAAACAAACACTGCGGCGTGGGGGAGGCCAGGGATACACCTGAGTCGTCGTCGCTGCCGCACTATCAGAAACCGGACCGCGTTCACGAGAACACAAGCATATTGAGGAAATAAAACAGGGAGGGGGTACGCAGACCCTATCCCTATCCCTAAACCTAACACAACTTGCCTGATTGCATGCTGTAGCCAACATGTTTCCTGAACACAAAACCACAGCGTGGCCAGACAACTAGGGTGCCAAACGGCGCGCGGCAGGAAAATTAGGGTGCAAAGAGCGCGTGCGCCTCCAATTGATCCTCGATGATGGATTTAAATTGCTGTTACGAACGTGTGTACCTTGGCTTCGCAGTCAAAACTCGCTCCCGCTGCTCCGCCAAAGGCGGCGATATCTGCGGCCCGAGGGTCCGTGCAGGTGACGGCGGCTTCCACGTTCCCGGCCGCTAAGGACGTGAGCTCGGCGACGGCGTCCGCTACGGTCGTCCCGAGCCACGTAAGCCAGAGCTCGGAGTGCTCCTCCGACACGCCGGCGTCGCCGACGTCGATCTTGAGGCCTACGCCCACGGACAGGAGGAGGCCCGCCTTGCTGGTGGGACATACGTTGCCCAGGTTGCATGCCCTCGCCTTTTGAGAGAGCGGGAGTGAGAAGAGAGAGGGAGGGAGAGAGAGAGAGAGAGAGAGAGAGAGAGAGAGAGAGAGAGAGAGAGAGAGACGGACGAAGTGAACAAATTAGCAAAACTCCGGGTTAGCTTGCAAGAAGGATGCACCGCTCTTGGAAAATCCCAAGTCAGCAGCGCGTAAGGGTGGCGGGTATGGTTTCCGATACTTCCCAACTGACGCAAAGAGGAGCGGTGAAGCGCCGCTAGAGAAACAGATGCCGACATATCTTGAGACTGAAGATATACACCAAAGTACATGAAACCGACCCCCCTCTTCGATACATGATACACGAACATCAACGAAATGCCTCGTATGTACTGCCCGATGCGCCACCACATGCGAACGGGTCCGCAAGAATGCATCCAGAAAGTTGAGCGTAGCGATCTGGGAACGGAGGGTAAATCTCTCTCGGGTGTGAGCCACACTCTATTAGGCCTCCTTACACAGGAAACCCTTCCACCTGGGGAACTTTCCCCGCAAAATCCACATGGTTAGAGGTACGTAGATAGGAGAGGTGGCTATCCGAACGCGCCGGACCCCGGTCCCCGTGCTCTAAGAAAGCCCGTCCGCCCGTTTCATCACTTGTACAGGAGCACGCGGCTTCTGACCAGGGTGATGGGGGCTAGCGAGGAATCGCCACCGAAAACTAGGTCGACATCACCCTAGACGCCAACAGCAACAGCAGGGAAAAAACAACAGCAACAAAAACAGCAACACCACCAACATCGACGCCACCACCAACAGCAACAATACCACCGCCACCACCAACAGCAGCAGCAGCACGCCACAGCAACAACAACAACAGCAGCAGCGGCAGCAGCAGCAGCAGCAGCAGCAGCAGCAGCAGCAGCAGCAAGGTACATGCCACCTTGAGCCTCACCTCGGCTTCCTTTCCGCACTCATCGTCGAGGAACCTCTCCTGAAGGCAGTCCAAGGAGCACTCCGTCCACAGCTCCTGGTCGATCGAGCAATACGTCCCTTGAGTCGAGCTCTCGACCCCCCCCGCCCTAACAACCAGCTGCACCGCCGGCTCCCCACCCCCCCCCTCCGTCGCCTCCTTCTTCTCCCCGTCGCCCCCCTCTTTCGTCGCCTTCTCGTCTCCTTCGAGCACCAGGGGGTCCGCGGGACAGTCCTCGACACATTCTCGACTCTCTTTCTCCATGGCCTCGGGGCAGGCTTTTCCCGATCCCTTCGGGTGGGTGATGATCACATCCTCCCAGATCTGATGTGCAAAAAAACAAAAAACAACAATGAAGGAAGGTGGCATCATCAAGCGCGTGCCTACAACGCATACACAGCAGAAAAAATGGTGGTTGTACGCAAACGAGAGACCGAGTCTAGGGCAATGTTCAAAATTCAAGGCAGAACATGAGAACGGCCTACGTAACGACGGCGTTTGCAAGCCGGGGTGCACATTCGCTGTGAAACAGGAGCTGAGCTGGCCTGGCGTCCAACAGCAACACAGCAACATGCCTTCCTCCCGATCCCTCTGTCGTCTGAGTCTCCGTCTGTGTGTGTCATTGTCTCTCTCCCACCCTTTTCTTCCGGAGGACTCGGCTGATGAAAGAAAGCGAATCAAAACATGACCTCGAAAAACGGGTCCGGGCATGGATACAGCGCCGACCACAGTAGGCCACCACACCCCCACTTTTTTACGATAATACGCCCGGTGAAGTTTTTTTTTGGAAGCCACAATGTTATTGCCAGGGAGGGAGTCCTCTCGTGCCGCATGCCGTAGGTTGTATACGTAAGACATCACACCCCGTGGACCGATTTTCAAAGCTTGATTACTCGGCAGGGAAAGCAGGGACGGTGCCAAACATCGCGGAGATGGAACCAACCATCGCGTCGAGAGCTTTCGGAACATGTACAAGTATCGTTTGCCTTCAGCATCCTCTGGGTCGTGGAGTGATGTAGTCGAGCTTTGACAATCGATCCAGGGGATGTGGTATCCTATGCAGCCTACGTTATGTATACGTTTAAATAGCGCGTCTTCTTGCCTGTATCGGCACCCACCTGTCTTGAGGAAAAAATAATGGTGGGTTTCTGGCTCGAGGTTTGGTTACACTTCGGTATCAACTATACCGATGTTGAACGTAGCAAGGCTAGGTTCCTCACGCGAGCAAGGCTAGGTTCCTCACCCCAACCCAACCTTAACCCTAGCCCACGGCTAAAGCACGGCCTAGCGGCCGCGAACTGGGCGAGCACGCGGCGCAGCCGCGTGCTCCGAATGTGGAACGGGGAAAGGGCGCTGGAGAGGCATCGGCCGTTAGAACCAACGCCAAAGAACGCCCGACCATTCTGAAAGCGTTAGTCATAAAAGATCTACTATCAATGTGTAGACGCTACGGCTCACCCAATGACTTCAGCATCGAGCCCATGTGTAAGACAACCACAGCCACACAAAACGCCACCACAACTTGTACATGCCTCGTTGCCTTTGATGGTCTCCGGTTCCTCCAAGCCCTTCGGGCACCTGGCGTTGCACTTCTGCACCCGTTTCTTGGCGGTAACGCAGTCCTCGTCCGCCGGCACCTCCTGTTGTGCAAGCTTCTCCTTCGCGGGAACAAAATATGTGCGGCGGCGGGAGTAAGTCAATTTCCACATCTCGGAGGGAATGTTTGTAGGAGCGTACAAAATGTCTTCACCAAAACGCAAAACTACAAAAAACAAGAAGTACAATATCACCCCCCCCCTCATTTTCACGCGGGTGATCTCCTGGCAACATCGGATCATAAAAGAACAAAAAACAAACCCCGTGGCCTTGCCGTCGATCTTAACCAAAATCCATATGAAACGCCGGCCGGCTCCACGTGCAAGGAATGTCTGCTCGAGACTCATGTACGGGACGATGCGCTGCTCGGGTCCACAAGGCCAAGACACACCAAACCAACTTCAGCCGGGGGATGAGGGAACCGTTCTGTCGGAGGCATCCCCCTCTACAACGTTCACCGCCCTCTACTCCTCCACAGCCAGATCACGAGCAGCAAAAACGTCTAAACAACATAATCCAGAAAAGGGTTAAAAAAAGCGCGCCCTTGCCGCAGCGCTCACTCGGCATCTGGCATCTCGTTAACAAGGAACATCATCCAACACATGGGAACAACACACATACCGTTCTACATGCAGGGAGGACGACGAAAGCACTCCGAAACGAACGCGCGTCCAAAGTAGTAGCAGCACACTTCTGCATTTTTCTTCTGTTATTGTTATCTACGGTATCTGTCTTTAATCCGCCCTGAGAGTAGCACAGCCTCCCCCATGACGCCCTGTCACGGCGTCCCCGATCATGGAGGCCCTTACAAGCATTTTTTTGTTTTCAACCGCACTGAGACTGACGCTTTTTCAATGGTCAGCCGGTTAGCGCGGTCGATGCTAATAACACACACATTTAGAGAGGCATTCTGTGTTTTTCAATCACACTCAGACTGACGTCTTTTCATTGGTCAGCCGGTTAGCGCGGTCGGTGCTAATAACAAACACACACACTTAGAGTTGCATTTTCTGTTGTCAACCGCACTGAGACTGGCGTCTTTTCATTGGTCAGCCGGTTAGCGCGGTCGACGCCAACAATAAAGACATACAAACACAAGCACACACCTGTGCACCGACACCCCCGGGGACGGATCCCTGATTGTCGGCCCTGTAGTCGCAGACGCCTTCTGCGAAGCCCACCAAGTGGTTTTCATAGTCGAACACGACGTTGTGGTCTAGCATGACGTTCGCGCCGAGTACACCCCCCATGGATTCCGTCAAGTAGATCCTGTCCATTGGTCAGGGTTGTTGATGTGGCTGGGTGCTGTTATTGCTGATGTCGGGTGTTGCTGTCTGTTGATGTTTTTGTTGTCTTCGCATCGGTCTCTGGTCAGTACAATGTGAGGCCGCTGGTAACTGACGCGGAAGACTTTCAGCCAACAACCCAAAAAAGGGTACACAGAAAACTCAAAAGGGACATTGAACAAAGAAACAAAAACAGAAAACTCAAAGGGACATTGAACAAAGAAACAAAAACAGAAAACTCAAAGGGACATTGAACAAAGAAACAAAAGAACCCACCATATTTTTAAGACCGCCGTGCCATTGAGGACGACTGACGGGGTGAAACAAAGGAAACGCCATCGTGTTCGCCGGAGGAGAAGACAGTAATCAAGTGTATTGGCGTGGTGTGATGGAAGCGTTCCTGACGCCAATTAGAGCGTACATTGACCTGCGTGCAGCATTGAGCGTGGAAACTTCATAGAATTCTCCCCGACATGTACCGCCTTAATTACGAGCGGGCAAGCGTTTCGATAGCGGCGGTCAACCTCGGCGCAGCTCGGCGGCGGTACCGCGTGCCAAGCGCTCCAGGACCCCACGGGGGTAACCCGAACAACCTCACCAACAAGTCGCGTCCCCGTGCCAGAAGCCTACGCAGTTTTTTTTTTTTAAGTAAGCAAACATTCTGGATGAAGCATACAATTGCCCAAGTTGGGGCTGTGTGCCCCCTGCCCGGTGTTTTTCGTAATAAACTTCCCCTCTTTTTGAATAGGCAGTCCCCCTGTGCAACCCTTCCTACAGGTCTACAAGCGCTGGTTACGCCGCACACACATGCAGCATTGCCGTGCCCGCCCCAACAAAAATCACCTGGGCGCGTACGCGTTGTCCTTGCCGAGAGCGTCCATGTACCCCGAAGGCCGGACATTCACTTCCAACCCGCCATCCATATGAATCGTTACGGTCGGCAAAGCTTCCAGCTCGGCCGAGGTCAAGATCATGCAGAAGTGGTTGTCCTTGCAGTTCGCGTATGGCTGCAGGACGGGAAACAAAGGCGAGTCAACAGGGCGTGCCGTCGCGCTTTAAAGTACCCTTCAAAAAACCACTGGGGGTACACTAATGCGTCAAAACGTCAAAACCAACTTGATTTTTTAACACTTACTCGTTCAGATGCACTTGGAGGAAAAATAATTTTCGTAACAAGTATATCACTTGTCACTTAACTAGGTGGTCCATCACAGAGATACAAAAAAAAAATACACACAAACACTCGAAAAACAAGTGGTGTGCCAGGTTCTTGCTTACCGATCCAGTGGCCCTCTCCCAGGCAGCGCTGAAGCCCTTCGCTACGCTCCTGGGGAGGTAGGTGTCCGTAGTCCCGCTGTCCACGATGATGCCCTTTCCCCTCTGGAAAATCGCGGGGTCCTGCGCGATGCTCACCCGGTTCACGGTGATGTCCGTTACCTGTGGGCGTATCAAAAAAAAAGAAAAGAACGTCACCAAAAAAAGAGGTACGTATGTAGAGATAGATACCTGTGTTGAGACAGACTTGGGGTGGTCCTCAATGACCATCACCCGGTTAGATAGGGTCGATAAACAAGAAAATGTGAAACGCACGGGATGAAACCGAAGGGGGGGAGCACGCGCACCGCAGAATAAAAAGTCTTCCGTGTACGCCTCCGGTTCGCACTGATTCCCACGGGAGAAAAAAGGCAACGCCATACGCGGTACGCAGATACGCGCAAACGGGGATTGAATGCCTAGATGGGATGATTATCCCGGTACGAGACATTCATCGGAACCACCCCCCGCTCTCTCCGCGTGGTTCTCATAACGACTGATGACAGATGAAAAAACGACTCTTTGACGACATTGGCTTTATCGTAAGTACCTGAACCGTAAACCAACCGTTGGTCTTGGTTGACGGGGTGTACATCATCTCATGGCCGGGCTTGTTCAGCCGGGTGTCGTAGCCTCCGATGACCATGGTCCCTCCGTTTTTCCCGAAGCAGAGAGAGAACGTTCGTTCCTGGAAAAGGGAGAAGGGGTATTCTCATGCTATGTAAGTTGCTTGCCTTGCATTATTAGCAACTTCCATAGGCCCTGAAGCTTGCCTTGCAGTAGCAATTTCCGTAGGACCTGAAGCACGCATACTAACACTTGAGATAGAGCACTATTGTATAATACTATAATACTTCTTCTTGCCGAAAGAGACAGACCGCTGACACACTCGGACCCCCAATTATATATTAGACATTTCGTCCTGTTCGTTGCCGCAGAGTGGTGGCCATCATCCTTTAGCATTCTTTGGGGGGGTGGGGGCAAGCCACCACACACAAAGAGTAAATAGCTGAACCCATGAAACGACTTTGCAAGCCAAATGCAGCCGAACACACCCTCCGTCATGCCAACTAATGCCACATGACCGCAAGCGTTCGAGCTACGTTCGTTGGGCGTCTAAACACCTAGAGAGAGTTTCTGAGGCCTGACCGTAAAAAAAGTAACCATGGAACAATCGGACTCGATTCCTGTTCCTCCACTGGCCTTGACTTGCCCGTTAGATCAGAAACTGCTTGGTGGGCATGCTTTGTGCGGCGGTTTCGTGTTACCAGGAGCTCAGTAATGCCGCTAATGCCGCTAACTTCACAGCAGCGGAAGCAACATCACAACCACAGCCTTCTGCGATAAAAACCCACCACCACTCGCAACAACTCACCAACAACGTAACGTCTACGGCAGCGGCACCTTAATCTTCCCAGCCTTGGCGAGCTGCCACACGAGCGTGTGGCTGTCGGCACTCATGCCCATGATCCCGTCCGCGAGCTGCGTCTTGAAGAGGCCCGTCTGGCTCTCGATGCACCCGAACATGAACTCCACCGAATAGGCGGACTCGTCGTGGTTGATCTTCTCGGATTGCTGGAGAGTGAGCTCTCCAACCCACAACACATCCTCCACCTGTTCGTGTGTTTACGCATGCGCCGTGCACCCGGGGCACACAGGCAACAAGGGCTTGTTTATTGTCGGGGTTCGGAGCTTCTCAACCTGCTCTTTTCATCGTTGTTCGTTTCTTGGCTCTTTTGTCGGCACAGTGAAAAAGTGGTCTTTCATCATGTTCCACACGGTGTTCAATGTGAGTTAACATACACATCTAGCCTCGAGTGGTTCAGCCAGTCAAACAAACCAATGTACCAGAGCCCAAAACGAAAAAAATCTGCGACACCTGTGAGAAAAGGCACAACGACACCGGCGGTGTGAACGGAGTACAGAAGAGAAAATTGCCACCCTACCGTTTCCCCATCGCCGATTTTGTCTGCTCGGCAAGGGGCCCAAACGACACCCGACTAGACACAACAAGGCGGAATGGAACGAGTTCTGTCTACGTACCCAATACATGGCTAGTCGGGTCGACAAGCCGCGTCCACACGGTTGAGTATCTGGACGACGGATACCGTGCCGACGTACCGACCTCGCTTCTAAACGTACACGGCTTAGTTAAGCGGTTCGCAAAGAACTTCTCTTTCCCTGGAAAATAAGGAAGCCGATCTTCAAACTTTGTGACACAGGTACCACGATTTCTCAGCAATATGTTTCGTCCCTAACCGGTTCACCTGCAAACCTACTATTAATAGTAGCAGGTTGTGGGTTTGTACTTCTCTGGAGTTTCTTTCCCTACGATTTGCGATGGGGAATGATTTAACTACGTGGGTAAACACACTTCAACTACACGGTCGACGAGGGAAAGGGATGGCTGAACCCACTTCTCGCGATAAAAGCTGGCGAAAACACGGCTGGAGGCGGCGCAAAAACAGAACGAAAATACTCTGCGGTGTCCCTCCAACTGTGTGACCCCGGCTGAAGCGTCAGAGAAATATACACCGAAAGCTGTGTCGGCTGGCGGGGGTGAACGCACACGCTCGCCGTGTCTGAACTCGAACGCAGGACACCATCCGAAGAAGGCAGTGTGGTCCACGTGGGCGCGGGCACAACCCATTGGTCTGCGGCCTCTACTTGATGCTGCCATACACTTCCTCGACGGTCTATGACGCAAGATACAACACCCCCTGGACCGATTTTCGGAGGTCGGTTACTCCTCGACGAAGAGGATGTGCAAATCAAACGATACGCTAATGGAAAGCTCTCGATGAGACGGTTTCAACGCCGCTATATTTTGGCTCCGCCACTCTCTGTGCTATGGAGTGATCGAGATTTGAAAATCGGTCCAGGGGGTGTGATATCCTATGTCACCTATGTACGATGGAAACACCAACGCATGCCTACCCGGTGAAAATCACAAAACGATATAGAGAAAGGAGAACACTAAGAGCATGCCGGTGTATGTACCTGGTAGGCCCTCCAAGAGCTTCCTTCGCTATACCTCTGGCTGAACCCGCACCGCTTATCCTTTTGGCACCTGCGAAGGGGCAACCGAGGGCAAGAGCGAGAAGGGGGATTTACGAAGTGTTTCCATATACAATACACACAAAAAAAAGGGAAGTCAGTTCACGGCACGAGAGGAGCCTGCGATGTCTGTGTCGTCACAGCAGCGGCGAGTTTACACGTAAGGATATCTCTGCAGTAAGCACTGCTGCTACGATACCGTTGTGTTAATTGTGTTGGGACAACAGTGCATGAAAAAAAAGGCAAACCAAAACACAGCAGCAGTGCTGCTCAGCTCTGCGATGTTGCTGTGCACGTTATGTACCATGTACGCACACCATGGCACAGCCATACTTCGAGAGGTGTTCCGGTTGGTGCAACCGAATCATCTTTTCGTATAATTTTTGAACCCCAGCTGTGGACCAATCACCCGAACACCCTCACGTACTCTGCTGTATTCGCGCCGCGCGCCCTAAATTATACAGTAGTCATCCCCAGCCGCCAGAGCCAGAGTGTGATTCTATTGCCGACATATGCGCAGAGCCAAAGAGTGAGCGATCGCACTACACGCACACTCCTCCGGTATTGCAAACCAACAACTTCCCGACATTCCCCAGCATAACATACAGCAGTCACAAGATGGCCACCTAGTTGTCTTGTCGAGCCAGTTAGCAACACAGGGGCTCCATGGTGCTCGGGAACCGAAGCAATATAAGTATAAGTTGGTCACCGCCGTTACAGCGCAATAAATGAAATTGCTAATCTATCACGGACTTTTCATCTATGGAAGAGATGGATTTGTTGCGTTTTTTGTGCGAAAAGTGACATTTCGCTCTCGAACGCACATCATCTACAACAAAGCCGAACAATCACGAAGACAACAGCAGCAGTATTAATAATTAATGTCGCAGGCAAGCGCACGAATGACTATTTAGCTCAGAAATGTGGCAGCTCTCCGGTGTTTCTTTTTTTCTCTTCTCACGGAAACGAACCGAGTTCATCTCTCTATCGAAAAAAGGATAAAGAAGCAATGAATTCATATTTATTTAGCGTTCTTATGCAATGGCCGACCCTGATTTCGGAGCAAGAAGGTGATACAGCAGTACACACGGTAGTAATTTTATGCGTCCCCAAAACTGAAAAATAAAAATTGCCAAAACAAAAATAAACCACACCAGAGCGTGGGAGAGGGAGACTGAGAGAAGTTGGGCACTTGTCACGGAAAAGTGAACAGAGCCAATACGTCTACGTGAGCTTTGTCTGTATGCATAGCATAGATCGGAGGTCGTTTGTGGTAAGCTTAGCTCATCAGGCAACCCTGATTTATTGCCTGACAGCCCCTTTTCAGATCGGGGTTGCCTGAGAGGGTGTTTGGTGCCTGAGATGCCTGACTTTCGCCAGGCAACGCAGCAAACCGCCAAAACACGTGTCAGGCATCATAAAATAAACGCCAACTCTCATAAGTAGGTATGTAGGGGGCCGAGGGGGCCCCGTGAGACACAGAGAGGGGGAACAAATCAAGCACGGACCCCCTCCTAATAAAAAAAAAAAATAGAGATGGATTCGTTGTGCCATATTAAGAAAAAAAAAAAAATGCACGACCTTGCGCGCTCGACGAATGATGCGCAGTGGTAGTTTAGCTAGCGGTGTGGCGTGCTGGTAGTGTCGTGCTGGCAGTGTGTCGTGTGGTCGTGCAGCAAGATGCTGCCAGCTAACTTTTCTTGCCCGTGCGTACATGAAAGGGATTGCGGGAAAGTCGAGGGGGCGCCAATAATCTGCCTGGCTGCTCGCATTTACCTCCGGTCATACTTTAAAAATCCTGGCCCCCTGCTCCTAGAGCTCGTTGACTGTTAGCGTTGTCTATTTATTTAGCGCTTCTGCACACACCAAACAGATGGAAGTGGGGGAGGATGGTAATTATCGGTTTACCATGCCTTGCGTCGGCGGGGAATGCTTTGCTTGTTGTCGAACGTTGAATGTCCGAATCTTGTTTTGAACGTTTGTTTGTTGTCTGGTTTCTTTGGCATCTATCTGTACAACAACAATCTTCTTTGCGAAGTAATGGTTTTCTCTGTTTCTTTCTGCTCCTCCAGCCTCTGTGCGCTCTCTGTACCTCGCCCCTCGCCCCTCGCCCGCTTCAAGCAACCTCTTGCTGATGTTGGTGGAGTACTGAGTCGAGACGCATGGGGTGAATGGGGGGAACCAACGTACAGTATGTATGTAATAAATGTTGTTTGCAACATAAAATAATAATATATATTTTTCGTCAACTACGTGTCTGAATACTTCAGTGTAAGCCCTGAATGCCAACACTGCCGGTGCACGTTAGTTGCGCGCTACAGTTGCGTAATGAGGGCGCCAAAACGACTTGAATGGGTTTCAGGCAAGTGTCAGGCAAGTTTTCAGGCAGGTTGCGTGATTCAAATCAGGCATTTCAGGCAAAAAAAACTGGTGTCAGGCAAATGCCTGAAATTTTGCCTGACCCCAAAATTTTTCGCCTGCGGCGGGCTGTTTTGCACATGCCTGAAGCACGCCTTCGGCGTGCCTGATAAGGCAAAGGTTAGTTTGTGGTCATCCACCAACAACCGGATGGGCACTTGTAACGTAAAAGTGAATACGTTTTTGCGCCACCATCTGCATACTTGAAGGCATTTTAGATGATGTGCAGGCCCTCGGATGTAGAGCGGACCTGGGAACGTTCCTGACTTTTATCTCCCTTCCACAAAAATACCGTTTAGTGGGTCATCGGCGTGTCGAGACTACATGAATGGTGGCAAACGAAAACATAATTGAGGCGAGTAGGTAGAACATGTGTCTACATGGTCTACAGCCCGGATGGGTAGACTAACCTACTCACAGCCGGAATTTACAGATTTGCACGTACACCCTCATGGTGGGCTATCTGTGCGATCTGCTAAAATACCTCTGATCATCTGGTGCTTGGTCCCGCACAAGGAGGAGAGTGCAGCACCCCCGGGCCAAGCAGTGGGTATGGGCATGCATGTCAACGCCATGGACGAAGAGCGAAGAGCACTCCTCTTGCGGCCTAATCCATCGTTAGGTTGAACCGCCCACTACTTGTACAGCCCTCTGGGAGGCACATCCATTTTTAAAAGCGAACACTAATCAAGCGCAGGAAATGATGCAGGGCAGGAGTAGGGCCCTCTTCCCGTGCAAGTAGCACCTTGGCTGCATCAGCGGCAGCGACTCCCACACAGCAGTACGGCGGCGCTGTTGTCTGTTCTATGTACTCCAAACGAGCAAAAGAGAGAGGGAGAGAGCACAAGCGCACCTGAAGGACCCATGGCAATCCTCACAGGTTACGATATGCGACGAGGTCGACTTGCTCTGGTCCCAGTGCGGGTCGGTGTGGCTCCCGCAGTTCTCGCACTCGGAGCACGGGAACGCGGTGAAGTGGCTGCCGGTGTCGATGATGACCGACACCCTCTGCGGTGGCGTGCCCGCATAGACGTAGGCGAAATGGGTGCCCCAGCCCGGGAACAGCGGCGTGTCCTCGAACGACATATACAACGACCGGCGTCCCTGCCAGTCTCGTCTCGCCAGCTTCTTCGCGTCCACCGCCGCCGTCAGCTCGGCGCTCTCCGTGTGGTTGTGGAACGCGCGCCCGAGCGACAGCGAGTAGAGCTTCGTCGGCGTCCCATCGTCGAGGTTTGGTCCCGGCAGCTCGCTGTCGACTTCCAGGAACGACCCCCCGGGGAGCCCAACGGTGGGAGCGGTGTGCCGGTGATGCCGGTCGCTCAAGCCGGCTGTTCGAGCTACAGCGGCCGCCAGCGTAAGCGCTGCCGCTGTTGCCGCACTTGCGCCAGAGGTTGGCGCCATTACGGACACTGGTCGCATGCACCTAAGACCGATCGATCGAGGAGAAGTACCTACCTGCTCCTACCGCTCCCTGCAGCTGCTCTGTGTTCAATGTTGGTTTTCTTGTTCTGTTCTGCACTGCTTGAAAATGAGGGGGGCCCGTGCCGTGTTTCCCGCACACCTACTGTATTGTGCGTACCCCGCTGTCCTGTAGGAGGGTGAATGTGCATAAGAAACGTTACGGCAGAAACAACCCTTGGCCACCACACGCACACACACGTGCTCTCGCTCGCCCCCGGTAAACACGGCGAAGCGAGTAGACTGAAAACAGAAACCAACACGCTCGTCCGCTTCCTGCTTTCTGATTGGCCACCGGTTTGTTTCTGCCGCTTCTCACAAAACGCAGATTTCCCTTACTTCGTTGCTTCGTCAGTCAATCTTTCGCATTTGCGTGCGCTCTGGCCGTGTGCGGTTGTCGGTGTGTCGGTCGCGGTGCCTCCGTGGGTACGCTGTAGACGCCGTATGTGATGTATAGGAATTTCCTATACCACGCTTTGTGCAGCAGAACGCGCAACCACACATCGTAAAACCGCTTATTTTGCGCGAAGTTCAACGCTTTTTGTTTGCCCCAAACTGGCCCATGTTCTTTTTCCAAGCGGGGGTCTCTCTCTATACCTCGGTTCTTGCTCTTATTTGTAAGCCGATTGCCCGTGCATGCCGAAGGCACAGGTCTTTCTGGGTGGATTTCGACGTGAGTGACTTCTAAGTGGCGCGTTCTGTTTGCGTGACAGATACTGTGTATTATAGAAAGAAGAAAAAAAACTCCTGGGGGCGATAATACATCAGGCAGGATGGTCACTTTACTTAATTAGACTACTACTACTACTGCTGTGGTGTACCCGCCCCCCAAATCCTCCCAAATAAGACAACCTGTCCATATGGCACCAGTCGGGGAGATGGCATCGGGTTCACTGTCGGGTGAAGGGACTGGCGAGCGTTGTTGCTTTCGCCAACAACATCGGACACACTTGGATGTGTTGTGTTCTTCTATTGCTGTAGCCGCGAGGCGAGAACGAGATTTGCACTTCATGCATTCGAACAGGTACCCTCGGTCCGTGCTCTCCGTACATACGAAGAGGGTCCTGGTAACCCCCCCCCCCCCCCCAATCTGACCCACGTTCTCTCCTCTCCGTGCTTCTCACCTCTCGCTCAATCAGCACATTTCGAATTCAATGTGGGGATCCAGGAGATAACAACCCCGCACGTTCACTACAACCATCCCCACACCCTCGAGGCAAAGCATCTATCTATCTGTACAACCCAACAAGATTTCCGGAGTGCTCTGTACCACCGGTGTTCCAAACCAACACATGTTAGAGCCGTCGCAACCACCACTGATAACCAAAAAAGCAGCTCATGTGGTACCCGTTGTTGTGCTATCCTCGTGTGGGTTAGCGTGAGAACTCGGGCCTCTGACACCCGGCAGGTACACACGTCACCATCTTGCCACACGTGTTGTGGTGCGCGACCACCACCTCTCCACCACCATCGACACCACTACTCTTGGGTACCCATCCTTGGTGCAACTCTCGTCTTAGCAAGCGTCTACACCCCCCCCGCCCCCCCCGCCCCCCCCGCCGTGTACACCGGATATATAGCGGGCACGGAGAGGGCTAGTGAAGGCATAGCTTTGTCGAGGCGGCCTGGTGAATGTTTATACTTGCTGACGAAAGCCTTCCAGCTTAGAGGAGCGGTCTTGCGCCAGGAACGAAGTAGGTCTGCTTCATCGTTAGAGGATGTTCCTACCACCGGTTTCTCCCGAAGGCGCCTTGTGATCCTCCGCATTCGGCTTGGCCTCGTACACGCACTCCACAACACCGTGTCGGAACTGTTGGGATGGAGCGTCAAAGCAAGGCGAACAGGGCCCAGCCGGGGGGGGGAGACTCATTATTTTGCATGGCCGCAGCAGACAGGCCATGGAAATTGCGTCCCTCAAGAGCGAGCACCTGACTCTCACTCGACCAGGATCGCGAAGCACTGGTCGCGATTTTCCAAGAGGTACTGGGCGAGTCGCATGAAGTGTGAGATACACTCCTTGTAAAGAAGCGCTGGCGAGGACGGCTTCGGCACGTTGCTCGTATTCTCTTGCATGCGAATGACAGGTTCGAAATTTGTGTTGGAGTTTTGCCAATTCAGAGATAGCAATGGGCGCACTACAACTTAGAGTACCTGGGTGGCGACGGGGCGGCCGTAGTTGAATGCGGTGACGGAGTGCTTTGAGGTTGTTTTCCTACCTGCTTGTACCTCATGCGTCAACAGCATCTTGAGGCCAACGTCGTACAAAGTGCGACCCCTCTCCCCCCCCAACCTATGCTCGCTCTCTGTTGCATACACTTCTTAGAAATGGGTCCCGCGCCGTTTGTCTCCTTCGGTTCTTGCCTTTGTGCTCTCGCCCTTGAAGCCGAGGTACGTGATGACGGTCGAGTCGGCCCCAAAGTTGGAAGGGACGAAGAGCGTGATGTCGCTCACGTTCTGCATCTTAGAAAGCTTGGTCGGGTAGTCGACCTGAAATACATACGTCAGTCGCATCCGGGCACGGAAGCGCGCCGCGGGGTACGTGAGTGTGTGCCCCGTGCTGCGTTTTCCACCAACATCGACAGCCCTGATGGGCTGGCCAATGAAAACATGCGAGTCTTTGTGGGACGAAACAACAATTTCTGGGAGATTAACCGACGGGATCGTGTGTATGTACAATATGCATGCATGGAACGAAATCTACAGGGTTGTGCGGCGGTCTGACTCAGCGGTTCTCAAACGGAAACTTCGACTTCCATGTGCATACAGTATGCATACAATCGAGCAAGACCATACCCTGGAGAAAGGAACAAGGAAAGGCAGGAGGAATCAGAACCAGCAGATTTCTGATGCAGCACAAAACAAAACAAACTTACCTCCACACCCCCGCTATCTCGGACCATCTCCAGCGTCTGTACAGCAGGTAGATCTTGCGCCAGGCCGAAATCAATGTCATCTCGATTTACAAACCTGGTTCGATAGAAAGAATGGGTGCAACACAAGGGCGGCAACAAAAATGACGCACACGAGATAAAATGGTCTGTATGAAAGTCTCGAGCGCAGGGCCTGTTGAACGTGCGAAGACAGAAGCACCAGCTTAAAAGGTGGAGTTTCTCAAGTGCATCCCTCAAGTGTTCTCCATTCTGGCATGCCGTTAATTCGCTGTCAAAAGCACTGTCGAAAAGGGCAGCACTCTGTTGTACTCGCTTTTCCTGGATCCTTCATCGCTAGAACTCTCTACTGCCCCGCAAACGTAGTTCGCTTAGTGAGGCTAACGGCAGTAAGACTGACCGCACTAGGCTGAACCAACCGGTTCTCAGCGTGTCGCCCAAATGGGGCGGCTCTACGTTGCCATATGGGGCGAGGAAGGGGCTCAACATGTCAGTTCCCCCCCCCCCTGCGCGCCAACGCCCACGCCTCCTCACTCTCACCCTCTGAAGCAACACGACGTCGGGGACACTCACTCACACTTTCATCGCCGAAGGTGCGGACCCCTCACCCCCGCCTGTGACGCTAATGGCTCGAATCTTCACCACCTGCGGAAGGGGAACATATCAAGTAAACGAACATTCAAATACGAGCGCGAGAATCTCTAAATATCACGAAAGGATTCAACTTTCAAGGGGGGTACGCGCGGGTGGCGGTGCTAAATACACGAAAATGAAACCCTACACGCGAAGAGTTGTAAAAACTGCGAACAGATCCGTGCCAGGGATACACCCCTCTTACCTGCTGTAGATCATCTACACGCGCCTCGACGTAAAGTCACGGGTTACATCGCGGTGCAACTACTCTTCCTCACCACAAAAACTAAAAACACACATACTTCCACATCACATCGAGATGCGCTCCAATAGCAGCTACTCTGAACCCCCCCCCCCCCCCCCCCTCAAAACGCGCGTCATCCCAGCTTCGTAGGGATGCAACGGTCAAGATATCGGCGCAGCATGCATGATTGTGACTCCCATCCCCCTCCCTCGCGAAACCGCCCCGCCCCGCACACGAGTCCACACACCTGCGTGAAGGGTACGTATATGATGAGCTCCGGGTCATCTTCCTCGCTCTCGAGGCGCGGCTGCGGATCTCGTCGCTTGTCCCACGGCTTGAGGCAGTTCAGCCCGCTGCCGGGGGCGCTCTCGTTGAGGCATCGGACGCTGTTTTGTGGGCATACGGTGAGACACGTGCGTTCAGAGGGAAGACTGCAGCAAACAACACCGAAGTTTGTGATGTGTTAGATAATACAAGGGAGAGAAATGAGCATTTCGAGCACCAAAAAGACACGGCAAGCCGAAAACAACAAGTACGATGCTGGGGGGGGGAGGTGGTAACCGCGCCCAAGCATTGGCCTGTTTTCAATTTGTTTTAAGCTACGTCCCGGTGCAACCCGGGCGGAATTATATGGCGCGATATGTCCCTACAACAACGCATATTCCTCGAATACCAGTCTGGAGCCACGTCAGCATACCGTCTAGAAATTGCACATGAGATTTGGCCTACTTTTGAACAAACCTCGCACGATATGCAAAACAATGGCGATTCCCCAACAGTCCGCTGGGGCAATCTGCATACATCGTCTTGCATACCTGAACACTTAAACTACAACGACCATCCGAAGTAGGCATCCTCACCGCGTGGTATCGATGAGGCCGAACAAGGACATCCCGTCTGGGTCTTCTGGGTCGTGGCTGTGGTCGTGGCTGTGTCCGTGACTATGGTCATGACCGTCCCCTCCTCCTCCCCCCCCACCCGCCTCCTCGTGGTCATGCCGGCAAGAAGACATGGGTTGGTGTGACCTTCCGAATTGCTGCTCCTGTCGTTCAATCTGCTTTGAAACGGCACGGTCAAATGGTCAATCCGCACGATCACCAAGAAATGCCATAAGAAGGTCAACGAAGACATCTCATCCGTGTGTTCTTTCTCGTGAGAGCCACGCTGCCCTAGCAAGAACGGTTTTTGAAATAGAGGAACTTGTACACACGCTTTGCGGCAAGTGCGCTGTAGGAGAGGTAACTTTAACTCGGGAGTTGATGGTTTGAGGGGGGCTGCAGTGCAAACATCATGGATCACCGACATACGGTACACGTGGCAGAGCCCTGGCAATAGTCTAAGGGTGACGGCTTCGTTCGGCAAGATGGAGAAATCGACTTATGCCGGAAACCGTGAATTTGTGTGGTTGGCGTGGGATCTTATGGAAAGCTCGGGCCACTTTCGCTGAGATGACAGTATTCTGTTCGGTTCTATGTATGTTGGGAGAAGATCGGGCCCAATGAACAGCAGCTGCCCCCGTGGCCTGTGTTGACGGGGTGTCGACACATCGACAAACCCGGCATGTGCACGACGTGTACCACTTCATTCCTTCCTTTGAACACCGGTTCTAGAAAGCCGGTTCCTACTCATTTGCTGTTGCCCACGGCAAGATCGCTGGAAAGAGTCCTCGTATCGGCGCTAATCACAACGACGACAACGTTTTTGGGAACATACATCTGTCTTCTTCCACGGCAGTAAACATCTAGGAGAAAACCCCCGGTAAAACCGCTGATGCCTTGTAATCTTTAAATATCTTGCAACGGGAAGCTCGATAGTGAACGCGAGTTTCCCCTCGGTTACGCTCCGTCTGCAATGCCTTCACCCCGCCGAACTGCTGTGACGCTGAAGTCAACGTCAAAGAGCATGAATACTTGACCTGACCATGCCCACTCTAGCCTCACACGCTCAGTTGAACGCCATGTTCTTCCGTAATCTATGCGGAAAGGCATTCTAACTGACGACCAAAAGGGTCTTTGTACACTCGTTGTGTGTATGCTGTCATTGTAACAGAGCTGGGTTCAACCTCACGAGGTATGCATATGCATAGGCACCAGGAAGGAGACATGATTCAATATTTCCCGTACGTATGCAATCACGCCGCCATCACTTCGCCATTGGTCTACGTATGTTTCGGTCGGGAGGGTTGCGTCATGATCAGGTCTCTCGTGGCGGCCTTGGAGAGCTGACCTTGGCCGCCTCCGTCGATCGCGCCGCCCGTCGCCGTCGGACGACACCCGGTTGGCTGTATTTTGCACAGAGAGTATCGTCCTGTAGTGTGGCAGACGAAAAAAACGGACACCAACCGCACTCACCTATACTAGTGCTCCACTCAATGGTGCAGCAAACCTCGTGAGCGCAAGAGAGAGACAGAGAGATCACGAGGCAAGCGGATTGCCGATTGCTTGTGGGGAAGTGCGGAGAGTGCGGAGCATCCACAGGGATCCCGCAGATGGGGTAGATGAGGGGGAAAGTGTTTACTGTAGGCCCCCCACCCGCTCCCCGCTCCCCGTCCTCCGAACGCCTCTGGGAAGCGATTATGTGGACGTCCGTCCGACCGTGGATCACAGGGACCGGACCGGACTTGTTGCGATAATGGTGAGTGCGCGGAAGGTGTTGCACGGAGCTCGGGGTTGGCCCATCCCTACCGGTAGTGCCGTAGGCAGGCTTTGATGGCGAAAATTTGATTTGAGGTCCAGAGAAACCACCCAAAATGGTGACTCCAAGTGTGAACCCACACACATCGACGACGGACGCTGGAGAGAGGGGCAAAGAGCAAGGGGCAACGCATGGTGTGCAAGAGAGAAGGGGCAGTGTTGTTGGTGTCGATCGTCGAGAGTTGGCATGCACCTGCGTGCTGTGTTGGCCGTCTCCCCTAGTGCTTGTTTTCAGCGATTCGTCGGTGTGGTGTGCTTGGTGTCTTCCGCCCCATTTCCGGCCTTACAAACACCCATCCATCTGCCAGTAGGAAAGGCGCACAGCAGCGCACAAGCTCTCTCTGCTCGACATAGTCTAGGTAGCCAAGTTGAGGCTGCAAGACCCCTTTGCGGAGTTGGAACGAAGGGTGGACCTCCTGTAGTGTCTGTGTCTGGTTGTGGACCCAAGTTCGCTGCGGGTGAACGACGTTTACCCTTGCTTGCATATCGCCCCATATTTTGATTCTGCCTCCACTCCCACACGGCGATTGCTTCGGGTATTCAACCCACTTCTCTTCTGTGATGCACCGCCGTCACCAGGGCAAGACCTAGCCGCATATCTGTTTCATGTACTGGAGTGGAGTCGCTGTTTGGTTGCTCGGTCGAGATCAAGTTAGGCTCTACGATGTATTGTGGACAACGTGACTTGGCATATGTACCTGGCCGCGCTTGTAGCACCCCTCTTGAAACGTACTGCTGTAAACAGGGCCATACATGGCCTCGAGGGACAGTCCGACCAAGCGTCCTTGCCCATCCGGTGATATCACAATCGTCTGAAGAGAACATTGCCATGGCGTCATTCGTGATGCAGACGAAGAGTATCAACATCGATGGGCTCAATGTATGTTCTGCATGTTTGTTCCTTGACAATGACCCGGTTATGTGTGTTTTTGTGGGCGATTGCTGCAGGTGTCGCTTAAGCTCCAGAAGCGGCTTGCCGCATCCGTACTCAAGTGCGGAAAGGGCAAGATCTGGCTCGACCCCAACGAGGTGAACGAGATCTCTCTCGCCAACTCTCGCCAGAACATCCGGAAGGTGAGAAAATATCACATGCTTTTTTCAGCACAAGGCCCTCGGCTGCTGTGCAGCAATACTGTAGGAGGGTAGACAGGCAGAGACAGGCAGGGGCCCCGCAATCGTATACGATAGATAGTTCTGCAAATGAGCGAGGAGGTTGGTTGCAGGTGCATTGTAGCTTCAATTTAGACAGGTAGTTTTGTGCTTGATTGGACCCGGTCGGTCGAAGGTTTTAGACAACGCTGTTCAACCTTCTCGCAAAAGCAGGGGAAGGCCTCTGTAAAAAGCAACGTATAAATAGCGTACCTCAATTTGCAGCGCGTTTTTCCCGCAACGTTTCTGGGACTGTTGCTTGTGTCCGTTGTTTCATCTTGGTGCCGACAGCATTGAATCGTGTTCATTCAAAACAAACGCTTGGAGCCGCCACCCACGCGGAAATTTCTTTCTCAATGCAGGACTCACGGCACTTGGGTGCGCGCGATATCCATTGAAAAGGACTTTTTTGGTCTCGAACCTCTGTAGCTCTGTACTTGTAGCCGCTGAGTTGCCAACAGGTCCACACTCTTGAGTGTTTCATCACTGTTGTGCACCTCCCGGCCTTGACCAAGAGTGTCACGACGTTCTGTTGCCTGCCGCGTTGGTTGAACGTTTTCCTCCTCCCCTTTTCCTACGCGCCTGCCGTGCGCGCAGTTGGTGAAGGATGGACTGGTCATCCGGTTGCCGCAGGTTGTGCACTCCCGCGCCCGAGTCAACTTGCGCCACGAGGCCAAGAAGTGAGTCGATTTGTCTACGAGTCTCGTTGCGTCAAACCAATCTAGTGCTGTCTTCGGGTTGATTGAAGCCACACCGCAGCCCTTGTAAGGCGTTCCAGAGAACAATAGTGAAACCGGTGATGTAACAAGTGGTTCGTCCGCTCATGCCAGCAATGGGAGTGTGGAAGATCGGGTGCCCAGCCGCCCCGTTGTAGTTGGTTTTGATTTTCCGGCAGCTGGGAAGGGTGGTCTGATAGATGTTTCGGCAATGCCTTTGTAGCGACAACAATTTCGAAGGTCTCAACACCATCTCCGTAACCCACTTGGCACATAATCGGATTACGATCGTGGGCCTTCAGGCTGAAAACGCGCATCCAATAGTTTTGGCTGAAATGGTCTCGCAGCGCTCGGTTTCCAACCGTTTCACAGGAGGTAGCTTTCTGTGTAAAGTAGCGAGATGTGCCGATTGCAGCGATCAGAACCCTCTACAAGAACATGACCGCTGCATCCTCAGTGAAACCGCTCGTGCTAAGCATCTGCACCCCCCAAATGCTTGGCAAGCGCGGTTTCATTAAGGATGAGCGGGGTCATGTTCATGAACGTACGCCCGTCGCCTTTGAAGATGTCTGGCAGAGCGGCTTCATTGAAGATGCAGCGGGTCATGTTCTCGAACGTTCCCCTGTCGCTTTCGGACATGCCGTTTGTATCTCCGAACGCGACGGGCGCACGCACGTTCATGAACGTCACCCGCTGCATCCTTAATGAAACCGCACTGCAAAGCATTTGTGGGGACAGGTTGCAGCTACGTGAGTGTTGCGGCGTGTGCGACGAGCTGAACTGCTCAATGATGCCCGTGGTCTTTTGCAGTAGCGACGAGAATCGCAGTCGACCTACTAAGGTTGTGATGATGAGTCTATTCCATCATGGGTTGGCGGAAAGTACTCGTGATAGGCCGGCCAGTCAGCGGCGTTTCGTCGTGGAAGGTATTTTTCACCAATTAACAACTCTTGCGGGTGTGCAGCTGTCTACGAAAATGTGGTGGGTTATGTACGGCAGTTTTGAGGTCAGTAGGAGTACTTCCACCTCCTGCCGGTATGCTGGAGTACCGCAACGCCCTCAATGGCGTCCTCTCACCTCTAAGCTTGACTCGTCACAACACTAGTTTGGGGGGAGTTAACGCCTGGTAGGCCTCACATGTCTTGCTCACCTAAATAATAACCCCACACACACCCGTGTAACCCGTGGATGTGATGTCGAAATCGTCGTGTGAGCGCAGGAAGGGCAGGCACACCGGCCCCGGTAAGCGCAGGGGTACCGCCAACGCCCGGCTCCCCTTCAAGCTGATCTGGCAGCGCCGCATGCGTATCCTCCGCCGTATGCTTCGCAAGTACCGCGAGGCGAAGAAGATCGACAAGCACCTCTACCACGAGCTGTGAGTGCCGTCATGAAGTGGCGCTCAGCCTTACCGCGGGCTTTGTCTTTCTGCCTGTAGAACCAAAGCGAGTTCCAACAATTTTAAATGCGCGTCTAGACGTAGCTCGAAGCTGCGACATCGCGTGTGCGCGTGCTTTAAAAGCCGTTGCCGAGACGTTGAAAGTCGTGGCGAGAATGGCGGGAACGTTCCTAGAGGGTGTAGGCGAATCGGGCGCTTCCAGCTTCCATATCCCCGGCGGTTTCCGAGTTGTGGTTATCCTTCTGCGTCATGGTTTTCGCTCTGGGTGCGGTAGTACGTTTTACCGAGTAACGTTTCTCACTTCCCACTCGCCTTTGTTGTGTGTTTGTGACTTTTGCCCTGCGACGGTGGTACCGTTAAAATAGCTACCTGGGATGCAAGGGTAACCAGTTCAAGAACAAGCGTGTTCTGATGGAGGCGATCCACAAGAAGAAGGGCGAGACCGCGCGTATCAAGGCGCTCAAGGAGCAGGCAGAGGCGCGCAAGCTCAAGGCGAAGCAGAAGAACGAGCGCAAGGAGGACCGCAAAAAGGCGGCCGCCGAGGCTCGCGCTGCGGAAGTCTCCGCCTAACTCTAGCGTCTAGTCGTCGACGACAACGGCAGCAGCAGCAGCAATGTCGACGACCCTTGACGGCAGAAGTCTTTGCTTGCACACAATCGATGAGGAGGATACTGCTTTCCCGCTCTGTTGTTCCCTCGGTGTCCTTCATTTGACGGCAATTGGTGCTGGCGCCAGTAGCGAGTGGATGAGGGGGGGTGGGGCGGGAGGGACGGGGATTGCTGAACCTCCGCCCTCGTGTTTTTCTCGGAGATGTGGCTTGTTTTGTCTGCCTCGAGGTCGAGCTGCAACGATGATGGTCCCATCCTAAAAACATATCAATGAAAACAGAAATGAACGCGACATGCCGTGTTTTCTCGAAACGCAAACCGCTTGTGGCGCTTTGCGAAAGTGCTGGGCGCATAACCTGGCCAGGCCGCGCGGTTTCGTCCTGAACGGTCGCTACCAAGTTGTCAAATGAGCATATGAATACGATAACCGAGATTCACTCCGAGCAAGGCAACACAAGATTTGCAGCGCAACATATAGGTGATTTGTGTGCATCAAGCGAAGACACTGGGCACTCGGTTGGATAGATCGAACAGAAAGGAACACTGCTGTTGTGCGTCGTTATTTCCCGTGCTTCACGATTTTTTTGTTGGTGTTCCCGAACCGGGAATGGCCAACCTTTGATGTCTTTACTTCACGACGTCGGGAATTCGTGCATCGATAATGATGTGTCATGCGTTCCATTCACGTGCATATGTTGCGTGAGGAGTCACCTACAGCCTGCCCAGCTGGTAATCATACCGTTCATCGTTAAACGAGCGCAGCGTTTGTGCGACGTTCATCACCAGTATTTACAATCCGTTGGTGGTTCTACCTTTCAACACGACAGGGACCGCACACACTAACCCCAAACAAGACACAAACTCCCAACGCCTCACACCCCTCCCTTCTCAAAAGCTCTACTCAGCCAACACGTTGCAGTGTACACAGCCGCGTAAGCCATCCTCCTGGAATCCCCTGGCCCTGGTTCTTCAGTGGCTTCTCGAATCGAGCGTCATCGCCTCAGCCGTATCATCGCTGATTTGAGCGGGCGATATCTTGTGAGAGCGATGGCCGCCAGGGCGACCACCCCGTACAACAAGGGCAGAGAAGCCGTGCACCCGCCTTCGATGAAATTGAAGCCCGTCTGAAAGGATCGGGGCGTTCAAAAACGGACGGAGGAGGTTTCACGCCGGGGACGGGGTGGGATCGGGGTTTGGAAAGCCAGGAAGGGCAGGCATCAAACCCACGCGTAGACCGACTGCTTGTAATCACAATCGTGTGTGAGGTGTATTCAAAGGACTTCGTACGACCTTCAAGCTCCAAGGTAAATCATGTCAACCAAAATAGTGCAAGAACGTCGTAGAACTTCACAGACGCACAAGTCGGCTTGCCCAAAAGACCACGGCCAGTAAGCTCTCTGCATCACTCGTGAACCGCCGTGTCAAAGCGACCAAGGCATACAGCAACGTTTGGGGCCAAAATGCATCGGAGAAATCCAATTTCCAACCCCCTCTCACAACAAGCAAAAAGCATGTTCGCCCGCGAACGGATTGTGGTTTCGGGTCGCTCAAGCGGACGTTGAAGCAGTGTCAACTACATAGCAAGCGTTGTCTAGTCCAAGCAAAAGAAATGGACCGCCTACTCAAATCAAGTAAGTGCGCCACGAAGAAAGACCAGACAGGGGGCACGTAGACCCTTAACCCTAACTACGTCGATTCTACACTTTATCCAACATGTTTGCTTCCTTAAAAACCTACGTAGAATACCGAAAGAATTCGCATACCGTGAGGGCCGCGGCGAAATGTAGCCCAAAGGAGAAGCTCATGAGCCCCGCATCTCCTGACCGTGCCGCGGCAAAAGCAGCCGCCATGAGGAGCAGGTCTAGAACCACAAACGCTTGCGCGCTCAACGCTGGCGACGATTGGGAAAAATGAACGAGAGTAGCAGTGGAAAGGGGGCAAGTGCCCAGTTGTTCGAAACGAGCGGAATCGCACTTGCTTGCGGAGGGACGGCAACGAATAACCTTCGTCTCTGACCGGACCACATCCAGGGTACCCGTACATATGCATGCACACGTTAGGTACTAAACAATTCCCAACACGTTCGTGACACAAGTTGCATTGTGTAAGTTTCAGACTCGTCTATCAGGTCTTTGTGTGAGGGAACATGCTAGGACGGCGGTCGCTCTCACCAGAAACGATTACCGACGGCACGTGGGGACAGGACGGCGAGAACGCTGCCCCGGGTCCCATGTGCTTCGACAACGCCGTGCCGACCATGATCACAGCGTGAATCAATCCCCACCCCACGCCAGCGGCTGAGAGACGAGAGGAACGGCAACAGGGCGGGGGATTAGGAAGAAGGCATCCCGGCTTTGGGTTACGCGATAGCACCCATGTGGAAGAAAGAGACCAAACACACCTCTCTTTCCCCTGCGATTCGAGTTTGAAAGCAGGATGCCGGCAGCACGCCATGCAGTAAAAACCCGCCGTTTCGAGTAGGGAGTGCCGCACGCACGCAAGCCGATTCGGAAACCCAGGTGAATAGGCGTCGAGTCTCTTCGTCTGCATCTCACCTATGGAGGAAGACACCCCGTTCAGCCTGAGCAAGCCAGAGGATTCTTCCGGCTGGTCGGGCACGTCGCCCGTCTTCCTTTCCCCTCGACCTTCGCCAACCCCGCCGCTGCCCTCTGCCCCCAGAGCGCCGCCGTACCGGCCGCTGCTTCCGTGAGCATTTGAAGCAGGGGCGGCGTGCGCAGCGGCTTCGTTGATCACCGCTTCCGTCTTTACGTAGACCTTTGCGAGCGCAAGGCGCCCGAAGCCGTGCAGGACGACGCCCGTGATCATGGACAGCAACCAGGCGTCCTTTTGGGTGTGCAGGTTGATCGCACGGGTGATTGCCGATGGGTCGCCCAGGTAGAGAGTGAGAGGCACGCATGCATACGTCGGGCACGATTGTCAGCGTGGGTGCTTAAGAGGTAAACGTCCCTCTCTTGGGCGGCACAAGCGGCACGTGCAGAGCAATTCTATAGTCCGTGCAGAATCTATCGGGCACTCTGCTGGAACACGATGGACGGTGCGTCAACGCTTCAACACATGGTGTGTTTTACAAACGTAGAGACGACCGGACGAAAGTAGGTCGTCATACATGTCGATGTGCCAATTTATCACAGCATGTTTGAATGCCTTCCGACCGCGGTGGCAACAATTGCAAAGGAACAACAAGGTGGCTGCCGTGACAACAACAAGCCTTTGCAGAACGAAACCATTGTGTACGCTGCTTCTCTCCTGTCACCTGCGCAGCGGGAACGATGGTCCAGAGCACGGAAGCTGCCGCCATGGACGCCAGCCAGAAAAAGGCGCTGTGTTGGTTGGTACCCCATGCGAAAAAGACAAAATATAGGATGGTGAGAAGCAGCGTGAAGTTAGCGTAAACAAGCAGGTTTTCATGTTAGTTTGTGGCTTGGTCTTCGGTGGTGGTTTGTTGTGACATGCGTACGACGCTGTCAAAACGGTACCAGCACGTGTGGTTCACACTGCACCGCGAGCCCCGACATACCCAAGATCCACACACCTCTTGAACTCAGCGGCGGTTCGGGATCAGCGTGCTGTTCGACCCGGCACATGAACCATAATGAGAAAGACAAGTTACTCGTGGTGATGATCACGTCGTCCGTGGGATGTCCCCAGATGGCGGTAGCAGCTTTGGCAGCACAGAATAAAGCCAGTGATTGGATACACTGATGATGGGGCATGCGATTACCGCTGCCGACCAAATATTAGTGCTGTGAAACGCATACAGCAGTAGCACAGCAGTAGCACAAACAAACCGCGCCATTCGAGTTTCTGCAGACCACGGGATTCGTTTATTTAGTCAGCCGGCATCGGTATACACCATGCCGCCACAGCTGTTCTTGATATAAGCGCGTCTTTGGTGGCGAGGGAAAACCAGTAGAGCTTACGCGAGATTATTTAAGCTTGGTTTTAGTAAGGGGTACGGGGTTAGGTTGGGGAAAAGTTTGGGGTTAGGGGCACGAAACCATTGTCTCTGTTTCACAAATTAAACAGTATCCTCGCGAAGGCGGCCAAAAAAACATGCCGTACCACCCATGCCAAATCGACCATTTATGACAGGTGTATATGTTGGCGAGCTTTGTCCAACTCGAGAAACACCCGCATTTGGAGCTAAGGAATTATCCGGCTGTGCAGCGTGAATTATATACGCGCAGCAATAACAACAACAACAACAATCAATGACATCAAGGTGCAGATGTGCCCCCCCGCGTCCCGTAAACGCCACTCAACACGCTTAGATCTACCTCACTACACTGTCCTTTTTGATGTCAATTTGATAACATGCGAGGTAAGGACATGCCGTGCAATCCTTCGTGGAAGTGTTTCACCAATACCATGCTCCACTTTCTCACTCAATCCATGCATTTGCCAGACAGCTCCGGCGAATCCTGTATACCCGTAGTCTACACCTCTTCCAGCCGTACAGGTCTACAGGCCTTGGGGTAAATGTGTAATTTGGCTACCGTTTGTTCTTTCTTCATATCTCATATCATGAGCAGATCCTGCATCAACCCACTTCTTTCCCTGCCGTTTGTGCACACACAGAACAGATTGTCACACCTCTGTACATATAACATACATTCCACATTGCAAATAGATATCGTTGTGCTGTTGAAAACTGCGTAAGCCAAGGAGACTCATAACATCCGCAATGGCGGATTGATTCGCTGTGTACAGCAGTTGGCTCACCCGACGAGGCCGATGATCACAAGAGCCGGTCGCTTGCCGACGACCACCACCCACAGCATGATCGAAGGACCGAAGGCGATCAAGCTGCAGCCTGCCACCAGCACAAGCCCCATGATACCGCCTTGCTCTGCAGAGAGATACTTCGTACACGGCTACACGGCAGGTGTGGGTGCCAAAATTGCGGAACAACCGAGGGGTGACGCGGACATGCATTTAGGTATATACGGATACAGGAGCTCCGTGAATTGCAACCCCGAGTCCACGAAATTGGTCAACGGCCGATTGGTTGAGTGCTCGAGAGTCTTGTCCCTCCCGCTGGTGCCCTTTTCTTCCTGCTGGCCAGGCACCCTTGCCACGTACGCTTCGCTCGTTATCTCTCTGGGCTGTCCCGGGAGTCTTGGAATCCTCCTCGGAAGCGCACCATCATGCCGGCTCGACGGAGTATAAAGAAGAAGGGGCGACTGCAGGAGGCAGAGGCGGCCTCTAAAAGCATCAAGACCATCTACGACGACGGCCACGCGGCAGATCACCTTGACGAAGAGGAGGACGTTGGCAGCACCTGCCCGATTGTGGAGGAGCCCTCGACGCGTGAGGCGCAGACGGAGTATGTTGAACGAATCATCGAAGAGGTCGAAGCGAAAGGTGCGAGTAAGTTCTCGTAGGTTGCATGTAAACCAGAGCCGCGTAAGAGATGAGAGGGATAGGCTGGCTACAGCACCTCACTACAGCTGTACCGTAGATAGGTGACATAAGATATTACGCACCCTGGAGCGATTTTCAAAGCTCGATTACTCCTCGACGAAGATTATTCCACGGTCAAATAGTGCGTTTTCGGAAAACTCTTGACGGGGACGGTTCCAATGCCGCCATTTTCGGCACACTCCGAGCGGTCGACCTTTGAAAATCAGCGGGTGTGTGAGATCCATCTTGGTGTCACCTACGGTATGCACATGTTGCATTATACAGCAGTTGGTGCAGTTATACCATTTGTTTTGCACGGGATCATTGCCTATCGATAACGTGACACGTCTTTCGTCCCGTTTCCCGGTAGACGTATTACAGGAGTATTCAAAATCTTTGGCACAGAGCATCTTTCATCTCCCTCTCTGTTCAAATGCCCGAGTGTTGTGCGGCATGTTAGCCTTTACAAGGAAGGGTCAATTCCATGCTGCTGCTGCTGTCGTAGCTTGTCAGCTACAACAGCAGCATGGAGAATTGACTTTTTCGAGCTTCGTATTATATTTGCAGATGGACTGGTTTTCCGCTGCAAGTGTCGGCTAGGGGGCGGACGGAACCCGTTGTTTTCGTGTCATGGTGACGACAGTCCGCACATAAACCGCAGTCAACGTCCTCCTCGCCCGTAGACTAGCCGCTAGTCTAGTCATCTATTTGCTGCTGTTTGTTCCGGCGGAGGCGTGCGAAGCACTGCTGTGGATCGGGGAGATACTTGCAGCAGTTGTCAAGGTCACGGTTGACGACGCATCCGGCATAAAACACCGAGAACAGAGACAGGAACCCTCTCTGCGTATGTATGTATCAACTCCCTGCCGCAAGCACACCCACACCCCTTCCTTATTCTCAACCTCTGTTCCGGACAATGTGGTATTGCATCTCCCTGCCACATGCGCACACAAACCCCTTGCTTATTCTCAACCTCTGTTTCGGACAACGTGGCATGTCAACTCCCTGCCGCATGCGCACACTCCTACCACCTCGTTCCCAAACCTCCAACAACTGTTTCGTAATGTCGCATGTTTTTCAGCCCGGGAGTGGTGCGATGCAATCATGGACGAGAACGCGTCCAACATCCGGATGCAGAAGCGAACTCGCGACCGAGTGAAGAACAAGATCAACCGCAAGTTCCGACATATGAAGCTGTCGGACCTGTGCCACATGTCCGGGAACGACTACAACGCGGCGCTGCTGATGGCGGTGCCCCCGGAGGAGCGCGCGGTCTTGCTGGCGGAGGCCGGGGAGGACACGGACGAGGAGGAGGACGACGAGGAGAACATGCCGTGAGTGTTCGGTCTGTTGTGTGCAGCATGTCACGGTTAATGCTAACTATTCTGTGCAGCAGTTCAGGTGTAAATGCTAACTTTTGCGGGCAGCAGTTCAGGTGTCAGGGCCGATGCCAAGTGCAGTGGGGGTCCCCGAATAAGGCGGTTTGACTATTGCAGTCGACCTATATGCGGCGGGTGAAATTGGCTGACGTAGATCAAGTTGTTCTGCACATTGAATATGACGGCTGCCCCATATAAGGCGGTCAATCTCAGCTGTCCCACCACTGCCATATTCGGGCACCCCACTGGATTGTGTACAGTTTAGGTATGGCTGCATTAGGGTATCTGCAACCAGATGACGTGCACCTCCTCTGGGTGTTCGCCCCTAGCAGCGTTTCGCACTATTTTCCTTGTATTGCCGAGTGCTCATGTTATGCTGCTGTTGGGTCTGGAAAGTTGGGCAGTTTCTGCGTCTGAATATTTTTGATTTAGGGTAGGATTACTGCCATGGTTGCCGCTTTCAGCAGCCAATGGGGAAGGAAGGAGAATTGACGAGGAGAGGCATCCATTCGGGCAAATTTTGCATGTGCGTGAGTGCTGCGCAAAGAGGTACTAGAGGAAAATCTCGCGGCACCTTGTTGTGCTGCTGCTGCTGCTGCTGCATACCGTTATGTTGCGTTTGCCTGTGCTGTGTCTTCTACGTACGCAGCAATCGGACAAAGGTGTTTTGCCCAGGCGGATTATTCTTGTCTTGGCCCGTGGCACTGCGGGTGCTGACACCACTGCTGTAGGTCTTGCTGCTGCATCGCGCTTTCCCGTCCTCCTTAAGCATAAGGCCCCCCTGTTTTCCAGACCGCCCTCATGTATCCAAACACACGCCTGCCAGCCTTCATCAGGCTAGCTTGTCTCGAGGTCCCGACGTTTCCATCCCCGCCGTCATAAAGGATGCCGTTAGCCCCGCGGAACGCGTGACATGCCCCACCAATTGCCCTCCGCTACAATCGCCGCATCGTGCCTGGAAGCAGAAAACCTCACCTTTGCGCCTTAACACTTTTACCCCAACCTTCTAACACACAGCACCGCGGTGAAGGGGCGGAACCCACCACGGATGGTTCCAGCCACGCCGAAGGGCGGCGGAAGGCCTGCCGGATCACGCGTAACGCGCTCCGCCGTCAAGGGGGCTCGCATCTCGTCTCGGTTGTCGGTAGCGGCGGAACCGCTGCCGGTTGAAGCAGGAGCGGTGGCGCAAACGCCAACGGGCCGCGCTAGGGGGGCCGGGGGGCGTGCTATGCGGTCCGCCGTCAAGGGGGGCGGGGCGCCTGGGCGTGACGTCTATCCGCTGTCGACTTCCATCGAGGTATCGGTACTGCCGTTGGGGAAAAGGCGTAGTGTGACCAATAGCAAACGCAACAGTATAGCGTTCCATATACAAGTGGGGTTCTTTTGTGCATTAAATGGAATGAGTTTCTTAGTTCGTCTCCGGCGGTTGGTAACGCTCTAGTTCTTTACTATGCTAGACATAGCCGTCAATTGACAGATCGACACCTGATACACCGCTCGTGCTAGAGAGTACCTGATATGTGAGAACGAAGAATGACATCGAGGCGTTGCCATTGCTGTTCTGGCAATGCCCTCAACTTGCTGGTATTGTCGTTCGGCAGGTCTTAAAGAGGTGGATGATATACTACATTGCGATATATGCCGAAGACGCCGCCCTCTACGATTTTCACAGTCTCGCAAAATGAAAATCACAACGTTTCCGAAGTCAACAACCAGAACAACATTTATTGTGTTGGTGTAACTCCCTATAAAGCACTGTTGTGGCCGGCTACAGACCACAAACGAGCGTTGGGTACTGGAAATTTCTCGAATGCTAGCGTTATCTCTGTTTGTGTGGTTCATTTTATGCGCAACATATATCGCTCGGTCACGTGTTTGATGAGTACGGACAATGAAAAGTAGATCAGAACGATTCATAATGTGAAGACAACAACAACAACAACAACAAGATAGTATTGTGTCATTTTTTAATCCCGACAGGGCTGAGTGATGTTGTGCGCGTGGAGGTTTCCTTTCAAAAGCCTTCCTTTTTCAACTAGTGTTGATTGTCTTCGAACCGTTCGGTTTTTTCACATCGGTTTGAAAATGGTCTTGGTCTAACTCTGCATTGGTTGATTCGTTTACCTTTCCCCCCCATGCTTTCGGTCCAATATCTGTACGCTTATTGCTTTCGTATTACTATCTATTCTCTCTTTCACTTATTTGTATTTTTTCGCTGTTGTGCCGCTCTGTAATTTCCCGTTCGCGTGCCGTTTGCTCGTCGGTTCCGGATTGACAGAATATTCCCAAGCTTTCGGAGAGCGTCATCACAGAGCTTCACAAACGTGAGAGACACAGGACCAGGGGGTGGCGGGAGAAACAGAACACGCTGAGAAATAGCAACGAAATTGCGGGCCGCGATAGAAATTAGGCCGAGAAAACCTTTTTGCTGAGATCCCTATCGTAGATGCGCAGGTGAAGTAGAGGGAACGACCCGTCACGGTTCGACTTAGCTTTGGACGATGACTTTGCCATTGTCCAACGTGACAGGTTTCGACCCTGACTGCACGGTGTGGCAATGTCTGGACATCGTCTTCCAGCCCAAGATCGAGGTGAGCGACATCGGTGATGCGGCTGGCTGGTCGTGCCTGTTCGGCGGCGAGCGCTTTGCATGTTTGCTGCTGGTTGTTGCTGATGACGTTCTCCCCTCGTAGTCTGTTGGGCGTAGCAGCGATACCTTACGCGTTGTGTTTCCTCGCACAATTCGAGAGCGTTGCCTGCTCTACTATTGTTTTTTTGTGTGTACGATGCATACAAGGACACATCATCGAGACAGATTTCCTTCTCATGTCCGTCTTCTCTTTTGCCAATCCCGAGACCCACACCGTCCAAACGTCCAAACATGATTGTATTCGATGAGCAGAAGGACATGACCGCGGGAAAGATGGGCCGTCGAATAGATGCCCGTCTTGCCCACACTCAACCACCTCGCTCCGCGCACCTCCCAAGACAAACAGCACCAGCCAACCCGCACCCTCTCGTCTTACAAAACATTGTTAAGGGGTACACTCGCCACGCGGAGGCTGTGTGCGCTGAGCTGCGGCAGAACATCGCCGAGAGGAGCAGACAGCTTCGCGCCAGGATCCCGCCTCTTCCCGCCGACCCGCCTGAAAAGAAGAAGGCCAAGAAGAAGGCCAAGACTGCGAAGCCGAGGGCGAAGCCAAGGGCTAGGAGGGGTGCCGCTGCAGGCGGGGATGTCGAGGTTTCGTCCCCGGTAGTGGAGGTTGACAAGGAGGAGGAGGAGGTGGTGGTCGAGGAAGAGGAGGAGGTGGTCGAGGAGGAGGAGGAAGAGGAGGCCGGAGGGACGGCGAAGGTGGCTCTTTCGATCAGCGGAGGACCGTATGACGGTTCGGTGTTCGAGATCACCGTGGAAGAGGACGGGGACGCGCGGCTAGTAGGACGCTCTACTGGGAAGAAGGTACGTAAACAACGTTACACGAAGCACATGTTTTCATACGGTTAAAAGCGCAAAAGTAAATGTTTCAAAATAACTGTGTTAAATGCGCTTGCAGATTTTTTCGGCGGTGCTTCTCCGGAGGGTGGGGAGAGGGCACCGAGACGTACTCCCATATCGACTAGCTGCCGTGCTCCTTGTCTGTGCATTCCTATAATAATGAGCGACGTTTGTTCACGACAGTTCTGTGTAGTAGTCGCAGCTCTTCTCGTTGTTGCTTGTGTTTGCCGCGAAATGTCACAACTTCCTTTGCCCACAAGTATCTCAATGTAACGTTTCATGCCATGTGGGTTAAAATTTTGATCGGTGCTCAGCAATGATTTCCATCGTACAAATAGCAGTTGTCCGGAAAATTTTCTGAACAGTATATCTTCGGATGTTTTTTTTTTCGTTTCTTTGGAAACGTTGTGGGACCAGTTCAAGAACCACGGGATCAGCCTCCGCAGAGACTCGGAGGTTTCCATCACGCATGGCATGTTTATGAACTCCGGGGGAAGGGTCACCTACATGGACAATGGCAGCACTAACGGGACTGAGGTGGATGGGTGAGTACCGTGATTGCTAACATGGCGTATTCATTGTCCAAACCGCATTTCGGACGTGTGCGGTGTGTGTCCCGGAGTATGTGGGTGGCCGCGTGCTGGCTTTTTCTATAGCCACCCTAGAATTGGACAATGCTTTTTTTTATTATTATTAGTTGGACAATGCTGCACGGGCATGTTGTGAACGGATACCGTAATGGGCGGCGCGCCGACGCTACAGACGTCATATTGCCTACCCACCCACCCAGGATGAACCGAGGTCCAACCCCATCCCTCCTAAAAAACGTTCCAAAATATATTGCAGGTCATTTCCACACAAGTGATGCGGTGTTCTAATCTGCGTGCAACGAAATCCCCGAAGCTTTTTCTTGCCACAAGCTCGGGAAAAGATTCATATCTGAAGAGGGGGTTAGTTGCGCCGCACTAGTTCTTGGAACGTGCCGAGTACTGAGTGCTGAGTCGTCGTTGTTTGTCCGTGTTCCAAGCAGAACTACCGCACCACGTGTTGCGTTTTATGTCGTTTCGAGCTTGCTGCGACAGGCTACACGTGCGGAATGGTCCAAACCGTTCCCACAAACACTGTTCCTGTGTCCGATGTGTTTCTCTCTTCACAAATGTAGAAGTACGCGCTCTCAATACCTTTCACCGTGCCTATGTAGATGAAGAATAGGCACAAGCACCAAATGGTTTTCACTGGTTCGCCCTCCGATATCTCTCGGCAACGAGGAAATACCATGCCGATAATGGTAGTGTTGGAACGTCAGAGCGTGACAGGCGTGCCTGTTCTTGTTGTTTTTGTAAAAATGCCGAGGAGACTCGTAAGTTGCTTTTCGGTCACACTCCTTTTTTTCGTCCTTCAACTCTCGTCGCAGGGAATGGGTGGAGCCGAAGATTGCCTACGGGGTCGTCGCTGGGTCTACGCTGCTGATTGGCCAGAGCCACTGCACCGTGGCAATCACGTGGGAGCGTTGATGTCGCCTCGCGTAGCTAACGCAAACGAGAGATCTTTTCAGAGCCAGTTTTGGGTGGCCTGTGTTAACGTTGGGTGTGGGGAAGATGCTTGTTGTTGTCGACCGGGCTTGGACGAATTTAGACCGGTTATTAATGAATTGCAAATGCGGCCACCTTACCCAAAACACGTAAACCTGTTGTGGGTCTGATCGTGTACATACGCTTGGTGCTTGTGGCGATTTGAGGCTATGGGTCTCTTTGCACCGGTGCCGGATGGTGATGGTGGACGTCATCTCCGACTTTAATCGGACACGGTACGATTCAGCGGTGGCAGTGCCCCTTGCGGGGGGAGGGTCTCGATTGGAAATTCTCGCTCACAACAAATGTGACGTGTGTTGTTTGGATTCAGTCGGTGTCTTTGTCTTCTGACGCAAACAACACAGAGCCAAAGGCACGCAGTTTTCTGATTGGTAAAAGACTGATTTCGCTTCGGGTTCACAGCAGTGACCACGGGTAAATGTATCCTATGCATATTCCACATGTTGGAGTTTTATTCCTGTTCTTTCACGCGGAGTTGTCGTGGTTTTGGGGGGTAGAGCCGGGGGTCTCAGGAAAACAAACCACACGACGTGCACGGGTACACGCATTATTCCGCAAGTTGTCCATGAACGCGGTCTACAGTACCACGTTTTATTCCGCAAATTGCCCAGGGATGAGTGCCGACGCTTTGTCTACGTGGAACGCTGTTGAGCCAGTTACGGGTGTCTATTTTGGAGCTTGCATTGGTATCGTACCCTAATTGTTCTGTCTTGGGACCTCTTGAGCTTTCTTGGACGGTAGCCTGGTAACGCAGTGTTGGAGGTGCTGGGGACAAAGCGACCATTTCCAAGAGGACGAGCTGTACTTTGGGCACGGGATGGACATCCACCTACTATGCCATCAGTGGATGCAAGCACGTGTGCTTACGTAAGGTACTTCCTTGTTATTGTGTCCTAATTTATCGTAGACCATGTGCTGAGCACCAATACTGCAGGGACGAGAGGGGGGGGGGGGGGTGTACTCATAGTCGTGCATGCCGTAGTTGTTAGACCATTGACCTCGCATCCCTACAAAGCCGGGACGGAGCACGCCGGGCTCTCACCGAACCAGGCTCTCACATCACCAAGCGCGAAGCGCCGTGAGGTATTCGGCGAGTCGCATCAAGGGTGCGCTGCATCTTGCTAAGGGTGTTCGGCATCTTGTGCTTACTTCCTTGCATACGGATGACAGCTTTGAATGTCAAAAAAACTATTTTCTGGTGCTTCCACTTCCAGAGACAGTTGTAAGCACTTTGAACCTGCCTCGAGAGTGCCGACCAATTTTAACACAACGTGGTGCGATCATCCCCCGTTGCGCGGAGTGAGGGTTCTCGACCCCGCACAACATGATCTACTCGACCACCATTATGGTTACCGCCAAAAAAAAAAAAGGCGAAAGGCAAAAAAAAAGAAGCGGTAACCTGGTTGCCGAGCTCACGAAGTGATCGGCTTATTTTACAACATCGTGCCAACCGACGAAAACCCAACCCCGATGGCAAACACCGGGGGGTGCGGCCTGTTTTACAACGTCGTCAAGCGACGAAAACCCAACCCCGATGGCATACATCGTTGCGCTAAAGGGACGAGAGGGGGGAGGTGATATTTTCGGTGAATTTGGTATCTCCGGAGGAAACAACGGTTGAAGAGGGGATGGTGCTCCGTGGCGATACGATGTCCCTGGCTTTCATGATGTGGATTAGAGCTTTGTGGAAGCACCGACCCAAACCTGTTTTATTTCTACAAGTTTTGAGGTTGGGCGATTCCCACTCGCGCGAAGTGGTCGCATCCCCTCGGTGTATTTTAGGAGGAAGGACAGGTGACGAGATCGTCAACGGTGGCGACCACAGCGTCACGGTGCAATCTCTGTCCTCCTAAGGTGTGTGCTTCAGAGCAAGAAGGAGGGTGAGTGGGTGTGACCCAGACGCCCGTGTCATCGTCCGTTTGCAACAGCACACGCCGAGGCTCATCGGGAACAGCAACCAGATAACGTTGTCGTTATGTGTGGTAGCGGAGAGAGAGAGAGAGAGAGAGCGGGTCAAAACGCCGAGGGCTCTTAGGAAGGTGGTGGACGTTGCTTTCCAGCAAGGAATTTTTGTTCACCAGCGGGTGCTCGTGTCCTGGTCTCCGGTAAACCGTGAACAGCATGTGACGTGAGGCAAGAGCAAGCGCACGCCGGCAATTTAATGTCGTTCTTCTGATTCACCACAGGGTTCCATCGTTCCCCCCATGTCACTCAATCTAGTCTAGAAAAACAGCAGCTTACCTACAACAGTTGAAAATCCACCTCCTGTACTATGTGGTCGTTCTCTCCGCGAGACGTCAAACTCTTGACGTACTTTCATATCCCGACAGCAGGGCACTTAACTCTGGTGCTGAACTGCTTGGGATCACCAGCACGGTGCGGTGCTACAAAGTAGACAAGTAAATTAAACCTCTCTCGGTCCTACGTCAAAAAGAGAAACACCCTCATGGCAACCAAGAGTCATTTGCAACAGCCCGCAGGGGTAAACAAACGCAAGTCACAACACTACCCCGGGTGCCTCTTACTGTAATTAGAACGCACCAAATAATCTTCATCCGTGCAGCTCGACAGAAATGCAGAAAATCACGAAATCTACTTTCGACAACCGAACCAGCCAGGTTCGTCTAGTGTTCTGTGTACTTGACAGTTCTTACAACAAAACATCGTACAAAACAAATCACTACTAAGGGAAAGAAAAACGTACGCGAGTGGGCGCAAGGCGATCTCAATACATGACGATACCACTGCTTGTGTTCGGCCTGCCCACGAAACGTCCGCCGCCGCCCCCCGCTCTTTCGCCGCCGCATGCATGGCACGAGGAACGTGTAGCAACCAAGCAGCGAAATCCAACGAGTAACGCGACCGAGTACAAGTAAATCGTCCATCCAACCGCTGTGCACCGTTGACGATCGCAACTACGCTCTACACTCCATGGATCAAAATACTTCATGAATCCACTACTAGTGCTACACGCCAGTGTCCCTATCTTCTCGGCCATTGTTGCTTGGGTGCTTCACCTCGTCATCCACCTTTCACCACTACAACACGCTCAAAGTATTAAAATTACAGTAGTTACAACGCAAGAATTTTCCAAGAACCCCTATTAAATAGCCCGCTCCGCCACGGTCTAACGGAACAAACAGAGCGTTTTCTACACTCCGTCGAACCCTCGTCCGACTGATCGAACGATCGATAGGTAAATAAAAGACGCGAGAGAGTTCGAGATCGACTCCCTACCCCTACCAGAGTTTAATGTGAAGACAACAATAACAACAACAACTACTACCCACCACAATAGAACCCGTGACCTTACAATAGAACATACAATTAATAGGTGTGTACTGGTGGTACACTTAGAAAACCGAGAGGAGGTGCAGTCTCAATCTCCATCAGCAGGCCCCGCAACGGACTCAGCACACGCAACAGCTTCGTCAACTGAACCAGGATTCGGACATACAAGCCTCGTTCTCGGAGTGGTTTGGCGGAGACCCTAGACGTGCGTGCCGAGCGACGACGACCCCCACAAGATCAAGGCAGACTAATAGGGAGTTCGCCCATCCGTCCGCTCTCCGCCTTCACACACATCACGCCGTCACACCTAACAGGTGGCGTCTCTCAAGCCTTGGGGGTGGCGGCCTTGGCCACGATCGGGATGCAGACCTTGGTCTTGAGCTTCTCCGGCGGGGTGTCCTTCGGGTCGTTCTCGTACAGCTCGAACACGGGCATGCGCGACTCGTAACCCTTGGTCTCGACCCACTCGAAGGTCGCCTTGTAGCACTTCATCAGCTCGTCGTACGGACCCGTGTGCAGCGTCGTCACGCACTTGCAGCCGCCGGCGGTCCTCACGCCGAGGCCGTTGTCGTCTCCGTCGACGTCCTTCATCAGAGCGGAGGCGCCGTCGCCGGCCACCGAGGGTCCGCAGGTGAACTTGGTGGTCCCGCCGGGGGAAGGGTCCCAGGTGTAGTAGGCGGACGCGGGGGGGCCGGCCATGGCGAGCCCGGCAGCAGCGGCTCCCGCGAAGGCGGCGGGGAGCGTCTTGTTGGTCTCTTCGCTGATGGCGGGGCTGGTCGCTTCGCTTGTGGACATCTGCGGGGGGGTCGGGGGGTAGGGGGTGTACTCATAGTCGTGCATGCCGTAGTCGTTAGACCATTGACCTCGCAGCCGGGACGGAGCACGCCGGGTTCTCACCGAACCAGGCTCTCACATCACCAAGCGCGAAGCGCCGTGAGGTATTCGGCGAGTCGCATGAAGGGTGAGCTGCATCCTGCTAAGGGTGTTTCGGCATCTTGTACTTACTTCCTTGCATACGAATGACAGCTGCATATGACTTAATTTATTTTCTGGTGCTTCCACTTCCAGAGACAGTTGTAAGCACTGTGTAACTGCCTCGAGGAAGCTTGACCATTTTAACACAACGTGGTGCGATCATCCCCCTTGCGCGGAGTGAGGGTTCTCTACCCCGCACAACATGATCTACTCGACCACCATTCATGGTTACCGCAAAAAAAAAAAACAGAGGTAAAAAAAGAAAACGGTAACCTGGTTGCCGAGTTCACGAAGTGACTTGGCTTGTTTTACAACGTCGTTGCCAAGCGACGAAAACCCAACCCCGATGGCATAACACCGGGGGGGCAACATGTTCTACTCGACCACCATGATGGTTACCGCAAAAAAAAACCAGTAACCTGGTTGCCGAGCTCACGAAGTGAAATGGCTTGTTTTACAACGTCGTTGCCAAGCGATGAAAACCCAATCCCGAAGGGTAGGGGGGGGGGGACTCATAGCCGTGCATGCCGTAGTCGTTACACCATTGACCTCGCATCCCTACAAAGCCGGGACGGAGCACGCCGGGTGTTCACCGAACCAGGCTCTCACATCACCAAGCGTGAAGCGCCGTGAGGTATTCGGCGAATCGCATGAAGGGTGTTCGGCTCCTTGTACTTTCTTTCTTGCGTGCGGATGACAGCTGCGAATGACTTTAATTATTTTCTGGTGCTTTCACTTCCAGAGACAGTTAATAGCTCTGTGTTAGTGCCTAGAGGGTGCTTGGCCAATTTAACACAAGGTGGTGCGATCATTCCATTGGCGCGGAGTGAGGGTTCTCGACCCCGCACAACGTAATCTACTCCACCACCATGATGGTGGAAAACAACAAAAAACCACAGGCACAAAAAAAAGCAGTACTTTGGTTGCCAAGCGACGAAAACCCAACCCCGATGGCCAACGCCACGGGGGAGGGGCATAGGGGGGGTCGACTATTAGGACGGCAAGAAGAATCTGCCACTGAACAAAGAGTCACAAGCAAGGGCGGTAGACGACGGAACAAACGACAGTAACCGCAACGACAACAACAACGGTAACGACAACAGGGACATGGACGTTAGGCTCTTTCTCACCGCTCCGTAACAGTACACGGTAGGCATGTCCTCAACCGCCCAGGTGTAGCGCCAATCGTACTTGGCGCCGATCTCCATGTCCTTGGCCATGTCTTCGTTGGAAGTAGTAGGCCCCGTCTGCACCTCGCACAAGCCCCACGGTTGGCCGAAGGGGTCTTTGCACCGACCCCACACTGAACGTCGACATCAAAACATGAGACCAAAACGCGGTATAACAAGGGCGCAAGGTCGTTGAGAGGACATGGGTGTAGGGGTAGTGGATTTTTGCCTTGGTTTGGGGAATCTCCGTAAGATCTCCCTACGGGCGGACAATCGTATCGTGATGTTCACGGCTGCGCGCATGCGTGTATTGCAACAAGAGCACAAGCAGCCACAAGCGGTTCAAACCCAGACAACCAAAAAGCGTTTGTCTGCATATCTGGAAATATGCAGCACACAGACCGCCAGCATTCTAGCAAAGGCGCCACACCGTGCCAGCTACTCCATTCGCATTGTTAAAACTTACCAGACCATGACAGATAAAGGGAGCACCGGCATCCATGTGCTGTGCAGACAAAACGACCCGCTGTACAGACCAAATCACAACAATAATCAATCGAGTAGAGCACCCCTCCTCCTGATTGGTTCGTCTCGTGCCCGCCCACCTTGTCCCCAGAACTGCATCGACACCTCCTCGAGGACCTCCCCGCCGTTGTCCTTGAAGGACTTGGCCAGGGGTCCCGCTTCGTCCTTCCCGACCTCGTACGAAATGGTCATCGAGGCTTCCGTCTTGCTCGCGTCCTCGCCGCAGTGGTCGCCGAGCATGATGATGCCGCCGTTGATCTTCATCTCCGCGCACATGATCTGGGTGCGCCGAGGGAAAATATTCAACAGAAACACAAAAAAAGAAAAAAATGCGCGCTTTGAGGCTGGCGGCCAGCGTCCGATCTTCGACAAGACTAAAGTGGCAAATCAGAGAAAGAGAACCACACCCCGGGCGTGCGACCTGTCTCGATTGCTCGTGAGAATATGCAAGCCAAACCAGGAGCCCACCAGACGTCGTTGAGGAAACACCTCCCAGACGGGACAGTTAAAAACGGGGCCCGAGAGCGGTATTTGTCCGAAAGTCACGTATGGCAATGCTATAAACATACTTGTAGAGAGACGCAGTAGCCTTCGTGAGGGTATGATTTACGTTGGTTTTAGTGGGGGTTACAGGTTTGGGATAGGGCAAGGGTTACGAACCCCCGCTCTCTATTTCACATAGTACACTTAGCATCCTCCCGAGGGCGTCCTAGAAACTCCCACTACTACAGTACCTCACAAGTGCACGAACCTTGCCGGTGGGGTCCTTCGCAGGGGGGTACACGACCTCGGCTCCCAGGGCGTCCGTGAGGAAGGTCATGTAGGCGGAGCAGTCACGGACGCTGACGAAGGGGATGATCTTGCGCGCCAGCTCCTTGGGCACGTCCTCGATGGTGTTGGTGGAGTTTGACACCGACCAGATCTGACCGAACGGGTCCTGGTAAACACCGAACCTTTTGTTGTATTTGTATGCATGTAGTGGGCAAGGGTGTTACGTTTAAGAGTGTTCCAGGCTTGTGCTCTTGCTGAGTGCGCTACATGTTGTCGTGAGTGTTGCAACCAAGAAAGTGAAGGGAGGGGGAGCTGTATCGAACGAAGGTCTTGAGAGAGAAGGGATGAACTCCTATCGGGGTAAAAGGGACGCTGAAGGATGCGCGTATGCGGGGCCAGCACTGCGACCGACCGACATTTTTCAACAATGCCAAGATGGGCTACAATCGTTCTCAGCTCACGAGGAGCGATCAGAAGCATCCACTGAAACCCGTCCGGCAGTGAAAACAACATTAATGAAAACAGGGCCTCCTTTCGCTAAAGAGAACAACAGAACCGTGGCACAAGGCCCTTTCTCATCTCTCGAATTCGATCAAATCCAACAACACAGAGCATCAAACAACAGAAACTGCTTTCCCAAAAGAACGCAACCAAATCGAGCACCCAACAACTCACGTGGCGCCCCAGAACTGCTCGGCCATCTTGGTGAGCTCCTTGGCACCGTGCTCCACCAGCTTGGCACCAACGCCGGCCGGGTCGTCGGTGTTGAGGTGCAGGCGGGCGTGAGGGGTGCTGATGGCGCCGGTGTCCATGTTGTTGCCGAGCTCCTCGACGTACAGCGCTACGCCGTCGACGTCGACGGAGAGGTGCATGATCTTGCCGTCCTTGTCGGGGAAGCGGAAGTACTCCTGTGGATGGGCGGGCGAGGCAGCACCTAGTTCGCTGCTTTTCGATTTGGAAGAACGTCACGAAAGAAACGGACTTCGTTGTGCAGAACATCGAACCGGTCGGTTGGTTCGGAACCTTGTTGCAATGCTTTTCTTAAAACACAACAACCCCACCAGAACCTTTCGAAGCAACAACAAGAAACGCGCGATGCTTTGCACCGGCACAAACGGAAACCCCCGTGGTGGTGTGTGTGCTGTGCCACTTGACCCGAGGTCCTGCTGGGTCGCTGAAAGGGCACCACCTCCTCCGCAGCCTGCAAGGCGCAAGCCTATCTAGTAAGCCTATGAAGCAAGTCGTCTCGCATTTATTTGTAAATGTCGTCCACGACCGACATGGCAACTGCCTGTCTGTGTGCAGCAAGTCTGCATGTGTACGGTTGATTTATGTTCTTTGGATCGCGGGATAACACTGCTGCGGGCGGCAAGCTGGTCCAAACAGCCCGCTTATACGCCCAAGTGTTTGTGTACGGACGAGCTTTTCACACCTTGGCTTTGGCGGCTTTTCCCATGAAGTCGACGAACTTGTCCGCGCTCTCGACCATGACATCCACGATGATGCCCCTGCGAGTCGGAGGGTGCTGCAAAGAAAGGTTTTGTTTTGGGAGACAGACAGGGCAAGAGAGAGGCGGACGTCCAGACAGAAGAGAACGGTTGGGCGGGAGGATGTTGTCATTTTCGCAAAGCAAGTCAAATTATCGAATGTCTTGTTGTTGTCTATGAGGGGTGGCCGGAGAAACGACACACAGGAGAGGGGTGAAGAAAACGTGCGGTCATGAGCTATGTAGCGTGGGAAAGTGCTCACGAAGGGGCATGACCGACGGGAAGGAGGGGCCGTGAGAGTTTCCGTGTGTCCGCAGCAGAGTGTGATGATATAAGGGATGTTTTGGCGGTACAGAACAGCCGAACTTTGAAAGGGCTTTGAGCGTCGTGTTATATTATAAGGAGGGAGGCGAGGCGCGACAGGCAGACGGGTGGGGAGGTATGCGAGGAGAAAGGGCGACAACTAGCAGGTGGAGCGATCCACACCTTCGTAGGGCGGGCGGGCGGGCGACCATCGTTTGTGTGAAATGCTGGCTTCAAACGGGTGGGTACCAACCAGTTGGTGTTGGTGCCACGACAACCCGGAACATGTCGCCGGATAATCGAGCTGGCTCTAAAGCCAGCCAGCCGCACAGCAGCGCGCATCTGCCCTCTCTACCTCTCGATCTCTTCTATCCCTGGCGCGTAGGAGTAGACGCTCGTGAAGACTGATTCCTCTCTTGCTTATCTCGTGAAATCATCAACGAAGGCAAAGAAAAAGAAAGAACAAGGCTTGCATGTTGGTTGAAATCGCAAGCCCTCACCTTGCGGTTATCAGAAGGGCAAACCTTCTTCGCTGGGGGCTCGGTCAATTCGCTCATGATTGACTGCTGTCTTGTAGTCGGAGAGAAGGGAGTGGGCGGTTGGAAGAATGCGGAGAGAGAGGCGAGAGGAAAATAGTGGCAGAGGCGGGGGTTGTGTAGGACAGAACGAGCGGATGGTGGCGGCAAGCTGCTCTCCAATTTGTAAGGGTTTGCGCGCGATGGAGCCTGCAAATTTGTGCACGCGGTGGAAGTTGCGCCGCATTTTTGCTTTGTTTCGGGCGGAACCGCCTCGACGCACCCACGCCATTACGGGACTCTCCGCTGCATGGCGACCAAGGTGAGCTCGAGTTTCCATGGCTTGTGCCTACCGGAACCTACCTTGCTATTCTCTGGTGTGTGTCTGGTCTGGCTGGCATATGAGTTGCATTGGCCTGTCGATCACGAACGCGATTTTGAATTTGAAAAAATTGACTTGCAGAGAGTATACCGTAGACCAGGCACACATCATGGGGGTGATCGCCTCCGCCACGGGCAGTCGAGAGGTAGCGGTTCATGGCACTACTGCTGTATCAGGGAGGACACAATTCTCTTTCTACCTCTCTGTCTGCCCACCTCTCCCTTGCATTGGCGTTTCGACGGCCTGCCTACCACTTCGGCAAACATACGGCGGTTGAACTGTTTTTGTGTGTAGGCCTGTAGGCCACTTGTAAGACAGCACTCACAGCAATGAAAGTGTGCATGTGTGAGGTTGCCCGTTACAGCAGTGGTGGACATCAGCTATTTAAGCAGAAGCCGAAGCACGATTGAACCGAGGCAGTTCCCTTCATCCCCTGCCCTACAGTAGCTTGTTTGAGCTTGTCCCACCATATATTCCCATACAGCAGTACAGAAGAAAAAGACCCTCGGGGGGCTCTGGGATCCCTTGCTATTTGTTGCACTTGACCTTACATATATGCTTACAAGGAACAGCTGCAGGGGAGTTGAATGTGGACTACTGTACTACTGTACATACAAGTCAACCTCTTGTCCAGGCCGTCCAAAACACACCAATTGCTGTACGAGCCCGCCGGCTGGCGACCGCGCATACCTGCTGCTGCTCTGCTGCTACTGTTGCTCTGCTGTTGTTGCTGCTGCTGCCGCTGCCAAAGATACAAGCACCGTGTTGGGCAGACGGCCTCGCGTGCCCCTCCCTACGTGGACTAGACCCTGCCAAGCTTGCTCGGGATCTGGTGTCGAGATCGGCAGCGTCCGTGGCAAGCGCTGGCGGCAAAGGAGGCGGGGTCTCTGTGGCAACGGTGGATGAAGTGTTCGCGCTCGTTCAACTGGGGCTCGATGACAGGTGCGTGCTTGAGCGCAAAACAGATGCCATGAGTTACAGCCGTCGCTTGAAACGCGAATGAATGCAGTGAGTAGGGTTAGGGCTTGTAGGCTATTGTAGTAGAGGGCCAAAGAAGTTTCTACTTTCTAGCCAATGAGACTACTCTAAACAATTCATCAAAGCGACAGCAGTGGTAGCAGGCAGCATTGCTGTCAAAGCTCGAGTGAGGTGCTTTTGTCTGGAGCAAGCACTCGTCTAGTGTTACCTAGTACCCTAACGTATTGAGTTCTCGGGGGGGGGGGCTCATTCTCGTTTGATCGCAGAGACCAAAATGCGGCCTGTTCGATGAAGCTGGGTGCCACCAAAACGCAATTCAGACCCTATACTTAAACATGCCAGTGTTTACTTCTAGTCAAATATATATGCAGCACGCAGCGCCCAGACGCCTGCTTAGCCTGTTTTATCCCCCAACCATGAATCCCTACGGCAGTTGCAGCCACTTTCGAGGAGCTCGTTCATGGTCGCGCGAGTTTCGCTTTTTCTTGAGTTTTCCCTGCGGAGAAATCAGATGCTACCTACCCCGTTTGATCAGATGCTACCAACCCCGTTTGATCAGATGCTACCAACCCCGTTTGAAAATCGACGTTGTAAGCCTCCCCCCCCCCCCTCCCTATCGGGGTTGGGTTTTTCTTCGCCTGGCAACGACGTTGTAAAACAAGCCAATTCACTTCGTGAGTTCGGCGACCAGGTTGCGGAGTTTTTTTCGCCTTTTTTCGGTAACCATGAATCGTGGTCGGGCAGATTGTGTTGTGCGGGGTCGAGAACCCTCACTCTGCGCAAAGGGGATGATCGCACCGCGTTGTGTTAAAATGGTAAAGCATCCTCGAGGCAGTTACACAGTGCTGATATCTGTCTCTGGAAGTGAAAGCACCAAAAAATAATTTAAGTCATACGCAGCTGTTATCCGTACGCAAGGAAGTCGTACGCAAGGAAGTAAGCACAAGATGCAGCGCACCCTTCATGCGACTCGCCGAATACCTCACGGCGCTTCGCGCTTGGTGATGTGAGAGCCTGGTCCGGTGAGAGCCCGGCGTGCTCCGTCCCGGCTTTGTAGGGATGTGAGGTCAATGGTCTAACGACTACGGCATGCACGACTATGAGTACACCCCCCCCCCCTCCCCCCCCAACCGCTGCGCGTTGTGATTGTCACGGGGCGCTGCCACCGTCGCCGGATTCACGTAATAAGGCAACCAACACCAGCAGCAGCGGAGGCCGGAATCACCCACAACTCGCCGGAAGCAGAAAAGGCTTTCCGGTCAGCCCTTGCTCCGGTAAGACCAAGAATAGCGAGGCATCGATTTGGGTATACCTGGTGTACCTCTTTCAGGGTGAGTTTGCCTGCGACCGCGGGAATCGACCGCGTCAAAGTGGGAATATCAGTACGGACAGAAGAAGGTACTGGGCAGAGAGATTTGAAATTGTTTATTGTGAAGACAACAACAACAATTACCACAAGAGGCAGAGAGATGGCACCCTCAGTAGACCGACTTTCAAATCTCGACTTGCTCCACAACCAAGGGGGGTCGCGGAAAGAGCCCGATACGTCTACGGAGAGCCCCTCAACGAGATGTTTCCGAAACCGCCGTTTTTGGTGTTGGCGCAATCTTGGTTGTAGAGCAATCGAGCTTTGAAAACCGGTCTAGGGGGGGTGCCATGTGTGTTGGCACGAGAATCGAAGGAGGTGTGGCAATTTTTTTGTTATACCGCATCGTGGTGGAAAACTTGTCTTGGTTTGCCCGCAACCTGGAGACGGATCTGAAGTGCTCTTGGCATGGGCGTGCGCTTTTGAGGGTTTGTTCCTCGAATGCATGTCATGCTGCGACACCGCTCCCTGTCCTGTGGGCGCGGCTGTCTCACGCGAAGCACCGTAGCCGTCTTACAGGCAGGCTTCAATTGGACTTGTAACAGGGTTGGTTGTGGATGTTGCTGTTGATGTTGTATTTGGCGTACTGTGTCTCGTGTCGGAGGGTTGTAGCACACTATCTTATCCCAGCAGCAGCGCAGCAGATGATTGGTTGGTAGGATGCTTGTTCGATCCTTTTCCAGGAAGGGCGGTTGCTCCGCCTAGTTTGCAACGGGGTTGCTGAGCCTACCCCATAGAGAACGAAGTAAAATTCTGTCGGATATCGACCTGTTTTTTTGTTGCTTTTTTGCCGCCGGGCATGGATCTTTACTTTTTGCTGTGGGATTCGTCCATGCAGTGTGTGTGCCTACTTGTGGCGTTTCATCGTACTAAATTTAGAATGCCCACATGTGTGTGTGTTGAGGTCTCCCTGAAGCAAGTCCTAGTGTATAATACACCGACTGGGGTCACTCTGTCACTTTCTCCTCCCCCCACCCGGGATTGATTCAACAAAAAACGGTAAGAAGCGGCGTGTAAGCTGACTCGGCTGCGCTTGTCCATTCGTTGCATCTCGCTCCGGATTGATTCAACACCCGCCGAGACCAAAGCGGCGCAAAAACTGATTCGTCTGCTCTTGTCCATTCGTTGTCTCTCGCTCTGTGATCCTTTCTGTTGGACACCACAGGGGGCGCTCGGCCTAGTGCCCAAGCTTGCCGCGGCGCTGCAACACCGGGATGGACACTTGGCCACTGATGGTTGTGGCGGCGGTGGCGTTGGTGGTGCCGAAAGCGCCGCGCGCGATCAAGAGCAGCAGCCGGTTTCGCGAAGCGGACGGGGGCAAAGGGACGCTGTGGTGCTTGCGGCAGGACACTTAACAGGTGGGGTGCAAGTAGACAAACAGCGCAAACGCCAAAAGGATAATAGTGTTGTGTTGTTGCGGAAGTGGTTTTCTCAGTCACACGTGCCAGGTCTTTTTTGTTCAGAACCAATGCTCTGCTCTGCTCCAGGGCTGTTTATCGTGCTTTGAGGTTTCTCAGACAATGTCCAACGAATGATATTCGCTTTTGAACGTGAGACCCACGTTTCGAGGCTGGCCTCCGGTGGTTTCCTCTTCAACCGCAAAACCCACGCTCGTGTGCACACTGTGCACTCTCGCCTGTGACACACAACACCGACCTCCAGCTATGTAACTACAAGCACCCCTTCGCTTTCACGAGCTCCTGCGAAGGAAAATGGGACTTGTGCGCCTTAGAGTAGCAGCACAACGCAACCACGTATCGGCACGAGTCATCCGTCCTCCCTTATTGCTCCGCCGTGCTCGCCTCCTTTATTTCTGTCTCTGGACTGTTGTCGACCGCTGCTGCCGCCGCTGGGTGCTCTCTGCGCACCCGCTCTGCCGTGCAGCAATGGAGCAGCTCGTGACTCGACAGAACAACACGCCCGCGCTCCTGATGGCGCACAACGCCCTCGCCAAGCTGCTCAAGAACAACTGGCCATGGCTCGTGGGGGGCGTGGTGGACGCGCCGCGGCTGCTGTCGCGGCTGTGCGAGATCTATCGCGACGGGCTTGATCAGGTGGGCAGGGTCGAGACGCGGCGTGGGGGGTGTCGGAGGAGAATGAGATTTCTCCGACTCTTTCATGTTTATTCTACCGCTGCTTGTTGTGTGTTGGTGGTAGTGGTGCGCAAAGGTCTGTTGGTTGGGCTCACCTCTTGTTTTGCCGTTCTGTGGAAGGACCGTGAGCAAGGCGTTGAATAGCGCCGCTCCGAAGCAAGCGATGCGCGCTGTGTTATTGCTCACGAGGCCAAAGGTTGGCCGCCAAAAGGCACTGCTGTCCGCAGGATGCCTGCTGTTCGCAGTGCGGCTGCGGGAATGTTCCCCGCTGCG